CGCGCTCGGTGCGTCAAACATAATGTGGCCGCAGCGTCGGACAGAAAGTTATCACCTAATTGTGTTTCTTCCACTGGGTACAACAAGAAGTGGTGAGCAAGGGGATGCGGAACCACCGCTGGGAGAAACAATTGAAGTGGTCGGTTTGGGAAGTACCCCATACTCAGGCGCCATCTAATTCCGTGCGAGTGAAGTGCTCGGTGCACTGAACATAATGTGGTCGCCGCGTCGGACAGAGAGTCGTCACCTAAATGTGTTCCTTCCACTGTGCTTTTAAGCCGGTGCGCTCGAGAAAACAACGGTTTCACGCAAAATTTTGCGTTTTTTTTATGCGAGAGCATCAATTGTTTTATGGAGCGCAACTGGCGTTAGCTGTGACTGCAAAAAACGGGCATCTAAATAAACAGCAGTTAAAATGGTTGCGACGCGTCATATCAAATGCCTCGTCATGGAAGTCAGTGGGGCGCTTGTTGTATCGGCAAGAGCAGGGGTCCTGGGTTCAATCCCCACCCCTGCCAGTTTCGATCTGGATGAGCATCGCATCGGCCTGCGGTTGTGTATCACTACTGCGTGATGCACATTAAAGACCCTAGGCTAGCGGTTGTACTGCACTGGCTAAATTGCTCGTCTACAGCTGGGGGACTCGTCGCCCGTTGAGGTGGACCAAGTTCTAGGCTGTATAAACATACACACGACCCAATTTTTGTTTTTAGCAGGGGTCCGTGTCACACGAGTGAATGACGTTTTAGCGAACAGCGACATTTGAACAAATCAACGTTTTAGCGACACCCCGCGCTGCGCGAAGTGGCGGCTCATTACAAAAATGTGAACCCACTTGGCTCACCCGTAAATGCCTCACGATGATGATTATGAATCTATCATTCGAATAGTGGCAACAAAACATTTTCCCCCCTTGTGAAAATATATAGTTCCTATTCACACAGCAATTAATACTCTAAGTACTCTTCTAAACTTCGTAGTCTCTAAACCAGGCAGGAGGCACTTTCTTACATCCACACCTCCGAGGTTTCACCAATGGTGTTTCTGGTGGTGGCATCGTCGAAACATCCTGTTCAGGAATGTCTTCAGTTTCAGTGGCCTGTTCTAACTCTGAAAGAGTCTCTTGCTCCTCACTGGGCTGCCACAGTATTTTGGGTAGAACATCATCCGGTATGCTGAAGCCAGTGCCACGTGGTGTAGTAGGCCCCCAAAATGCAGCAATTAACTCTTCGTTCAATATTTTCCCGTCGTCGAGCAAGTATGTGACCTTTCTTTATATTGCACCGCATCACCTGGTTGAAATTCCCGAGCCTTTGCACTTCGCCTAGCATCGGCATATTTCTTCACCTTCTCTTCGAGTTCCTGCTTGGTTTCTGAAGATGCTCCGGCCACTGGAAGATGAACCAAGCCCGCGAGATACAGCTTTGTCCTAAGATTTCGGCCATGCTGCAAGTAGGCTGGTGTTGAATTGGGTGAGGAGTTGCTCTGTAAACTCTAAGGTATTCAGTGGCCGCCCCTTGCAAAGGGTGGTATACACACAAATGAAGCTGGCGGATTCCTCCTTCTCAGAGGAAGTCCTTGAACGGTAATGAAATAAACTGACTGCCGTAGTCCGTCATCACTTCTGATGGGTAGCCTTCTCTGCTGCAAATTGAATGCAGGAATCTGATCACTGTAGTTGTTGTCGCATTGTTTGTGAATGCCACCTCTGGACAGCAACTGTAGTAAGTTCACAACGGTAATCATGAATCAGCAGTGTTGTGGGCATGTTTGAATGGTCCGACCACATCTATTTCCGATTACTCCCATGGTCTTGAAGGTAGGGGAACGGGCTGAAGTAGTGGCAGAGATGCTGGTTTCCACGCACCATTCCTGGATGAGCACCATGAGCCAAGACAATGACTGTTGCTGTCAGAGTAGACGGCAGATTGATCCTATCTCCTTGGAGACCTTCCATCTTGGACAGCTCTGAACAGATCTTGAAGTATGGCCGCAGTTGGTCGTCCTGAGTGCTCTTTGATGGCCAGCGACTTTGAATTGCACTCGGAAAACTTCTGTATGTAGAAATCTTTGGATGTCTCCTGTTGTAGTTCATGTGTATAGACGAACAGTTGGTCACCTGACATACCTCTTCTTCCTCTTCAAGCTGTTTGAAAATCCGGGCGACATTACATTGTAGATCCTTCAATTCGAAGCAATAATGCCGACAGTGCATCAAGTCCTAGAAGAGTGGTTCCTTTCAATACGACGTACAGAAAGGTTGGTGTGCTCCATTCCCTATAAACCAACACGCGTCCCTGACGTCACGCAGCTGCGGTGGCGCTGTCGACGGCACTGAGCATGCACAGACACTTCACTTCACGTCTATAGGATAATGTAGCAGTAATGCAACCTTACAATGGAATTGGTTTCCTGGAATAGTCAGGTACTAGCTTTCACTTCTGCAGCTCGCAGAGGCTTGCTCGTCGGTAAGATTGTCTTGTATACATCTCATGACATGATGAAAACCGATGTCCACCAAGCATGTAACATCCTTTCCTTCAACATTCACGGTGACATACACCGCAGGAGACTCGATTGGTGTTTTTACTTGTAGTAGATGAACATCTTGCTCAACACCTGCGTGGTTAATCGCCACCTTGCACGTGCTGCTTGGCGCACTTCTTTCTCCTCAACAGACTGATCCGAAGTGTCCGTGTTTACGACATTCGTGACGCTCACTCTTTCTTGCGATGCATTTTGATTAATTGGACCAATGCAGCATTGAGCTGCCCCCCCCCCCCCTCCCCCCCCATCTGTAGCACGTTGCATTCTTCGGTGGAGCTTGGTTGGAAACGCTTGGGCCAGCCCGACTGGCTCTTCCGGCCAACTTTGGCTCTTTATCGTGTACCACCTGAACTGGCGCAGAACTTGCCGAGATGTTATTCACTTGCTGGTTTTCCCTTCTGCTTTGCTCCACCTGACGAGCCAGTAGGATGGCCCTGTCTAAAGTGAGCGCAGCGCCCTCGAGCAGAAGACATTCTTGTACCTTTTCAACCAGTTGGTCGCGTAGAGCCTCATCCAGACTCTTGGAACAGTCTTGGTGGGCACGTAGAAAACAAAATCTTTGTTTCACCACAACATGTCTTCTCCAATGTAGACACTGCAGAGATGTAAGCATTTGTAGTATTCGATGCCGTGCCTTGATTTCCATCTCTGTCCCATGTCCCTGTAGTAGTACCCGATGGCAATGTGTAGAAGATGCGCTGCCACACCGTGCCCGTGTGGATCAACATACCGTAAAATACCGGGCAAGCGCCCACCCAAACTTTGGAGATAATCACAAAAAAATAGGCATTAGTTTTACACATCAATTTACTGTGCACATTTTCTCAGATCTTACAAATCTGGTAATTGGCGTTTAATGTGGAATGGGCAGATGCGCGGTATTCTAAAGTAGCTTTTTTGTTTGGGGCTGAAATCACCGGCGTCCACGACTATCGGGCAATTTCCGAACCTGCACAGGTGCAGGTATATCTACTGGCACGAGCGCTTGTCTTTCTTCATGGTTTTGTTTGTGCAAGAACACATGCAGATGATCCGAGATCAAACCCCATGTTTCACCAGCAGCCTTGACAGCGCTGTACCCAAAGTATGAAGCAGAGTACACAGCCAATCACACAAACAGGCAAGCCCCAAAACAAGACATAGCAGATGCCTTGATTCTGTACTGCCAAGTGACCATTCGACACGACACCCAACCAATGCCGAGAAATGTTTATTAAGGTGCAGTGAAGCATGCCAAGGAGGTCTACGCATTGCAGGCTCAATGCATAGAGCCTACAAAACTGAACCACAGTTAGGACCTCCATCAATGCAGACCCAAAGAGCTGGACCATGTCTTCAGACCTCAAGAGGCACTCCCACCTGCACAAAGAAACAAAACCCTTCAGGACCCAGCTCCAGATATCCACTCTTCAGCACCACCAGCAACATGCAAATCAGAAGTACATATAGTGATTCGGTGTGTAGGGTTTATCCCCAGTGGAATGCGTAAGAGTGGTACATGATTCATCACAATGCCACTAAGCACGTGCAACTTAAAGCAAAAAAAAAAAAAAAAAAAAAAAAAAAAACTCACCAAAAACAGGCAGGGCTTTCTCAGCACTTGAACAGCCTCCCACATCTGTACAGCACACTGCAACATCAAGATGCAAACAAGAATAGCTCAGTTCAAAGAAAAGTGCCTGTGCACCATAGCTTTGTCTGTCTGCAACGTGCAAATCAGAAGTACATATAGTGATTCGGTGTGTAGGGTTTATCCCCAGTGGAATGCATAAGAGTGGTACATGATTCATCACAATGCAAGCACATCCAACATAAAGCAAAAAAAAGAAAACTCACCAAAAACAGGAAGGCACCCCTCTCAGCATTTGAACAGCCTCCCATATCTGTACAGCACACTGCAACATCAAGATGCAAACCAACATAGCTCAGTTAAGAGAAAAGCGCGCATGCACCCATAGGTTTGTCTGTCTTCTACCTGTGTAGCTACAAGACACTCAAAGGGGTACCAAACTGGATTTCGAGATACTGTCTGACAATGCTAACTCAACCTACATGCCCCAAGCATCCTAGAAAACCAAAGATTACCATCATGCACAACTCTTCCCTCTCAAAAATGCAACCCATAGCAGATTAATCTTAGATCAATTGCATAAAAAAGGGTCGTGTTCAAATGTTTTGTTTCATTCTGAAAAGGGAAAAAAGCCACACAATCATAAATTGTTACTGGCATATTTAGGGCAGTTGGGTCAAGATTAATACTATCTTAAAATCAACCTCAGTGCCCCCTCAAAACTGCCATGGGAACAAAATAGAAAGATGCACCTTACCCAAGCAGTCTTGTCACTAGATGCCACTGTATAAAACAATGGGCAACAGTTAAATAACTGCAACAATGCAGTTATTTAAAAAAGGCCTGTCATCGGCCCAAGGCACGACGCAGAGACAACGGGACATTGTTTTCTCCCCGGTTTATTTTGACCAGCGGACGCGCCATCACTTCTCGTCGGGCTTGTTGTACACGTAGGTGAGGCAGCACTTTCCGCAGTACTGCCGGTCGAAGTGGGCGGCCATGAACACACCGGCTCCGCAGTCGTCGCTGGGGCACTCCCGCCTTAGGCGAGTGATCTTGCCATTTTCGTCCACCTGAACAAAGGTGTAAACATCCACGTTTTAAAATGCCATAAAGGCCCTGAAAGTGTGCTCGTTTCATTTGGAGCAGGAAACCGCATTTATGAGTAAGCGGACGACTCCAAACAAAGGTACTGCTGTATAGACATTTTTCGTTTCGTTCCCAGACATGTGGGTTCCATATCTGGTATGCGGGATGAAAAAATAAAACATTTCAACTTGGAGTATGCGAGAGAATATAGATGAGAAAAGACAAAAATGTGACAATTGCACATTTATTGTGAACACCTTCCAGCGATGTAGAGATCAAAATTATGTTCCAACGCATACAAGTGATGACTTTCAAGATGGCTGTGTCCTTCTGAAAAAGGTGTATAGCTGAGCTAGAGTGAACCAAGCAGACCTAGTTTGATAGAAAATGCTAGCACATTTCATGAAGAAGAAATTGACTACCATCTTTTCATGACAAGTCCCAAACTAGAAGACCCAGAGAAGCCCACCTTCATCTGCCAACTCACAATGTGGCAACAATTGCACATCTTGTTACATCAAATCTGCTGCTGAATCTGGAGCAAGAAACACCACTACATAAGATGGATGTTGCTATCGAGACAAATTTTCTTCAGAAAAGCGAGCACTATTTGTCAACTTTCAAAACTTGATGCAATTACGCGGCTAAACTTGGACACACGACTGGGCCAAAAGCGTGGAGCTTCCGTTGCACTTGTCAGCGTAGTGGTGAACCAAGTAGTGCCTGCAAATGAATGATGGGACACGAGTGGCCCAGCTCAGAACTGCTGTTGTGGCACTTCTTGGAGTTCACAGATCGCCCTCCGGACTTTGCAGCGGAACCCGGCCCACCCAAACCTTGTTGCACGGCCACCCCCTCACCTTGTAGAACTTGAGCACGGCCAGCTTGACCTTCTTCTTCTTGTGCTTGTTCTTCTTGGGAGTGGTGTAGTTCTTCTTCTTGCGCTTCTTTGCGCCGCCACGCAAGCGCAGCACCAGGTGTAGGGTCGACTCCTTCTGGATGTTGTAGTCCGACAGGGTGCGCCCATCCTCCAGCTGCTTGCCCGCAAAGATCAGACGCTGCTGGTCAGGGGGGATGCCTGCAAAGACGCGCAACACGGGCATGGGAAAAGCGGCAAAGTCGCGTACAGTTTGTTTGAAGGGGCGGTGCAATGATTTTCAGACTATGAACTGCGGACATTAATCTGTAGCACCCAAAGAACGAAGTACAGAAAACCGTATTTTCTTGAGAGCGCTAGTTTTAATGTAAAAAAATGAAACAAATCGAAGGTCAAAGTGCTTTTCAACACTCCATGTCGCCTTTCGAGTGAGTACTCTGGGGGATCACGTGGTTTCCCCTTGGGTTTTTCCCTTCAGAAACCCCAGCCGCTTCTTCCACGATTATTGACTTCTAAAAAGATTAGCATTGTCGAAGGTTGCAGTGAGCGATCGACACAAAGGATTGTTCGCCACGGGGGTGACAGCGAGGAGCAGCGGAAGGGTGGACAGGTTTTGTTCACTTCGGCGTATCCCACAGGGTATGTCGCACATCAGTTTCGTTAACCACAAGCGGCAGCAGATCGGCAAATATATCGCTTTCTTTGCGATTATGCACAGGAATAGCAGTTTTTCGAAGCTGATGAAAAAATACAAACTGCTAATTCTTTCAACACTAAAATCGTTACACTAGCCCTTTAACTTCATGCGCGAGCGAAGCTACTAGTGTGCTGCCAAGAACAATGCTTGCACTGCACGAGCGCTCAAAGCTTAGCAGGATTGCGGGAACTTGCTCTTGAAGCTTATAGTGAGCCTGCAATCGAGGTGAAATCAAGGATGGCCTTAGTCACATAAGCTGCTTTGGCACTGCAGAGCCAATCGAGGACAAACAAACTGCTATATGACACACTATGTGTCGTAGCACATATATATATATAAAAAAAGGGAAAATGACAATTTGATAGCTTGTTTGTCAAAGGAAAGTCAAAACAAGAGCTACAATATTTATGGCAATACCTCGTAGTATTTTAGGTGGTCATCTCGAAAAGGTTTTGAGTCAACACCAAAAAAAAAAAGGATATAACAGCCTACTTTAAAGGCAGGAGTCACTAATTGTAGAACTTTACAGACTCGGGGAAGCCACAATAACCTCCCATTACATCCATGACACCAGTACTGGAGGTAAATCTCCCAGCATAAACTACAAGCCCCAACATCATTAACAAAGTCAAGCGGCCAACTCACCCTCCTTGTCTTGGATCTTAGCCTTGACATTTTCGATGGTATCACTGGGCTCGACCTGCAAAGCACCAAGTCGAACTTGAAGATTCTGCTCTGCAGGTAGCACTAGAGACGTCCTTTAGAAGGACAGCCATCAGAAGTACATTTAGTGATTCGGTGTATGCAGTCTATCACCAGTGAGATTCGTAAGAGTGGTACATGATTCATCCCAGCAAAAGACTACCTTCAGGGAGCACGACAGGCAAACACTCACCTCAAGAGTGATGGTCTTGCCCGTGAGAGTTTTCACAAAGATCTGCATGACCCACTGCAAGACAAGGTACACTGTGAGAACAGAAAGCTTCTCACAAACGGCGAGCAGACTGCTTCCTTCACAACTGGACGGCTGTCCAGTCAACCAAGCAGGATCAACAAGTAGGTTCATGGCAAAGATTCAAGCACATGAAAGAATTAAAAACGGGGCAGATACTGACAAATCTTTGATCTAGTTTTTTCAGCTGCTGAAAGATTAGCCTTCTGCAAGATAACGAGGACACAGTGGTCCAACTGCCACAGACCGGCCCACCCCATCCAGAAGGAATGCAGCCACACACCACATCCAATCGCAACTCTCTTTATTCCGCTCAGACGAGGAGGACGGCGTTGATGCAGCCGTCGTTCTCCGGATTGTTGGTCACCTGCGCATACTTTCCCCAGACCACCTTGCCGCCCTGCGTCACCAGTCCCAGCTCGCTCACGTTCACCTCGAGCACCGTGCCCCGAGTCACTACCCCCAGCTGCGAGTAGAGCGGCGAGCTCGGGTTCTTCTTCACCCCATTGATCGGCAGGTAGAAGGTGGCCTTCAGTTCGGGGTGGGTCACGTGCGCCTTCTTGAAGCGCAGCGCCATCGGGCGGATGAAGCGCTCGAACTTGGGTGGCTTCCGCGTGAAGCCTTCGCCGACAAACGTCACTTTCGTCACCATGCGCTTCCAGGCTTTCTTCTTCCGCTTGCCAGTCTTGAGGACCCGGAAGGCCTCCGCATCCCCGACGCCGCGGACCTTCGGCACCGGCACGTCCCACTTGCCCGCCTTCTCTTTCCGCTTCTGCTTGATCATGTTCGAGAGGACCTTGGCACGCGACTGGTTCTCCCTGTCCAGCAGGTAGACGGGCACGGCTCCCTGGGCGGCGGCTTCGGGCCCCCGCTGCTTCGTCTGCTTCTCCTCATGCATCTTGAGGGTCTTCTTCATCTGCACCTTCTCCGAGTAGCGCTTCTTGGTCAGCATCTTGGCCTTGAGGCCACGGACAGTCTTGGCTTTCTGCGCATCTTCGTGGACCTGGCGGCCCTTGCGCTTCCGCAGTCGCTCGTGGTGATCCAACCGGTAGCCATAGCGGCGCCGGTGGAGCTCGATGTGCTCGTTCTGCGGCATGCTGTCGGGTCGGTCGCCGCTAAGCAGACGACTCTGAGCACCTCGTGGAGAGGGCTGTCGGTGACACTACGGTGGCCGACTCTGCTATGCCCTCCTTTTCGTTGCAAAGTGCTGTCAAGTTTCGAGGCGATCGCCCTGCAAAGATGCAGTGAGGCACTTTTTCAAGAGCTTGCTCTCTCTACACGAACTACTGTTCCAAAGGCAAAACTAGATCCTAACACGAGTTTCAAAAACTGTCAGGTCTGGTTTAGTAAAGGGTGCCACAATTAAATACACCTGAAGAAAAAAAAAAGAAAAAAATCTTATAAACGGAAAATTAAGCCTTTACAATAGGCACGCCAATCCGTGCAGATACGACTGTGCCAACCTCCACCACGATCTCCTTGTGGGCCATATGCGCTGGCTAACTTTACAAGCACAAAAAAAATAAATAATAAACGCAAGCCAAGAAATAGTTCGAAACTTGACAGCACTACGCACCAGCTATTTTTACTGCTACAGTCTAGCCGACTTATAACAAAGTGTTGAGTAGGGACATCCAAACGAGATGGGGAACTCACCGTCGAATTCTTGTACAGAAAAGAACGCCGAAGTGTCGAAGGAAATAGTCTGCCCTTCAGCTCCGTTATAAGAGGGCTTGACCGTAGCTTGAAAGAGGCGGTCGCCAACCAAAAAAGGCCCGCTAAATGATTAACAAAGACCCAACTCGAAAGAAATCTCTGGCAGCAGATTCCGGTGATTGGTACCCGGCGATTCACCACGTTGTAGCGATGCCGTGAGGCATCTGCGCTTCGACACCGGTAACAATTATTTCCGACTTAAAATCACGTAGAGATTTAAGACATAACCTTCCGAGTAAGCCAATTAAATCGGAAGCTACCGAGATAAACATTTTGCGACAAGCAGGAGGCATGACGTTATGCTAGGACAAAACAGGATGCACGAGGCGGTTAGCCCTAGCGCCGATGTTCGATTTGATCGCAAATAATTTAATAAAAAAAACCCAGTGATTGTTACGTGAAACGAAGGTCATTCGATGTCGTAGTTACTATATGCTTTATAACCACCCGAAATTTAAGGAATGTCCAGCTAAAGCGCACGAAAATCGCAAATAAAGAGAGATACTCACAAATTTTGAACCGACGTCACACCGCCATTGAATAGAAAAGGACTGATTCGGTGGACGGGGATCACCCCTGTGAAAGCAGGGGAGGAAGTCGATCAAAAACGGACATGACGTAACTTAACGCCAAGTTCCTCATAATCATTTATAAATACAAATGCACTTCACTTAAGATATAAAACAAATATTATAAATTGTGTCCAGATCAAGCTAGTATCAAAGATCAAAATCCACAGTCTAGGACTAGAAACTTGTTGGGTTTGAGGGTATGTGCGGCGGTGGTGCTCAAAAATGGCCGGAAAAGTTGCCAAAGGAACGAATCGAATCGAAAATGATATCTTCAAATGCCGCGATGAGGCCAACTGGCGGAAAATACAGGATCTCGCCGAACAACTTCAGCAGCGCGGTGGGGGGCCAGCTTCAGGTTGGTTGCTTTCCTCTCCGATCACCTACAGACTCGAACCGTATTCGAGCTCGGTATTCAGTTTCGCTTTCGCACATAGTGTTTATTCAGTTGTCGGCGCTTGTTTATCTCGCTGTATGCATGGTATGTAGGGTCCATAGTTTCTCGGATGACGGAGGTGAAGAAAGACAAACCTCCTGTCTGTGCATTCCAAGGGACACCGCCGAACAGTGACATAACCACGTAACTCCTTTCAGTCGCTCTAAAACCACTTGCGCCATCTACTGCTCTCGTGCTCAGTTACAGGCTCCTCGCATTAACCCTTCACTCTTTCCACTTTAGCAAAGCTGGGGAGGAAGTGGGTGGAGTGAGTGAAACCACCAGCCATGGCAAGCAGAGAGCGTTGAGGGAGGAGTTTGGGTAGCTTATCTTAACCTGCAACATATGGCTGTACCTTTTTTCATTGCTGATATCCAACACTTGGCACAATAATAACTTGTTCCAAAATAAGATCAATTCGGTTAGCACGCAAAGGTTTCATTTTATTTATTAGCAGAGCCTAATCTCCGTTCCAGCCCAACTTATTAAAGACCAAAGGAGCTGCGACCCACACACGTGTGATCAATTGAAGCAATGGAGCGAATCATTTGACAGCTCTCCGCGAAAAATGTGCCGTCCGACGGTAGGTTGTTACGTGCCTCACTGCAACGCTATAATTGGCTTGCCGGGGACATGGTTTTTGCCCGTGGCCAAATTGTGTGAAACAGGGTATCCCTGTGCCAAGACAAGTCTTCACGCATGTCACAAGATTTTAGTGCAGAACGAAAAACCATGTAACAATCTGTTCAAAATACAAGCGTGCTATTATCATTCCAGATTATCATTGATTGTTTACCTTAAAGGGATGGTGAACCGAAATTTGGATTTCAGAAAACAATGCAGGAGCTGTAGACGGGACACCTACAACCCCTACAACACTACTCGTACGGCGATGTCTCGAATCGACGGCCGTATTTTTGGAAAAAGAGGTCGAGATTGAACAAGGCTGACGAGGCGCGTGACGTCAAAATATCTCGTTTCTCCTCTGTTTGCTTCACCCCCGCAAGGCGGTGAGGCGGAGAAGACGCGAGGCTGTTCCCTCTCCTTCTCGGAGAAACAAGACGTAAACGTATCTGTCAAATGTGCCCCCTTTTTTTTTTTTTAAATACGGTCATCCGTTTGAGATATCGCTGTATGAGTGATGTTTTGGTGTTTGTAGCATCCCGTTGCATGCTTTTGCCGCCTTGTTTTGTGGAATCCAGATTTCGGTTCTGCATCCCTTTAAAAGGGCCCTGCAACAATCTTTTGACTGGTTTTTAATTTGCACCGAACCTGAGCGCACCAAACGTAGTAACTTAATATAACTTTTTGTTTCTCGAATTTCGCTTTATTTTAGAAGTTATTCGCAACTCCAGCGCGCCGCTCGCCCTCCCGCGGACGAACGGAGAACCAGAGGACCGGGGACGGCAGCGGCGGCGGTGGCGCGGAAACGGTGGCGGGGACTGTCGGCCTTGATGCGCGAAGCCGTTTTAGCGAACAAAAGTGAGCGCGTTAAAGAAGGAATTCTTGTGCTCCGCCTTGCAACAGTCTTGCACGAAGGACCGGGATGTCTAATTTCATTAGGGACTTTTCGTGTATCGCATACGCTGCGGATTTTCGTTCTTGTGCATGGCCGCCAGCTCAACCTGTGCTCAACGTGACGGACGACGCTCCCGCTAATGATGAAGAACTCTATAGTACGGTCTACGAAAAGTCTATTCTTTGCCATAAGTAGGAGAAAACTCGTCGCGCAACGGTATGTCGAGCAACACAAATCGGGAATGGGTTCGTGTTTTAAGGCCGTTACAAGGAACATGACCATTTATTCTAAGCACTTTAAAAAGACAGAATCACCCGTACTTGCTTTCAGGTAATTACAAAGCAAATAAAGAAATGCTCGAAGCATTTTAAGTGCGTTTGTGTTAGCCAGCCGTTCGTGACGAGAGCTTAGAACGCGCAGTTTTGGCCAGAGGGATCGACCGCAATGTTGCAAATAACACGGTACAAAAAATGTAAGGTAAATTAAAATATTTATTTGTGATAGAGCAATAAATAAAACCCCTAAACACGCCGATTATGTTAATAGGCAGTTTTCGCATAGCGTACGACACCCCTAAACTTCAGTTGGACGCACAGCGCACTGACGTTCAACCGACGCTACCAACTTTCACGAGCGGCTTGATAGCCGAGTTGTGCAACTTATTAAAATAGCTTAAGTAAGTGTAAATGACCGCAAAGAAAAAAAGTAATCGTTTTTTTTTTTTTGCCCTACTGCAGAGCCTCGGTGTTTCTTTTTGTTGTTTTTTTTCGGTACTTTTTGATGCATACTTTAGCTGTTTAATATCTTATATTGCGCCGTCGTCAAGCCTCTCGTAAAAGTTGGGGCCGTCAGTTTGACGTCAGTAGGCTTCACGGCGACCTGAAGTTTTGAGGTGTCGAATATGTGACAAGGAGTGTAAAAACTACAACATCTTTTTTTTTTTTTTAAGAGTGATGAGCACGGTATACCGTGCGATGTACCATTTTGTTACCGCAGGCTATAGCCTGCGGTAACAAACTTTCTATCAATAACCATAGAGCAGTTTGATTACGTGTTGCAATACACTAAAACCGAGACGGTGAGCAGCGATTTGAGAGGCTGTGACGCGAAGACACCAATACAGTGAACGCCGTTCGCGGCTCTCCTTTTAGAGCACTAATGGCCAGGCAAAGCGCAAACATATCTTCATCACCCTCAAAAATATTCTGCCACAGACAGTAACGTGGCCGGTGCCTAAAACACGCTCGCTCACCACAAAGCTTCGCAATTTGACGTTTCTGCAACTTTTAAATAATAATATGCTAGTTTTCCCAACGTGCATCAGCATCTCCGTCACCTGTAATATGATCCCTCCCTAACCGCTTCGCATTTGTGGACAAATAAAGCATTTTAAGCGCGCTGAACAGCGTCAGCGCGAGCAGGCGCTCGGGATATCCTGGAGAATCTATCCCCGTCTCTTCCGCCATCTTGGAACTACCGCCCCGCCACCTATAGGGCGTTGGAGTTGCGAATAGGCAAATTAAAATTACAAAAACAAGCAAAAAATAACCTCCTTCATGACGCCCCTGGTCCTGGCTTGGGTGGCCGTGAACTAGAGGAGGGGTAGCGAGCTCAGCGAGCGCTCGTGGCTGCCGCACTCAGTGTCGACGGCTCGAGAGGGCTCCACTAAAGCATGTGCTGGATAGGCTAGATCAGGGGTGGCCAAACTGCGGCTCTTTGCTGGTCCAACTGCGGCTCGCGGATTCCTCGTAGGGGTCCCCCCCCCCTTCGCTCCTTTCCGCGTTGCCCTAGGAAAAAAAGAAAGGATTTCAGAATAAAGCACAGCTTGCGGTTTGACAGACTTGTACCCCCATACGTACAGTCGTACCGCCTTGTGCCCCCATACGTACAGTCAGGCACTATACAAAATTTAAGTTTGCCCCACCCCATCCCCCCCGCCACCCGCGGCTCTTAGAAGTTTCGTGGGTTTGTTTGCGGCTCTTCGGCCGAGTCAGCCTGGCCACCCCTGGGCTAGATGAAGCAGGCGGCCAGGGCGGCTCGCATTACATTAACTGCGCGACTAAACATTAATTCGGCATGACACTGCATTGGCCACAAACGACAGCAAACGCGGGGTAAAGATCAGGTCAGAATTGGAGCCACTTCGCGCTGCCATACCACGAAACGGCCAAACCAAACCTGTCGCCAAAGGCCTTCCTAAAGCTCCGAACCAGTCGGATCCTGCAGCCCGTACGACTGCAGCGCTGCCGCGTACATCAGGGACCTTTCTACACTCACTGCTCGTCGGCGCCCAATCCCACTACCCCTTTCTAGTATGCGCCGCCTTTTCCACCGCTTGGTGGTGGGTATGTCGACAAGTCATTTGTTGTTTCCATACTTTATAAACCGCATTTGTTTCTTTTCTGATCTAAAATACTGAACAAAAACTACTTTCATAAATAATTGAAACGGTTTGTGCCACTTATATTTTGTATTTCAACTAAAAAAAAGCTCTTAGCGGCTCTGACCACTTGTAAGGCAGGAGCTGGCCAGGGCCGATGTCACAATGTCATCACATGCCGCGTGCGTTTGGTACCACGAAGCGCCCCCGTAGGTGGAAGAAGCTTCCGCATCGTCCGGTTAAAATGTGACGCACTGATATTTAGTTGCTCTCTCTATGTTCGTTGGGTTGCCCGAACCACAAGAGATGTAGAAACTGCAAAAAAAATAGATGCTTAAATAGGATTGCAGGGCCCCTTTAAGTTTGAGCATGCTGTGTAGTATTTCACTCTCTGTCGGTATTCCTGTAAAGCTGAGCTGTATGCGGGTCGACACTGTTCGAAGCATTCAAATTTGCTGGTATGTGATGAATTCCAGATTTGCTGAACGTTTTCAGACCTTTTCAATTTCCTGCCGGCATTGAGAGTGCAAAGTTAACATGACCGGTTGTCAAGTGTTGCAACTCTGGGGTTTTACAGCGGAGCTGTTAAGCGCTAGTTTCCCCAGTATCGTGTCCGCCAGCAAACAAATGATGACACAAAACTCTGGACAGCTACCGCCATCTATAAGCGACGGCGGCAACCAGACAACTGGCTTACCGGTTGTCTGGTTGCCGCCATCGCTCATAGACGGCGGCAACCTTTCCAGCCTTTCCACCTTGGCTTGCCGACTTGCGGCCGGCCATTACTTCATTCTCACCATAGTACACCAGAGTGGAAAGGCTGAAAGTTTTTTTTTCTTCCCAGCTCTGGGGATACTTGCTTAAGAATGAGCGCTTTCTATTTTGATGCATGAAACAGAGGTTATGGCAAGCTTCTTCATCGGCGAGAGCAAGCTCGAACAGTTCCTCGAAGAGCATCCCCCCACAGAAGTCAACATCCCGAAGGCCAAGACGGGACTGACAGAAGCCAAGCGTTACCTTCAGCACTGCTTCACGGAGCATGGAGCAAAGGCATGCAGGCTATGCCCTTCATTCACTATATATCCAGATTACTTTGTGGTGCAAGTACTTAAAGTTCACTTTGTATTCAAATTAGTATTTAAGATATGTTTTTAATACCTGTAGTGTTTGCTCTCAATGCACTTCAAGAGCTTGTGGAGCGCATTTTTCTGCTACTTTCAAGTTATTGATCTACAAGTATATAGTTGACTTTCGGGAGAGTACATTACTCATATTGGGTCTGTGCTATAAGCTGAAATTGGTAGTGCAAGGTGCAACTCACACTCGGCAGTGTGGTATTGATTTCAAGATGCCTACTAACATGGAATTTGTATTCAATTTAAGCTAGCCTTTAAGCAAGGACTTTTCAGTGGCAAGGGAGGTACGTAAGCAATATTTCTTAGAATATTGCCTAACTGCAGGCTTTCCTCTGCGCACAATTGTTCAGAAAACGCAAACTCAAGCGTTTCGTCTGCTGGCAGCTCGACCAATAAACTAAGGTACCCGGAAAAACCAAAAAATGAGGAAACATAACTATGACGGGCACAGTTGGCAGCCTGTCTCTCGTTCCATAGAACGACCCACGAGACGGCTCATGGGCTGGCTAGCCTTACAGCTTGGAGGGGGTTACGGCCAAAACACCTCCTCCTTTGCAGGCTGGCATTACGACGGACGGGCATTTTCTGCTAGCCAAGCTGCTGTACGCCCAGGGGTTCTACGAGGAGGCCCTGACGCATCTGGACAGCGGTGGCATCGACCGCCTGGACGAGAAGTCCCTGTCAAACCGCATTCTTAAGATTCTCGCCGAGTCCTTCGCCATCAAGGGTAAACGGCACCCGTCTGATGTGTCCGACCACTCTGGATAGAATGTGTGTTTACTCTCGCCGGCTAACCAATCGCGCAGGAAAAAGTGTGGGATGCCGGCGCATTGGCTGTGCGCAATTGGTTAAGCCCCTGGTAACAAACATGCAAAGACGTAGAGTGCCCTGATTATACAGTTTTGGCGCTGTTTGATTGACTCCGTCTAATCCCAGCGTTTGCTGCAATCGGGCTTGATGTGAAACAAAGTATAGCAGGCACATCTTGCTTGGGCAGACTCAAAGTCAAATGTGCAAACCTGCCTTTGTGCTCTATACGTCTAGAGCAGATAATGACTCGAGAAACGGAGCATCATACTCTCGTCCTCGATTCTCGGTACGTTGTGGCTGTGCATGATGATGCAACTGATGCGAAAGTGCGAGCGAGCTGGACGAGAGATAACTATCGTTATGGCCACGTTGTTTGCGTGGGCTTATAGCAAAGTGAAGGTATGTCGGTGATTGACGAACAGTGTGCCGGGGGAAGGCGACCCACGAAGCTCTCAAACGCATGTGGTCTTGCAGGGCTGTGCTTGGAGAAGGTGCCCCTGAAGTCTACGAGCAGGACTCGGGCAGCCAACCGGGATGACCAGATCGCCGGATATTTTGTGCAGGCCAGTGACCTGGCACTCAAGTACCTTCAGGTGGGTGCAAGCTCGGAAAACGAAGAACGGCGACTCGACGGTTCGTGACTGCGGCATCATCGTAGTGTGGCGTTCCCTTTCTGTCGCCTTCTGACAGTACTTTGAGAGTACCGTATTTTCTGAACTATAGTTAACACCCGGTGTATTGTCTGTAGCCGGTGCATAGTTTTGCTCGTAAAAAAAATCTCATATGCAGCATACCTTAAAAAATGCCCACTTTATTTGCCCACACAAAAAAAAAAGAAAAAAGAAGCTTGTATTGTGCAGAAATTGTCTACATAATCCTGTCGTTTACAAAATCCGTTGGGTCTCGTCCCAATGAACGATCTGGATCTTGAACAAATAAATTATTGTGTAGTCTGCATGTGCAGATAGTGCTCACCACATTAAATTTCAGTTACTAAACACATACCTTAAAATACCGAGCAAGCTCCCACTCAAAATTTGAAGATAATTGCGTAAAATTAGGGGTGGGCGCATGTGAGGTGATCAATTTTACATATATATCTACTTTGCATATTTTTTCAGACGTTTCCAATTTCGTGGGTGGGTGTTTTGTGCGGAATGGACGGATGCACAGTATTCTACGGTAATCCACCGAGTATAGTCTGGACAATATGGCCGAATATAGGTACCATAAATGTTTTATGTGCAACAACCGCTTTAACTATAGGGGATTCTGACATACAGCCATTGTTTTCGTCTGAATTTCGTGCAATAAATCGGTGCCTTTTGTATACATCAAGTTTGCATTTACTGCTGCCTACTGGAAGTTTGCATTTACTGCTGCCTACTGAGTAACCCAACATGTAAAAATAACCACAAAAAAAAAAAAAAAGTTTTGCGAAGGAGTAAGTGTTGGAGAGCAAACCTAAAAATGCGTTGCTCAAAGCAGCAACATACATGCAGTTAACAAAAAAATAAAAAAATGTGATGTTTTTTTTTGTTTTGCTAATTTATTTTGCAAATAGAAGCATTATGAGTCTATTCTATTTTGTAGACTTTGTCGTCCAAATCCATTTACGACATTAGTTTTGTGGCACATTTTTGATTCGATGGCTCCCGAAACGTTGCCTCGTTCTCCCAGGAGGTCGAAAAAGCCCAGGGGACAATTGGCGGGGTCCTCCCAATGGCGACCACCGCGGGGGCGCAGGCTGCCGTGGCCTCCTCCTCCTCTCCCCTGCCCCCCAACACCGAGTACCGCATTGGCGCCGTGCTTGAGACGGTGCTTCAGAGGGCGCCCCTCCTCATGATCAAGAGCGGGTGAGCTCCGGCCCGCACTTTTCCGAGATGTCATATTCATGTTCTTTGGAGGCTCTTTCCGAGACATGCACTGACCACCGTTATGTGCTACAGAGGGTGCATCAAATTGTCCTGTTGCAAAGTGTTTACATTTTTTTTTTGTATTTAGAAAGTCTACCAGTTTGATTCTTCATTTCGGTACGGTAGTTACAGGGTTTATTCTTGTTACGTTGCGTGCATTCAGTTCACAGCTCAACGTCACGACGTCAAATAAAACATACAAAATCGCAATACATAAGAAAAGAAAAAGCATACGTCATGATCAAATTACAGAGTTCTGAAATTGCTATAGTATATGATGCATGTCAGGAGCAAGAAAAGGCACGCAAATCACATAAGGACTCTACGAATCTGTAATGAACAGCTGTTGTCGGGTAGATTATCTCTTGTGGAAAGAATGACCACGTGAAAAAGTTGTGGTAACACCAACATTCCGCACCGGTGATCGGTACTAAAGGCTTGCTTTGCTACAGGCGACTAGCAGCAAGGCGCAGTGGGTGTGGCCTTGTGGTGTGGCAACTGTTACGAGATGCACATTGCAGAACATTGTCCAACATAGACTTAAAGGTGCCAAGTTTGCTTGGCCGTGTCTCTAGTCGCCTCTGACCCAGGCTTCCTCGCAGGAAGCTGCGGCAAGCCATCGACCAGTACCGCAACGTCCTGCGTGCCGAAGAGACGAGCTCCACCCAGTCCCTGCGTCAGGTCAGAGCGTACCCTCTGTCACCACCGGTTGTGCGATAGGCGCCGACACGTTGCAGAAATAAAATGAACGAAAATTAAAGGAAGAAATAGGCAAAGATTACATGCATAGAATTATAAGGGGTCTTTGGTAAATGTGTTCTTTAGTTTTCTCACGCATGAATAAGAGTCGTGGTGTTTCCACACCTGTCATATCAATTTGAACACGTTTTTATGGAAATCTACTTTCCCGCAAATGTTTTGCACGGTTTTAGCTTCTCTCCCTCGGCAATTTACAGAGGGGGTAACTGTTTTGCACGGGCACGTGAAAGCTGCCTCAGTGGCCGCGGGGAGGCAAAGAGTTCCTACAGATTCCCGCAATCTCGCGAAGAAGGCGACGTGCAACCGATATTTTGGTTGCACGTCGGAAAAACTCCAATTGGTCGTAATTAATCCTCAGTCCTTTGCTGGGGTGCACCGAATGCCCTCCGTCGGTATGGCACCTAGTCCCCCCCGAATTTGCCTTCTTTTTTGTCGAACGTGCGACCGATCCACGTGGAGTTCGAACGAGGTCCCCGTTGCAGACGATGTCGCGGCAATTGGCCGAGGTGCTCCTGCGAGGTCTCTCGGAGAGCGTCTACAACGACTACGAGCCGCGCATTGAGACCAAGAAACAAGGGAAGCACTGGAGGCCTAACAAGTACACCGGGCAGTCGTAAGCACGGCTCAGAAATATATTTTTCTCTCCATCTGTTTTGTCGTTACTGTATGCATATTTATAGAACTCGGATTAGAGACATATTGCAAAAGCTCTGAACGGAAACCTGGACGACGCATATTTTTTTGCAGCCTGTTCATGCCCAAGACCGAGTACGAAGAAGTCCTGCTGCTGCTCTTCATCAGCGAGTCCATGGTGAGGCCTTCGTATAATTGATTACTCCCCAGCGCCATTAGCCATTGTAGTCGGACGGCTTTTGCGTTTTGCGTCTTCCACAGAGAACAGAGGACTCCAGTGGGAGCTTGCATGTTCTTAATATTGGAAGTAAACAATTTGTGGCAGTACTTAATTTGGTTCCACCTGACAGAATCGTTACGCATACAATGTTTCCGGGTTGGTAAATCTTGGTGCAATCGTGTACATGCCGAGACTCGTCCTGAAACTTCTGACAAGAATGCTGTTGGTTGACGAGAACGTTATTGGCTGACAAGAACGCCACTGGGATGATGGTGAGGTGCCACCCACGAGGGCGCTCTGCTGGGGTGGCAACGCTACATTATTTCTCGGTCCCGTCGCTTTTCCGTCTCGCTCTCGCATCATTTTCCTGTCTCGTGAAATTTTCACCGAGTTGTCCTCGCCATAAATGTGTGCGACGAGAACCTTTTCCACGGTCACCTCGTGTGTTTGCAGGCCGTGCGGAATGCGGTGCTTGACCGCTCTCCGGAGTTCCTGGACGCGCGTATCCACTCGTACAACAACGTGACGGCCGTCTACGACCTCCTGGCCATCATCCTGTCTCGGCTCGGCCAGTTCCAGATCCTGTGCGAGGTACTCCGTGCCGTTGACTCGCGTGTCGCAAACTTGTCTGTTGTAAGATCTATTTCTCGGGAAAATTGTCTTTGCTACGTCAATATGTTTGCTACATCGTTACCTCAAATGAATTCACCGGCGTTATGTGTATCTCTTGACTTCGCTTCGCTTTTTCTGTATCTCGGCTATATCAATCTTAGTTATGACGAGGTTCTGCTGTACCTCGAGTTGTTAAAAACAAGAAAGGTTGAGAATAGTTTTTGTCTACATTTTTGGGGCATTATGTGTTAACTATTAAAAGAGACCTGTCTAAATGCATGCTCTACTGGAAGTTTTTTTTTTTTTTTTTTTTTTTTATAATATTGATTTTAGAGTAGCATTAGTGATTCTGCCATACGTCTCATTTGAGAGTGTGTTTGGAAAAGTAGTACGGCTGAAGAAAAAGACACCTCAGTTTTCATGTGTTATCTTTTAATTATTCCATTCGGTATCCTCGAAGGGTTTGCATAGCCGGTTTAATCTTCCAAAAATGCTATGTTCGCACATGTCTATTACAAGTTAAGTTGTATATTTGATTCTACACATATTTTCACCAAATATGGCGACTCGTAACCGCAAGCTGAAAGTATCACTGGCATTGATTCGCAGCGTAGCTTATTCTTTGTCTTTGTCACCTTTTTGGATCTTGTGCCACACCAGTCGTTTGAGCGAGCCATGAAGTTTGCGTTCGAGGAGTACCACGTGTGGATGCAGTTCTCATTGGCACTCTTGTCTTCCGGCAAGGTGAGTTCATTGTCTCTCATAGACGTTAAGATTTGGACGAGCTGACAGCTTAATCACCACTGGATCAGGAGTGGTCTCGTGTGGGAGCAGTTTTGTACGCCAGCCTTCCAAGGAACTGTGAAACGAAAACTGGAAGTTGGCAATAGGCCCCTTTTCCTACACGACACTATCTTGTCAGAAAGACTGTGCAGGGTTTCAGGGTCCCAAAGCCTTGCAGCCTACTAGTACCCTTGTTTGTTGTGTTAAGAGAAGAGACTGTCTGGTTGGGAGAGAAATGTCTAGCTGAGGACGAGAAAAGAGTGCGAGGGATTTCTCCTAAGAGAAACACGAACTTCTATTTTTAATATACATTAATGATCTCTACCTCAACATATCCTCTTCAATACGTCTCTTCGCCGACGACTGTGTAATTTATAGACCTATTAATTCATACCACGATAATCAAATTTTGCAGAATGACCTCGCACTTATAACTCAGTGGTGCCACAAATGGCAAATGACTTTAAACTTTAATAAATGTAAATCTCTATCATTCACCCGCAGTTCACATGTTTCATCCTTTTCTTGTCACCTTTCCACTATCCCAGTAGCTATCTGTTCCTCATATAAATACCTAGGCGTTCACCTGACCTCTGATCTGTCATGGACTACTCACATAAATGCTGTCACTGCCGATGCTAACCGTGCTCTCGGATTTCTTCGCCGTAACCTCAGACTAGCTACACCTTCAGTAAAACTACTAGCTTATACGACCTTGGTCAGATCTAAACTTGAATTTGCTTCATCCATATGGTCACCATGGCAATCATATCTAACTAACAACCTTGAATCCGTTCAAAACAGAGGTCTTCGCTTTATTTACTCTGACTACTCCCCATACACTAGCATATCAGGATTACGCAAATCAGCTAACCTTGACTTACTTTCTTTACGTCGAAGGGTGTCACGTCTCACTCTTCTTCACAAAATCTTTTACCACAACAACCATCTAAAAGATTCTCTACTATCACCTCCCTACCGTATTTTTCCTCGTTTTGACCACTCATGTAAACTGCGCTCAATTACTTCGTCATCTGTCTCCTATAAAATGTCGACTTTACCATCTGCTATTGACGATTGGAACTCATTACCTGACCTCATTGTAAACATGACTGATACTAACAAGTTTGCTGCAGCCGTTAACCTCTTTCTTTCTGAAATACAAGTATAGATTACAGCGTGTTTTTTATTAACTATTTTTGTTGATGTTTTTAGTGTGTTCACTCCCTTGTATAATGCCCCCTGGGGCCCTCAAGGAAAATAAATGATGATAAATGATGATACTGTGTGCGCCACTTAGCCAGAGCAGAAAAGGTTGTTTTGTGGTCCTTTGAAGGTGGTGGAATACATCACCCCGCATTGAACCTGCACCTTCTCCTGTAGCTTGTTTTAGCAGATTGAATCGACTGGCTTGCTTTAGTCAAGAATGTGCGGTTGTGGTCACTGTGCTTTTGTCCTTGCAGTTCTCCAGGGCCTGCCTGATGCTGAAGGAGTGTGCACGTCTTCAGCCACACAACAGCTTCCCCTGCCTGCTGGCTGCCAAGGTGGGGGATCATTCCTCGCCCCTTTGCTCACTTCCACGGAACGCCCCGGATCTCTGGGCAGTGCGCATTCGGAAAAACGGGTTGGACGAACGTTCAAGGGACCTTGCTGCTGTCTACCGTAAAATCCAGAATAGATGCTCGCCTATAGTGAATAGATAAAGTGTGAAAAATATTGGGTGGGTGATCTTTGTGGGGATGCAACAGCAAAATTTTATAAAAAATGGGTGATAAAGACATAAGGGGTGGGGGGGAGGGGGGGCTCTCGCCATGAACTCGATGACACAGGAGCCGATACTGCAAATCAAAGGCATGGCAAGCTCGGGTTTTGTGGTGCGATAAGCACGCGGGAACTCACTACGAACTCCTGCGTTGCGGGAACTGACACTGCAGCCTGCAGACGCAGCAGATTCACGTTTCACACTGCGATAAATACGCAGAAACCTGCCACAAACTTGCCTATCGTGGGTTTGTACCGGTAACAGATGGCATGCTTGACGCAATACGTTGGCCATTGCGTGATGTCTAAAGACAATCGAGGTGCGGACAATGTTTTGGAATTTATGACCTACGAATATTTAGGGAGAAGAATTTCCCAGTTCCTTGCCGTGCTCCGCAAAAGCACCGCAGTGACGGCCAAGAGACGCTGCACACTGCTGTACACAGTTACACTGCCCGTGTTTAAATTTAGTGAACTTACGGTATCATCCCGAAAAATGCCCCACCCCCGATTTTTAGCACGATTTGCTATTCTTTCGAAAACGCAGAAAAATAGCCCACTTCTAGTATAATTGCAGGGCCCTGGCCAATGGTGACCTCCGCATAAATGGTGTTACTTAACCGCGACGGGAGATGAGCGAACATTGCTGACTAGAAAGGACAGTCGTCTCTGGTTCATCGCCCCTCCCTGCAATTGCAAGTTTCGCAGGTCACAAAATCTAAAACTCGCATTTGTTTCGACATTTTTTTTTGATCGCACACCGAAAGTTCGTTTACCCCTTATTTGCACTTGATTTGCTTTTGAATTTAGGTGGGCTATGTCTCGGGATATCACGGCAGTCCTGCGGAAGTTTGCGGAGAAATTTTCCCGCCAAATTTAGCAGGCCACGGCATACACGAAATGAACTCGGGATCCGCTGCAAAACCTCGCCAGCAATGGCCATCGCCGTACAATGGGATGGACGATCTTTCGGGGTAGGGAGTTTGTACGGGCTTTTACGGCAGGCATGCACGCTGTGCAGTTTGAGCGGGCGTCGTCCTCTGTGTGCAGGTGTGCCTGGAGCACTTGGGTAGCGTGGAGGAAGGGGTGGAGTTTGCGGAAGAGGCCCTGAGCAGGGAAAAGCAGCACTCCCAGAGCCTGCTGGCACAGTGCCACCTGGTGCTGGGCGTGGGACACGCCCTGATGGCCGACCAGCGCCGGCCGCAGAGCAGGCGGGCAGAGCACAAGGCCACCGCCTTCCAGTGCTTCCTCAGGTGGGCCCACACACAGGGAGGAGGCTTGGAGTGTACAGCGGCATTGCAAAGACACCGGTGTTGTTTTCACTTTCTGTCTTGATGGTGTCGCGTCGAAACACGTGTCTTGGTTGTTCTAGAGGCACTGAATGAGCTATGCTTTAGAGTGCCAACGCCTGGACCATAGATGGATGGATGGTAATTGACCCCGTAAGTGATGACGTCACAACATGGCGTCTGGGTCCAAACAAACCGTTGCTAGGGGCGTTGCTATGGACTAATGCATGGAGACTCCACATGAGGCTAGACTTTTGCTTACAAGTAAGTAAATAATTTTTTGTAAGCAACGAAACTTCTTGATATCTAATTACGAAGATGTTCTTGTCGTCTCAGTATCGTATTGCAACGATGAAAGCCATTTCTGAAGTATTACACTCCGTTTTGCTTTGGTAGCAGACAACACGATAGGTTCGCTGGCCTCTGTTGCAGCGGGTGTCTTCATTGAATTGCATCGGTAAACGGGCGACAAAAACAGTGCATCGCCATGGCCGTAGAGGCCTCCGCAATGTGCGTTTTTTTTTCCTACCCAGCTTAGTTCAGAGGGATGAAAATGCCGTCAAATCAAACCACGCCATGCAGATCAGTTATGACGCCGACCTGAAGTGCATTGCCGGCATGAGAAACAAATCGTACGCCGTCGAGGTAAATCGTTTGTTATTATTATAATTGAGGTTGTCAGGTTATTAAAGAATTGCATGTCTATCGCCATTTCGCAGTATTTTTTTTCCTTGGTGTACATCAAATTTTGTGGATGCGCTCTTTTGGTGAGGATCTCTATCGAACCCGCGATGCGAGTACAATCCGTAATAAAATCACCTTATGCTTTTTTTTTTATCCAGTTCTTTTGTGCTTTGGGGTCTTGCGGAAATCTTAAGAAACTGCAGGAATCTTTCTCCACGCGATGGTTACAACCAGGTACGAAGCACCCTCCCATAGCGCGAGTCCGCAAACAAAATTTGGGATCTCAACCGATCGCCTGAAGTGCTTTTCTCACGTGTGCAATGCAATTTTTTGGCAGACGATCATCTCGAATCACACCATCGCATCATCGCATCGCATCCCACTATGAATTCTTATAAGTGTCTGAAACTCATTATATTTCAAACAAATGCAATTTCAGAACATCGCCTTTATTCACATAATTCATACGCCGGCGCCGGCTTGGCCGGTGGGCATGTGGCAGACGGCATACTTCTTGCATTCGTCGTCTGCTGCAGGCATCTTAAGGACCGGAAGTTGCAGTCGTAAATATTTCAGAAACAAGCGATTAGCGGCACACTTCTGTCGAAACATATATGACATTCAAGCTTTCTATATCTGTGATTTTCAGAAGTTTGAATCCTACTCCTGATTTTTGAACGGTCGGGTTTTCATAGCGGAACCTAGCCACATGTATTTGTCCATAACAACGACCCTAGCAATGGTTTGTTTGGACCCATGAAGTCACACTTATGGAGTCAATGGCTATACCCTTCGTAACTAGGGATGTCGCGAACCACCCCAAGTTCGATTTCGAAAGGTTTCGAGTTTTGCGAAGCGAACTGAGGTTCGATTTCGAAAAATTTCGATATTTTCGTACCGACCAAGGTTCGAATTCGAAAAATTCGCAGCTTTCGATCCCAGTGCAGTTTCGAATTCGAAAAGTTCGAAGCTTTCACGGTTTCTAAAATTTCGGATTCGAATATTTCGAATATTTTTTTTTTCTTCAGGTTCGATAAATTCGAAGATTTCGAAATTCTTTGGGAACAAAATTTGACAACTTCGAACGCTTCGAATTTTTATAGACATGAAGTTCGAACAATTCGAGAATTTCGAATTTCTTTCTGCATAAAATTCGAAAAGTTCGAAGGTTTCGATTCTCTTTTAACGCTAAATTCGAAAAACAAAAAAACTTTGAAGATTTTGAATTTTTTTCTAGTCCAAGTTTTTAAAGTTCGAAGTCCGGTTTTCAAGTTCCTCCACAGTTTGTTTCAAATAACGTTTTTACGACTCACTGGTTTTCACAAAATTAAGTTTAGAAAAGTTAGAGTGTGATATCTAGATTCTGCGAAGTTGGTCAGGCAATTAAATGAGACAAAGAGTGTCCCGGATGTGCTGGAATATTTGCCAGTGCAGAGTGACGTGTGACCATAGATCAGTAATTGTGACCGCCAGCCTGGGGTGGGGTTGGGGGTGGGGGGCGTCTTTAACCTCCATCACGCAGTAGTGATCGCACGAACACACTGTTTTACGAGACTCATCCAGTTCGAAACGGCCAGGGGCGAGCAGGAGGTTGAGGCTCAGAAAAACCTTAAAGCGACCTGGTAAACTACCTCGCCACCCCTTCCACGCTGATAGTAATCCGATCGAACGCCGCCCGAGTGACGCTGGGATACAGTAAGTTAAGTTTGTAATTGTCCTGGAGGTTTATTTTCTGGGACGGGAGAATCGCCTCGCAAAAAGCCGACACAACTCGAGGTCGAGGAGCGTTCTACCATACAAGTGGCGTCGGAAGAGGAAAAAGGGGGGTAAGAGGGTAGCGGGGGGGAGGGGAGGGGGGGGGCACTACTCGTCACATGCTTAGTGGTTCGGAAGTTCAAAGCTATGTCTTTTCGACCTAAATACCTGTGCCAATAGTAAAAAAATAAATAAATAAATAAATGCAAGGATAAAAAGGTGGAGAAAAAAAAACTATCAAGAATTCGCCGGAAGTGTTGTATTCTTGCGTATTCAGAGGTTCAGAACTTCAAAACAAGTTTCTTTTAGCAAAATGTGTACAGGCTAAAAGAAACACGTCCCAGGATCGTGAAGCGAAAAAAAAAAAAAAAAGTTTTCTTTTAATGACGTGCTGAACTTGAACACTATTAGTAATCTTCTCCCATGAGTTAATTTATTCCTTAACGTGAAAAAACAATAAATACATTATTTTGTATTCTGCAGATGACAATGATATGTACTGTCTGTGGTGTTAATTTAAATGCGATACCTCAAACAACTGAGATGAAAATAAATATCAAGTTTAGGGCATAATTGCATGTAGATACATGTTTGGACATTTCTTCGAAACTCACGTTGAATAACAATAATCACATCTTAAGACGGCACTTACCTAGGCTATACATAGATCATTCTTAAAAAAGTATAACATCTTTACCACAAATAGCTTCGGCTACAGCGCGCTTCAAATCTGGCACAAACGATAATCGTCAAAAACCCGTCGTCCTTCCTCGCCCCTTTGGGAATTTATTTCTTTAAAACTAAGCATGCCAGAACATTGAAACAAACGCCATTGTCTTTCGTAAGGAACGCAGCACCGCATGCAAAAGTTCGAGAAAAAAAACTACGAATGTACCTCATACTTGAATTCAAATGAAACCGTCCGCTGGCCTTTCGAAGTTCGACGAGCGTCGAACTTGTACCCTAAAAGTTCAAAGTTCGTCGAAATTCTGACTTTTCAGGATTCGAAAGTTCGAAACTTTTCAAATTTTCTTGATAAATAAGTTCGAAATTCATCGAATTTTTTGGTCAGTCAAGTTCGGAAGTCCGACAAGCATCGAACTTTGCAGCGCAATAAGTTCGAAACTTCGAAAAAGATCGAATTTCTTAGCGTAATAAGTTCGACGGTTCGAAAAGCGTCAAACTTCTTAGCTCAACAAGTTCGAAAATTCGACTTCCGTCGAATTTTACGATGTAGAAAATTTGAAAAATCGAAATCTTTCGAACCTTTCGACCGCTTGATTCGATCATCGAAACTTCGATTCGAAAAAAGTTCGCGGCATCCCTATTCGTAACGGGTGGCAGCTTGTGCCACCTAGCCTAGCATTTCGTCATCCCTTCTTTTTTTTTTTTTAATTTGTATAAATTTTGTTATAACAGACCCCCCCCTTTTTTTTTCAAAGTGATTTTATTGCTTATTGTTATTTGTATTTCTTTTTTTTTATCCTTCCCTAGGTCTTTTTCACCAATCTTCTAATCTCCTCTTAGTTACCGCAATTCTTCCCCTATGCATCCGTCCATCTATGTCCGGAAAACCCAGTGCCCCCTTCAAATCCGTAATCATCCTCCCCAAGAGGGTGGGACGAAGCCCTGTGCACCTTAAAATTACATGTTCTATAGTTTCCCTTTCGCGGTTGCATACGTCGCACAGAGTGTCTATTTTCTAGAATTTAGCCCTATACGTTTTCGTTCTTAGCACCCCCGTTTTAGCTTCAAACAGCAAAGAGCTCCGCACTGAATTATCATACAGCTGTTCCTTCTTTATTTCTTGTTTTTTGTGCCCTGCATATTGTTAAAGCTGATTTCCCCTGCATTCTCTCTTCTCACAATTTCCTCTCAGTTTCCTTTACTCTCTTTTCTACTGATATGCTCTGATCGGCTCCATCTCTTTGAACATATTTAAATCTCAACTTGCGGGTTAGTTTTGTCCACTTAGTATTTACACTTTTCATATATAGATACTTGGTGCACTAAGTCGTGGTTGCCAGTCATCTGAATCCTTACCTGCAATTGCAGGAAGTATTTTTCCGTCCTCCAGCTGCAACACAGCAGAAGTGTCCTTACTTTAAGGCAGTGGTTCTCAACCACTGATGTTTTGCGGACCTTTTGTGGATCGGCGGAGGTGATGGAGAATCCCATTCGTAATGAGGGGAAGGCAAATGTATAGGTCAATTATGATAATTATTTAATAAATGGATATAAGTAAGGGCTAGTGTGAAGTAGACTTCTCTAGTTCACGTACACACGACAAAGCTCACCCGAAAATTGGAACGTTTCTTCTCAGTAACTTTCATTGCTGGGCTTGACTGATGAGGCAAGGGTTCGCGGCCTCCTAGAATGCCTTCGCGGACCCCTATTTGAGAACCACTGCTTTAAGGCATGGCTTGCTTAGTGGCATGGTTTCGTTAAAAGCCTCCACACATTGTGTTGTCATCAACGAGAGGGATGTGTGATTGCATTTCGTGCAGGGCACAGAGCGCAGACCCCTACTACCACCTGCCCGAGTTCCACCTAGCTCTGCATTATGCCGAGGTCCGACAGGTAAGGAATTACCTACCGAGACTCAGTGACCCGTTGGCAGCAGCGAAATTTAGCTCGTTTACTGTTGCATCCTATATCGGCTTCTCAAGAAAAGCACCAAGGTGTCAACAGTGATCCTACTACACGAGCTCGTATGCAAAGGCAGCAGAATCATATCTCACAATGGTTCATTATTGTTGTTATCAACTATCATCATCATCACGGTTAATGGATGGAATGTTTGCCTTGAAAAGGCAATTAAAAAGGAGGTTCACAGGTTATTTGCCTGCAATGTTTTATTAAAAATCGTGGTTAGTATTGCGTCACATTGAGGCAACACTAACCAAGTGCATTAGGCTGTAAAGTTGCTGCTGTGCGCCGAATTGTAGACGCTTCGACGTAACGCGACTTGCGAATGTTTCGGAGCATGTTGCTCGAGACCAACAAGTGGAGTGTGTGCTATCAGTTCTTGCGTTTGCTTTCTGCTACATCACCACGCACAATTCATACCGAGTCCTGCACCGCCTTGCTTTGGGTGTCAGTCTTAAAAGGAGAGCCATTTTCATCTTATCCAGTACTTTATAAAGTGGAAGCAAGGGCTTCGTCAATTAACTGCCCTTACGTCGGTGACAGAGAGAAATAAAATTAATCGATTGATTGACTGACTATGTATCTTTCAAAGAGCTTAATGTGAACCCTGCTTGGCCATTTGTGTGCAATGCAGCTGAGCAACGCAGTGCTGCACGCCAAGCGTGCCCTGGAGCTGAACCCCGAGCACCTGCCGTCCCTGCACCTGCTGGTGCTGCTGTTGTCGGCGCAGAAGCAGCACTCCGAGGCGCTGCAGCTCGTCACGGCTACCCTGGAGGAATACCCAGACTGCCTCAAGTAAGGAATTCACATTGCAGCACCCCGGGGTTAGCGTAGACCCACCGAACGGGCCTGTGGGAAATTAGGAACGGGAGCTAGGAGACAGTTCTGAATTTTTAGTGCACGGGATTTTGTGGTAGTGCAGAGCGTGGGCAATTGGCAATCGTCGCGGTCTGCTCTAAAATTTCCGGGGGGCGGAAAAGCGTTTTTTGCGGTTTCAGATAAAGCTTCGGATAACCAGCGACAGTGATTGCAAGCACTGAGATGCCCAAAGCACTGTTACTCTGACGCATACGTTAGTGACTGTAGTGTGTAGCCCACTCCGTCCGTTGAAGGCGTGGGCGTAAAACATTTTGTGATGTGCGTTTCTTCCTCACATGGCTTGCAGCCTGATGTACACCAAAGCCCACCTCGAAGACTATTGCCTCGGGCCCGAGGAAGCGCTCTTGACCAGCAAGCAGATGCTACTCCAGTGGAAGGCCTACTACGAAGCTGAGCTGAAGAGGTAGGTTTGTGGGTTCTGTCGCCAGTTTTGTAACCTCTACAATGCTGTGTCGCAAAGAAGAGGGCATAGCGAGTGACTGCTCCCTCGCGTGTCGTGCCAAGGACTTTGCTCTTGTGTATCTGACCACCGGCCCTGGATAGCTCAGTCGGCAAAGCACTTTACTGACATCTTGAGGTGGTAAATTGAAACCCTGTGAAATCTTTATGTCCCCTATGGGTGTAATGCTTTTTAGTGTTTTTCTTTTTTTTTTTTCGCAACCGCCTGGTATAACTTTTTTTTTTTAAATCTAAGTTACAAACAACATAAATTGTAAGTACAGGGGGTTCCCATGAAACAAGAACCGTGTTTTTCGGCTCGCGTAAACTATAAGCATTGCAGAAAGCTCAAACTTCGTGAGAATGCGACGCTAGCGGTTGGGATAGAACGCAAAAGTTTGAGAACGTGACTTCACCTGGATCATAAAATAATTGAGAAAAACAAAATTTCTTTACGAGTCGACGTCCAGCTGAAGGCTTATTCACACGATGCATCTTTTCAACGCGCCACAGTTTAGCAAAACCAAGATTTCGCGAAATCGGCCTGTTCACACGTGGAGTTTGACGCGCGAAACCTGTGACGTATTGACTCACGAGAATTTTGCCAAACCTTGTCATCTGCACCGGGAATACCAAGCATTTCTCATCAAAATGATATGAAGTACGCACAGTGTGAAGAGGCAGTCTGTTTTATTAATACCGCTCAAAGAACTTCGTCAGATTCGGCTCACTGGGTTTACTAGTCCTGCCAAACCCGGGAAAGAATGCAAACGTCAAAGAACAGGCAGATGATCTCGAAGCATTTCGGACATTTTTGCACCGCTAATAAAGAAAGTTATTCCCAGTCACCAGGTTTATATCCGGTGCTTGCACTCGTCGCAACTATTGATGAATCTGTACCGCGCCACCAACCCGTCCTGTGGGCGCCGTTCACACACCTAACGCCGAGTAGGACGTCGCCCGTACGCACCGCTCCTCCGCTTGTCGCTCGCCATGTTTGTTTATTTTCTCTCGGCTTTGGCTCGGATACCGAATCGGCCGAAAATCGGACTCCTCCAAAAGCTCGCTCCTCCTCGAAGGTCAGACGTCATAGCAAAGTCGAGCGGCCATTGGCAGCGCCCGCGTTTCTTCTTCGGGTGATTGACAGTCCCCGGTGAGGTTTCAGCGAAAAATTGCTCCAGAAGCGAGGAAGACGCGCCACTTTTTTCGGAGGCGCGCCACTCTTTCGGTCGCGTTCAGACGGGGAATCTGTTTCCCGAAACCTAGTTTTGCGACACAAGATTCGCCAACAAGATGCATCGTGTGAATAGACCTTAAGCCTAATGTTGTCAAAACAAGAGATGACACTTTGAGCACCTGTATTGAGCCATGATTAAAAGCGCCTGCAGTATCTATTTCAGTGAAAAAAAACTTGATAGCGAGAAAGAAAACAATATCCTCTTTTTTGCAGAGAAATTTTTTTCACTGAAATAGATGCTACATGCTCCCACAGTGTCATTTCTTGTTTTAACGATATCAGGTTTGAATGGACATCGGTTCATATGTAATTTTTTTTTTTTCTCATTTATTTTTTGATCAAGGCAATGTCCTCTCCTCAAACTTTTGCATTCCATCCCAACCGCCAGCGTCACATCCTCACCGAGTTTGAACTTTCTGCGATGCACAGTCTATTTACCTGGGCCAAAAGCGCGGTTCTGATTTTTCGAAAGCTTCCTGTACTACACTCAGGATGTGGACACTTATATACAGGGTGATACAAGGAAACACCAGGCTCTTTAAATCGACCGGAAAATTCGGTTTCTTAACCTATCACGCTACGACTTTGTGCAGCGTTGCCCACAGATGGTGCATTTTTCTTTGTAAAATTTGCAAAGAGCAAACTTACCTGAGGATAAAGAAAGAAAAAGGCTTAGCTCCTATGGAAACGCAACGACGCCACCGGTCGTCAAACAACACGGCGCCGTTTCGCATGGGACACGAGATGGCGCAACAAACGCCGCCAACGAACGAGCATACGGCGCCGAGAGCCAACGTCTTTAGCGGACAATCTTTTCGACTCAAAAGCGGCGTGCGTTCCGCAGGCGGCGACAGTCGCAGAAACAAAAACAGGCGCGGTAACAACAAGGAACTGCAGTTTCTTGTCTGCTAAATACGCTGGTTCTCGGCATCGTCTGCGCGTTCGTTGGCGGTAGTTGGCGTCGTAACCGCTTGCGCCATATCTTGTCTCCCGTGCGAAACGGCGCCGTGTTGTTTGAAGACCGGTGGCGTCGCTGCGTTTCCATAGGAGCTAAGCCTTTTTCTTTCTTTATCCTCAGGTAAGTTTGCTCTTTGCAAATTTTACAAACAAAAATGCACCATCTGTGGGCAACGCTGCACAAAGTCGTGGCGCGATAGGTTAAGAAACCGAATTTTCCGGTCGATTTAAAGAGCCTGCCGTCTCCTTGAATCACCCTGCAGCTATATTGATTCAGAGTTTCATATCCAGGATGTTTAAAAGCACGTTGTGAAAAGATTTTTCCTTTTTTCTCATTATTAATTTGCACTTTCTAATTTAAAAATTTAGAAAGTGCAACAAAACTGCTATTTCTAAAAAATGTTACCTACAAAATTTTCTAATTGGCAAAGATTATAATGACTCATTTCTAATTATAACTAGAAAAGTTTTTAACTTGTGATTACTTTTTTGAGAGTGATGCTAAAACTATAACTTGTAACTATTGTTATATAAGGTTTTTGCTGTATTGTAAAAAAAAGCTGGGTAAAAACATTTGTGATAAAGTTTAGGTTTTTTTGAAGACTATAGTAACAGGAAAAATTGAGCTTATGTTTGTGCTGAGCACAAGAACTTATAATAGATGTGAAAATGTAATAAAAATTAGATCAGAAATGACAGAAAAACGTTCCAAGAACAGTGTCTTCCCCTAAAACACATTTTGTGTTCAAAAATGCAAGCTTTAAAGTGTATCTTAATTCAGGGTTTCTGCGCTCTGGCGTCTCCACGCACTCTCGTCTCCTCCTCCTCCATTAATTGCTACCTGTAAAGGCTCAGTTGCTTTTTTTAGAAATGTCTGCAACAAATAAAAATTAAATGGCATAGTCTTCTGCGGGCCTCTAACCTTTGCATTTTGGTGCAGCGATTTTGCTCACACAGGGCTGCAGAGGGTGACGAGCTGCAACCGCGGTTCCTTCCACGTTCGGTCGGCAGACTTCTCCGATCGGGAATCCGGTACGACCTCTTGTCCCTTACAGGACGGGTTGGTTTGATATGCCGTCGCTCTTGGACCCTTCCTGAAATTCACTGCCATCTAGTGGTTGAAACAGAAGTCACAACTTTTGCCGTACTAATGGCAATAATGAAAATGTAGCACTTCATTGGGTATCGTCACTTCCATACAATATGTGACAGATGAGAATGTATTCTTTTCCATACAGCTGTTTCTCGATTCATTTCAGTTTCGATGGTAAAAAAAACAAGCGGTCTGTACCGAGCTCTGACCAGAGTAATTCACTAGTCGGTGGACTGTAACTTGGTGTGTGCCAAAAGACTGATTGGACGCGAGTCCAAAAGGTTTTTTGCTGCAGCGCTTGTATCCATTTCATGCGTCGCATTGTGCTAATGTGGGCCAATGCAAATGCACAGGGTTTGTGTCATTCACTGAGGTGTATGTTTTGAACTTCATCAGCCACCAGAAGGCCGCCATTAGCACGACAGATTCCGTGCACCTAGTAGCAATCGAAGTTGCGATACTGAATTTCGAAAAGGGTGAATTGTTCACTCGAAGCAGTGCCTTTATCGTGTGTACTGTGATATTTATTCAGGTGTATAGTCGGGCGACGGTTGCATTTGTGAACATTTGACATTCTGTATAACTATGTCGAGCTAAAAATTAACAAGGAGGTATGTTCCATCCGTGAAGTTATATTTGTTTCTGGTACTACATATGTTTGTTCTTTTCCATCTATCCATGACATGGCATGCTTGCAAACGTTGTGTCACTATACTCCGTGTCACTAGTTTCGTGCAGTACAGGCGAAGGCAACGTCTGGCGAGGGGATAAAGGGCAAGTACTAGGAAAGCTGCGGAGGAAGAGAGAAACCTCCTCTCCTCTAATGTTCCTAGTGCTCTCCCTTTTTCCCCTCGCCCTCCATTGCCCCCCTCCTCTTCCATCCCGCCTTCCTGGTGCTCGCCCCTTTCTCTCTTTACCTGGCGTTGCCTTTGCCTGCACTGCACACTAGCGACACGCAGTATAGAAGTTCACCCAACCAGCCAAAGAAAAATGATTTAATTTTCTTATGCAATTCTTGGTGATTTTTGTACTTCTGGGTGATTTGTACCAATTCTTGTGATTCTTGGTGAATTCGGCAGATTCCTACCAGTTCTTGTTTCTTGCTAATTGTTTGATTCTTGGTGATTCTTACTCATTCTTGGGGATTTTTGTGCGATTCTGGGCGAAATTCCTACCAATTCTTGTGCTATTCTTTGTAAGTTTTGTGTAATTCTTGATGAATCTAGCAGATGTTTGGTGATTATTGTGAGATTCTCGATTCTTGTGCTCCGCCGCACCTGTAGGGCGATTCCCGTGCGATGCTTGACGATCCTCGTGCCCCACCGCGCTCGCAGGCCACTCGATAGCGGCGGCAGCCCGCGTGGAACAGGCGCTGTCCGAGGCCCTGTCCCCGGGGGGCACGGGGGCCGTCGTGGGGGCGGGCCACCATGGCGGGGGAGGCACGGAGGCCGGGCGGAACAGGCGGGGCCCCCAGGCCCTGTGGCTGCTTCAGCTGCAGGTGTGGCTTCTCATAGCTGAGCTGTACCTCAAGATGGAGCAGCTTTCCGAAGCCGAGGCCTGCATCCTGGAGGCCTCCAACATCTACCCGCTCTCGCACCAGCTCATGGTCCTGGTAAGTCAACTCAAACTCTTTATTTCTCTCCGTTTGGAGAGGGGAGACAGAGAAGTCACAAATAAAGTTTCCTGTTTTTCGAGGGGTTTTTTTTTCTTATTTTTTTTTTTTTTTCATGGATTTGAGTGTTTTTTGGTGTCAATTCTTGGCTTCGGGCAAAAGATTGGTGCTTGTCGGGGCTCGTGTTAAGAAGAACAGGAGACTGGCATGGGTTTCCAAACCTCCTGGATCAGATGAGTGACCCGAATACTTGGAAAACGAACCCCGTACTAATAAGCAAAAGAAACAAGGTGTGTGGTTTTAAAGAAATTCGAGCAGCCTCTCACAGTCTGCTGGGAGCTGCATTTCAAATCAGCACAAAATTAAGCTGTAGATAAAAACTTTCTTCTAGCGAAGCTTGGGTATTTCTTTTCCGAAAACATCTCTAAACTTGCGGTTCCTCGATTTTTCCCAATTTTAGCAAAACCAGCATATTTCTGACAATATGGGTTACCTTTCAGGATCTATCGAGATTTACCGAAAATGCAGAACCCTAGTCAAAAGTTCCTCAGGGAGAAGGCATCGTGCCATAGTTGTAATTGCAAATCTTTGCAATTTTGGCTATGGCAAGGGAGAGCTAGCTGCCTCTGTCGGAGCAATAAAAATGTGTTTGCCGAATAGAAGTGTCTACTGCTCCGACACTGATTTCGACGAGACGGGTAGATTTATTGGGCGAGTGGCAACTTCTCTTGGCTTTATCAAAATTTCTACTTTTGGTATAGCTGCTACTTGTATCGGGATATACCAGCATGAGATATACGCAGACTAATAGTAGAGGAGGATAAAGTGATATTCCACTGCTCGCCATGATGGTCTTGCGTTGTCCATGATACACGGTGTCAGAAGTGGGTCTTCCTTCGTCTGGCCGTGGAAGGACTTTGTCCACCTGATGATTTGCTGCTCTCTGGAAACATAGCCGACAACTGGCACAAGTTTAAGTAACGCCTGGAGCTCTACCTGGCCGCTAGCAAACCGGCCAAGGCACACAATGATAAACAGAAGGCAGCGATTTTCCTCCACGTCGCAGGTGCTGAAGCCATCGAACTCTTCAACACCTTTAGGCTGACGGAAGAAGAAAGGGCAAGCTATGTCGTCCTTGTGACAAAGTTCGAGGAATATTGCACTCCTAGATGCAGCGAGATCTACGAGCGCTATAAATTCAGGTGGTGAGCCATTTGAAACGTTTCATTGAGACGTAAAGCTAAAGGCCCAATCATGCAACTGTGAGCAGCTGATTCCATGATTCGAGACCAGATTGTGCACGGCGTCACCGAGAAGCGATTACGAGAAAAGAGAAGACAATCTAAATAAAAAAAAGGCAGTCACATTCTGCAAAGTGTCAGAAGTAGCCAAAGAAAAGCAGAAGACCTGGGACAAATCAGAAAAGAGCGTGGTTCCTGTTTGAAACGCAAGCTCGCTCCAATACCAAAAGATGTCGAAAATGCAGCATGCATCACGGAAATGTCCAGCATACGACAAAACATGCCACGTATGTAATAAAAAGAATCACTTTTCAGCTTGTTGCAATTCAAGAAGACAGTTGACGGAGTGTATACCGTATCTACTCGAGTAATAGCCGCACTGTTTATGAAGAAACCTGAGGGCTTGCTTTTCCACGGAGCACACGGATTGCCAATCACCGCGATGGACAGCATGATTCCAGCTGTTTACTGGACAAAGATAGCGTGTTCGTGTGAAGATACCATCTGCGAAGATTGCATTTGTATGGAGAATCGTGTTCTCGATCTGGTTATTCGCTATGTTATTTATGCGCAACGCATTGATTGGCTGTATGTGTGTTCTGTGAGCAAGTAGATGCAAGGGCCTTGCTCGTAAATAGTGCGGCCATTACTCGAGTAAACACAGTAATGAAGACAATTTCTCAGTTCTGGAGATCGGAAATGGCAGTGCTGACTGGATTATGCATTTGACCGTTTTTGGCAGACAAGTCAAATGTTTAACCACCACCAGCTCTTTTACGCCCTAACCTTTTGTTCGCAAGTTCACCTGAATTTCGACACGGGTTCCCAAGCCAACCTGCTACCGTTATCGACTTTCAAGAGACTAAGGGTAACAAGTCCGGCAAAACCGTTGAAGACTGTACTGAGGAACTACAGCGGAGGAGTCATCGGACAGATTGGAATCGTGTGGGTTAACCTCATAGGAAACACTTCTCGGCCTCGGAGCATGCCAGTCATCTGGTGTTATCAACAATGTCAACGCTGTGACAGGCGGGAATGACTACGGAAAGAAGATTGCAGAAACCTTACCAAGACTGTTCGAGGGACTTGGATGTACCTCCAAAGATTACAAATTTGTTCTAAAAGACTGAGCTAAACTAGTCGTCCAAGCAGCCTCAAGAGCACTGACCGACACTCGGACAAGGTACTCACAGATTGAGAAACAACCGCTTGGAAACATCTACGGCTGCGAAAAATGCCATCATTTCATCTGTTGAAGAAAAAGTAGGGGTGTGTGAATATTGCTACGAGGAAGAAGACGACGGGCTGTCTCGGTGCCACGGGCACGAGCCATCGGCTTCGCGCCGGTCACTTTCGAATTAAAAGCCGAACCGCAAAAGGACGTCTCCTTGCTTAGTCCCAGAACAACGTAAAAATATTAATATTTTTGGATATGGATTGAATATGAATAGTTTGCTTGGAATATTGAGTAGCAGAAGGCAGTTGCGTTTATTCACACCATTTTTATCTGCACATGTCGGAATGCCTCACTGGTGTTAACGAGAACAAAAACACAAAAACAAAAATCCTAGTTGTAGGGAAAAAGATTACAAGTTGTCATGCAGAAAAATCAAGTGCTGCTCATGGTCAGGTAAGGGGCGCTTTCTTCGGGTGAAAACTAATCCTCCAGCCACAAACAAAAAACTCTCACTCGGCACTGAAGTGGCAGGTACTATTGCCAGGCATTTAATGCAAAGCTTTGCCAGACTGGAATATCTTAAGCACCCGACGGTTCGCCACCACTCACATCTATTTGCCATTTATGTACTGTATCAATTGAAATGCTCATATTAGGCTAATTAGGCACGCATGTTCTGAGCAGACCAAAAGAATTGCAGAGGGTCACTTCTCTCGTGTTCCTCTTTTAGAGGGAACGGAAATTTGTCCGTGAAGTGATACCATGTTTGGGTAGCACCTATACTCACCAATGGTGCAGTATGGCCTGTTCTCACAAAGCTTCTTTCCTGGCCAGCTGTACCCTAGCCACGCTGTTGTACAGTTCTCTCGGTATTGCTTGCGGCCGACAACGCTTTGCCCCGTCTCGCAGAAGGGGCTTCTTCACGAGAAGCGCAAGGAGTACCTGGACGCCAAGCAGTGCTTCCAGAACGCAGTCTCCATCAACCCGTTGCATGTAACGGCACTCCAGCACCTTGTGAGTTGCACTCGTACATTGTGAAGAGTTCCTCGGGACTCCGTTTCTATTGGTTATGACGCTACTAGCCGGCTCTGGTTGTTCAGTCATTATCAACTCGTTGAGTGCATTTGGCACAAACAAGCAATAAATTTTACTTTACAGCCAGAAAACTGATTGCAGCAAGTGGTGATATAAAATGCACCCACAGAAAATTTGATGTTCAACAACACACCTTTGCCTGCAAAGTGTGGAAAAATGCCGGTGTCACGTTTTTGCTAACTGCTTTAACGCGATAGCGTTAAGGAGCTCATGTCGCAGAAGAGCCTGCGTCAGTGGCGTTGCGACGGGAAAATACCGATTGGTCGATAGGGTCATGACGTCACAGCCAGATGACCTCGTGCAGAAATTTAAAACAACTCGCGTGACACACGAAAGAAACCCACAACGCTCACGGGAAACGCGACGTCTTACGTGGAATGAAAGTGATTAAAACATGACATGTAATAGAAATTAAAGGTCGCGGCATGTCTCAAATGATTTCCCCTTTATAAAATAATTAATTTGCCTTGAAGAAAAAATTTGAAATATTTTAGGCGGGATTCGAAGCCACGAGGCAAGCTTGCATGGCGAATGAGAAGGCAGTGCGAATGGGGCCCGATAACACTATCACGTTTCACTCTTAAGCATCGTTCACACACTTGCAACAGAGTATGACCGAGAGACAAGGCCGGTCATTAAGCCTCTTGTGACAGCAAAAGTCCGGATGCGCAACAGCACATCCGGTCCTAAGACCGGATGCGCTGTTGCGCATCCGGTCTTAGGAAAAAGGCTTAAAAACCAGCCTTCTATCTCTAGGTCGTACTCCATTGTAAGTGTGTGAACGGCGCTTTAAATGCGAAGCTTGTGTCCCCCAAGTTTTGCATGCTGTATGTACCTAACTGCAAGCGACTGCTGCCTTTGAACCTCATAACTTCAAAAATGAAGGTCACTTTAGGAAATGGGATAAAGAAAGCATAAAAAAATATTGGCTGTCTCTTTGGTATTTTGCGTAGCATTTAGAATGCCGCTGCTGACGCTTGCCCGAAACCACCGCCTGTGGCGCGCATTACGTACCGCACCAAACAGATTGTCCGTCCACTGGCGGCGAACAACCGATCGGCCGCTGCGTAATGGCATCCAAACTTGCCGTCGCAGCTGGGCTGGCACTCTCGTTTTGCAGTTCTCTCCCCTCCTTCTTCACCTTGCTGTGCCCGCCGCTTTAGTGGTGCCAGCAAGGGTTTTCGTAGTACTATGTGTAGTCTGCTTCACTGCCGCCAAGCGCGCACTAAGGAAAGTCCTCGTGCTACAAGAGCAGTCGGCGATTGCACAGCACGCTGTCGAGGCTACATTTGTTGCTCGGCAAAGTGCTCGGAGCTATTCCGTCAAATGTTGTGCGTTTTAAAAGGTTCTTATGCCGTAAAGCTACAGACATGGTTGTCTTGAGGAGAATACGAGGGGCCCATCTTTCGCAAAACAAGGTTGCTCGTCTTTCTGCCACAGGGCTTGGTGTACCACTACCTGGGCAGCAGCCAGCTGGCCGAGAAAACCCTGAGGGATGCCGTTGCCATCGATCCCATGTGTCACCAGTCCTGGTGAGGAGCCACGCGCGTCTTACAAACGTCTCAAAAAGCGCAATGCAAGAGGAAAAAAAAAAAAAGGTGGAGCACGAAGGCAGTTAACCAATTAACTGGAATTGGGCTTGAACCAAAAATTGGCAGAGGTAACGTCCTTTCGCACTATTGTAGCCCTTTGGTTGTTCAGGAACACTGACATCAAGAACTGCATAATCTGTTGCTAATCTAGAAACGCAGGACAGGCTGGAGTGGACGAAACCAGGAATTGTGGCGAGAAGATTGCTTTATGGGAGTTACCATCCCGTGTTTTTTGCTACTTGTGTTGAGGGTTGTGGCTCGTCGAGATAATTTTGAAATATGTAGTTAGCATCCTAGTGAGCAACGTCTTGGCACACCCCGCACACGTCGTCCTTCCCGCATCCAGGTTCAACATGGGCAAGGTGCTTCAGGAAACGGGCGACTTTGACTCCGCCACGGACTGTCTCAACACTGCCATCCAGCTGGAAATGACCACGCCTATACTACCTTTCTCCGTGGTCCCTCACTCCCTGGAGTAAACTTTCCTTTTCCTGTAGGCACTCCTGGGGAGCGACCAGTTGCTAACAGCGACTCGTTAGAATAAATACATATTTCTAGGGGGAAACTATTCCCCTGGGTAGCGTGGAGGAAACTCCCTTAGGGCGAGTGACTCTCTCAGCAGAGCAGAAATATTTCCGAGGGAAAATTACTCCCTTTGACAGCTGCAAGGATATTATAGGGAGAAACCTACTCCTTCATGAGGTATGGAGCAAATTAACTCCATTACGGAGTTGATTCCCTCAGCAGAGTGGGAATATATTCGGAGGCAAACTACTCCCTTTGACAGCCGTGAAGAGGCAGCAAGTGGACTACACATTGGGGAGTAGAACTCTGCCTCAGAGTATACTAGCTCCCACGGGGAGCAACTACTTCGGTCGGAATTTCTCGCCACACTGCTAGACTGGACAGCCATGCAAGAACTTCGAGGAGTTACTCCTGCCTTGGGTTAAGGTACTGCCAAAACAGTGCAATCCGTTAGATTACACTCCTACTCCCTTGGGGGAGTATTAGATTGTGCTGTTTCCCTCGGGGAAGTAATAGTTTGTGCTGATGTGGGAATGGCTTAGTTTGTGGAATCTGGGGAGCAGTTGGCTGAATTTCCTTGGGAAGAAACCACTTGATGAAGCACTCTACCTGGAGTGTAGTCTAGGTGCTGCCCCAGCAGACCACTCCTCATTGGAAATATTTCTTTCAACTTGTTACTGTTGCCGGGTGCAGTCACTCTTAGGGAAAGGGTCCTAGAACTGGAGGCAATGTCGGTTGCAACTCCCTGAATTTCATCGCCTTTTAGGAGTGCTCCACCCCCTGGGGCTAGTACCATGTACAGTATGTGCCTCTGTTAATTACAATACTGCAACAGAGCTTTGTGTATATGTGATATGCATGTGGCATTATCGTTAAGGTTATGAAGCTGTAAAAAAAAAAAAGATTGTAAAAGAACTATATATTGTAATAGAAAGGCCACTTGTTCCAACATCAAGAGCAGCGAACTAGTGCTAAACCGCTTTCGATGAAATGTAAGTCTCACACATCACGACACAGCGAAGGGTCTCTCGCAAAATAAAGAACTATATTTGTTTTCAATAAGCTGGAGTTTGGTTATTCACTAGTGCTCGAACACTCTGCCTCGTGTCTCCTGCAAATGGTCTATAAACTATGCATTTTTGCATTCAGGATAGGTTGTGCAGCATTATTGTTGGAAGACAGTATCCAATGATCGTTCGGACCGTTAACTTGGAAACCATGCTGGAAGATCTATTTTGGGCACTGTAGAGGAATAACACGATTCCTAACTTGCCTGCAATTGGACCTGCCAGACTAACCTTTGCAGTAGTCCATCCAGTGGCGTCGCTAGGGTCAGTGGCACCCAAGGCAGTGGTATGCTGCGACCCCTCCCTTTCACTGCCCAGCTGCACCCAAGGTGTGACAAAGCCAGTGGGAATTTAAGGCTGTTTTGCTGCTACAAACAACACCGGCTTCGCTCCATGAGACAGTTAGTGCTTTCACGTTAAAAACCTTTTCTCTTTCCAATCTTTTTACAAACTTTGAAGCCACCTATGTACACACTTGTGACACACCATGATCTTGCGTGTGTCAGGTGGCTGCAAAGTTTGTAGAAAAGCTAAGAAAAAGAAAAGGTTTTTTTGTTTTTGTTTGTTGTGTTGGTTGGTGCCGACCTTGGTTTCAAAGGTCTGTATATAACAAATTTATTGAATAAACTTATTAGGGGAGTTTGAGACGTCGTCTGGCTGACTTTTGTTCCCCGTCTCTTCTACATTTGGTTGTTTCAAGGTTTTTTCACACCCAGTCTCGGGTGTTTTAACATAATGGTAAACTTGCACCAGCTTGCCTGCACCCCATGTTTTAGTTAGCAATGGCGGGATATAAGCGAACGCTTCCGACTGGGGAGTACAGTCACCTTTGCTTCACTGTCCCTCGCCGCAATAACAAGTTTGGCAGGGACACAACCTAAAAATAGCATTTTTTAAAACTTTTTCTTGATTGAACACCGAAAGTTGGCCTCAATTTGCTCTCGAGTTTAGGTGGGCTATCTCTCTGGACACTACGGTAGGTTAAAACAGACGGTTAAAAATGGGCCGCCTCTGGCATTTCCCAGACATTAAAAAGTAATGCATAGCATTAATGGGGCTTCATTGCACTCATCCTTTTGCAGGCACGGTAAGGAGGCCACTGAAGAGCACACTGAGGGTTTAGTGAATACATGCAGCCGGCGGCATCGCACACGTCGCACGTCGCCTAACATCACGTGGCAAGTCACTGCCGCCAGACATTGCCACGCAACGTGACGGTGGGTCGCGTTGCACAATGTCGCGCAGGAACTATAGACGCGTGGTCACGCCCCTGGCCAGTAAAATTGGATATATTTAGATTGTTTTCTCACGGTGCGTTGCATCCTTTCAAACGCTGTTGGTGCCTGTGGACAGGCGTGGAGCGACGCTAGTTTACGCCCGAAGACTGTTCACGGTGGGAAGCTAAACACTGCTTCACGACAGCATTAAAGATGCAAGTCTCGGGACAATACAGCACCCCCCAGTCAAAAGAAACGGGCCCTTAAATGCTACGCAATTTGAGTGCCCTCGGAACGCGACAGTGCAACGTGGCACCATGACGCCATCGAGGCTACGTTCCAGTGTGAATACGAAAGCTCCGAGAGCCGACCCTATAAATGTTACGCATTATAAAACTGGCAATCGTTTGTTCAAGCCAACTACAGTGGGCAAAGGGTTAAAAACCAAACAAGTTCTCTGTCTCAAGCGCATGCTTTCTGCCAAGGCCCGACATAAAGGAACGAGTACTTGCTGGAGGCCCAGCTTCTAGCATTCTTTGGGTGTCCCTGACTATAGGAAGAGCTCTATACACTTCAGTAGTGTTGGATGTTTCGAACGATTGAAATTAAATATACTTTCTTCGCAACTCGATAGCTTGTTATTGGACGTCGTCTCGACGGACCCATGTTTCTCGTGGTTCGTCGAGACGATCGTGAATCGCTTACTCGTACAAATCGGAATGGCAGCAGACGCTATTAAGGTCTCGAAAACGAACCTCCTGGAAAAAAAGCCTCCGGATGGGAGCGGAAGTTTCGCCGAAATATTCGACAGAGCGTCGGTTGCCGCCCGGTAGGTTCCTTTTCAAACCTAGGCTGCAAGTCGACGAGGGAACAGTCCACGAAGCAAGACGTTGTCTAAAAGCAGTAAAATATATTTGCGAGAACAGGAGGCAACAGAAAAGACAAGATTTCCAAGACCTCGCCGAACACCGGTGCGCGGTCTGCCGCCGCCGCCGGGAGGATTCGCTTCAACCAAAATAGAGTTATTGTCTCCACACACATGTCCAGGCACATGGCAGTACTATTGCAAGTTTCGACAAGGGGCGCGGCAACAAGCTCGTCCCTTCACCTCGCCTCCCTTTCTGCCATTGTTGCAACCAAATGGCAAGCAAAAGCTCCGGCGCACACACCTTGCAACCGCCAGACCAAAAAAAAAAAAAGATCCTTTTGTTTGTTGCGAGCAAAATCCAACTTTTCTCGCGTTTCTGTCCAAAATGCGACCGCAAGACGCGAGTGCCGCTTCTGAAGGCGGTGAAAACTTAAGAAAACCAGCAATTTGAATGCGAGAACTTTCCAAACCGTTCTCACAGCTACAAGTTATCGGCGACAAGACGCTGCGAAGACTCGAATGTCGCACTCTATTTCGCGGCCGCTTGTCTACAATCCTTATGAAAATTTTGGCTGTGCACGCTGCGGAAACGTGACCGTGAAATTCGCGGCGTTTGTAGCAAGAATCTGCGGAAGCAGACTAGACGAAACTTGGGCAGTGCTCGTCAATGCCTCCTTACATCCAAGGTATAGAGAATTAGCAGGTGCACGGGTGGAAACTTTTGAGCAATGATAGCAGGCCCTCAAGACGCACACTTTTCACTGCCTTTTGGAGCGCCGTGTAATCACGCTTCGTTCGGACGTGTCAAAAGGAACAAAGGTTTCACGGCCTTCTGAACTCGACGTTCGAACGCAAAAATGTTGGATGTTGCTTGCAAAGTGCAGGGCAATGATGAGGCAATTGTGCTCAACAATGCGATTTCGAGGAACGGGGCAGCGCAAAAACAACTGGAAAGCGACGGCGGATAAGTACAATTTTGCCCTTATGGCAAAAACTGGTTCCAACTGACTTTGCCAGGTGGCCGATCGAGGAAGCATACCAAGCGGTAGTTGCAAAAAAATAAAAATAAAAGCAGTTTGCAACGACGCTTAGAACAGCAACAAACAGTTTTGTTTAAAACAGAAGAGAGCCCTTTCCCGTCCCTCAAAACGAAAGGTGCATCCAATGTATTTGGCAACGTTTCGAGTGGAAGCGTCTCCCAAAAAAAAAAAAAAAGAAGATAAAGCATAGCCTGGATTTTTTTTTTTTCGTCGTCACACAGAAATCTAGCACACATTACACATTTCGTAACTGGCATGTTTTCTAGAGATATCCTGCACACTCGCACACAATGCAGGAGAAAAGAAAGGGAAGTTTCAAAATAAACTTTGTTAACGCGCAGTTTCTACTACCATTAAAACGCTCGCACGGTTCACCACACACGTGAATCTATTTACAAAGGTTGTTGTCGAAAAAAAAAAAAAAAAGTCGCTGCATGCTTGTTTTGTTTTGCATTTTGCTTACGTTGAGCCGCCTCCCTCCCTCCGTCCCAAGGAGTTGTCGCGAGCACGTGCACATTTGCGACGCAGAAATGTTTGGTCATTTCCGGCGTTCCTCGCAATCCAACGTTCGAGACCTCGTGCCAACCACGCAAAGCCAAAAATGGTTCGACCAAACGGATACAACACTGTGAAATGGAACATCGACGGCGGAATCTCGTTGCCAAATAGTTGCCGACTTGTCTCCGGCGGTCAGTTACCGGCGCAATGCCAGTTTTCGTTTTTGCATATGTTCCAAGATACTAGCTCACTTCCAGCCTCGGAAGCATCTAAAGCGCCGACAGTTTTAACGCTCGTGCACAATACTGGATTCATATCCACACTGCAATGCTAGAACAGTGAACAGTTAATGGTACTGGGAAGAAGAGGGGTAACCATGATATCGGAACACCGTGGAGGCGTAATAATAAGCGAGTCACCTTGATGAGACAATGCCGAAGCATTAAAAGCCAACATTTGTGAAAAAAGGAAGTGCCCATGGACTATTTTCGGATTTTAGCGAAACAAACGAGGTTCCTTTTTTTTTTTTTTTTTTTGCAAAATATCAAGGTTTAACGCAGACTTTCTAGCTGCGAAACGGGAATAACTAGTGCAACCCAGCACACAAGAATGAAGGAATTTAATGCCTATACAAAGCGGTTTATTCGGCCGACGTCAATTAGTCACGCGTGCCCCAGCGTCGGTCATAAAGAAATTCGCCCTTCCAAATAATTACCGTAATAATAGCGATAATGATAATATAATCTGATCGCCTCGATGCAAACGCCTCGTTCGCTTCATTTTGCAAACAACAATGAGTTTCCTTTTTAGATCCGAATTCAAATCAACCCCACGCTCGAAACGCCGCATCGAGGGCGTCCGAACCAAAACGCAATTTTCCTCTCTTATCCGTTGCGTCCGAAACGGTCCAATTCGTCTGCCCAAACCGGGTTTCTCACGGTCCGGCGGATTGGGCTTACTCCGTCGCTTCCCGATCCCGGCTTTGTCCCGCGTGCCGAGACAACTCCAGAGACGAGCTCTCCACGACCTTGGCCACGACCCCCAAGGTCGTCGTCGCCAGCCTGCGCCTTGGCTTGCTGCAGCGCACGCTCGCTGTGCGTGTGTGTGTGTATGTATGCATATACATATATACACATACACGTATGTATAATGCATGTATATATATATATAAAAGTCTCCTAGAAAGGCAACTTGAAGACAAGGAGAAAAAAAGGGAGGGAGGAGGACTAGACGACCGAGTTTCCGTCGCCGTCGCACACCCCGTTGCTGCTGCCGTTCGAGTGGGGCGATGCGCCTGCCATGTCACCCACTGCAAGCAAGAGGAGAAAAAAGAAGACTCGTAAGCGTCTCGTAAGACGGCCAAAATGATTTTCGAGGTACGGAGAAAGCTTGCTACGCTCCGTTTCACATTAGGTCCAACCACAGCCAATGCCACGACAAAGAAAATCGAGCGGCGCCAAAAGTGCGTCGTCGTTGCACTCGTCGTCTTTGTGCATTTGCCATTGCCCACTGAACCAATCGCAAAAAGCGAAGGCAGCGTGATCCTGAGCTTTCTTTCCACGCACGATCGGTTAAGCTAGCGACGGCAAACACACAAAGACAACGGGTGCCGTGATGTCGAGCGGGTGATTACGGGTCTTCACGGCTAATAAAAGCTGGCTTAACCGATCGTGCGCAGAACGTTTCCACGTCTACCCGGTGCCAAACGCGGCGAACGAAATTCAAATTAACGAGCAGGTGACAAAGAAAAGGGGGTGTGGAGCCAAACACTTTACTAGGAGTATACATTCTACTAGATGCTCGTTTATGTCGGATGGCATGCCTGCAGCACCAAATCTTCCCCTACCAGCAGGGACACCCAGCATCCCAGAGAACGCACACACATGACGCTGCGACGAGGGAGAGGACCGGCACCGACGCATCGAGGTACCAGATCAGCCGAGACGGCGGAGGCGGTCGTCTCTGCCGTCTCGACGGGTTCCTATGACGATAGATGGCAGCAGCGAGCTCTCACCATAGGCTCTTTTCAAATACACGCCGAACACCCATGCAGCGCTCGTGCTTATTATATACTCGCTGTATGTGCCCAAGCGAACGGCTACTGGATGCCGTGCTCTTTTGCAAAAAGGGGTCTATTCAGCGGTAAAACCTTGCGGTTGCTTGCGCTTCCAGCCATTCCGATCACGCAAAAACCGTCGGCGCCGAAGCCGTCGGATGTTTGTGGAGCAAGTGAATTGATCGGGGTGAGGGGCCTCACCTGGGGAGGAGGAGGAAGGTGGGGAGGAGGAGGGAGCCTGGGCCGGCCCCCAGATGCGCACTGTGGCGTCGTCTGACACGCTGGCCATCATGGACGGGTGGGCGGGGTTCCAGGAGACGCAGTTCACCGACCGGGTGTGGCCCTGCAGCACCGCTATGGGCTTCTCCCACTTGACGTGCCACACGTACACCTTGTTGTCTGTTGGATGGAGGGGGAAAAGCATCTCGATTTCAGACGAGCACGAGCGACAGCACGGCTCGTAGGCACCGCGAGTTCGGTCGAGTCAATGTTTTGGAAAACTTGTGTGGAGGCCTACTGTGATCCTTTTCAAAGACGAGAAAGGCGGCGGCCGTCAGATCGAATCAAATTTGGGGTTTGTTTTTATGTGCCAAACCAACGAAGGTGGTCTGGCATGCCCTGGCGAAGAGCAGAGGGTCGATTGTGACCACCGGGGGGCTTTCTAACCCCTTAACCGTTTTGGACGAGCCTAGCTCGTCAACATGGAGGCATTGGCGAGTTTTCCCCACTTAACCTGACTGCTTTGGACGAAGCAGGCTTAGTTTGCAGCTGTGCCAACAGGAGACAGCACTGAATTATTTTTAAAATTCCCCTTCTATTTTGCTTGTGGCTAGAAATTTGATTTATTAGGCAAGAATTGTAATTTTGAAGACAACAATTAAGCTGTTGAGGGTGAGCAACTCCCAAAAACTAAAAATAGTTAAAGGTTAAGCACAACCAAATTCTCAGTTACACGGCACCTTCTCCACAACGAGCCACCATTGTACTGTGGTCGCCTAAACCACCAGTCGAACCCACCACCTGGGTATCTGTAGGCCGGGGACTTTGCCTCGGAGCCAGGGAGGTGGCCGGTGGCAGTCATTTCAATCTGACGACCAAGAAGTCCTACACACAATTGCAATCTAGTCACGTCTTGTTATTGAGAAAGCTTCCGAGTGTAAGCTTCAGTTCCAAGTGATCAATGCCTTTGCCATGCATGTTTTCTTTTTTTCCCTATTCAGAATGCTAGTCAAATATTCAGAATCTTCTGCAGTCTTGTTCTTTAACAATGTTGACCCGATATTTTTTTATTTTTTTTCCCCTCGTATTTTTGGGGGTTGTTCTTGAATGTCGCATCTAATAGTCCATCCATACTAACTAAGCCTCCACTCTTCACCCCTTTTAAAATAGAAAAAAAAAAAATACTTTGTACACAGTCAAGCTCATCTGCCATTCTTACTGGCTTTCAGCCCACGAGCAACCGCTGCCTCTCGCAACGCGAAACCGGGACTTCCGTCTTCGTAGCCCGCACGTACCTTCGCTGCCGCTGGCGACGAAGACCTGGTTGATGCCTCCGAAGCAGGAGCGGATCGTGTAGTAGCCCTGCGTCACTCCCTGGAACTTTCGGACCAGCACTTTGTCCTCCAGGTCCCACAAGTGCACTCCCTGCGACAATGATGGGCAGAAGTCGACAGACGTATTTCCATCTGTCAATCAAACTACCACATTCAGAACTGCAATGTCTGAGAAACAGCCAGTTTCAACGACGTTTCTTTATTTGGCACGCTACGATTAATCTTGTGACACTGCGAGTTGTTGTGTAGGTAACGTAGAACAATACACGAGGAACGGTGGGTTTTCCTGAAATTTCTTATTGGCAGATACGCTTTGATCAATCGTGTGACAGAGATTAAGACAAGGTAATTTGACGTGTTTTTATAGAGGTTCTTTGGCGTTTTATTCACTTGCCTGAAAATTTGTTAAACGCACTAACAGACATTGCTGAAATAGTAACCCAAATATTAAGCCCAAATTTTTTTGGCAAAGTTTTTTAATTTAGAATTTTGGTCCTCACCGTGTTTTAAGGTGAAAGTTTCTACTGGCAACAATGAGAAAGTGACGTCCGGGGAAGGCAGGGGTTCACTGCTTGGACGGTAGACTTTGCTCCCAACTGATTCCAAGCAGTTTCATGATATAAAAACGAATGCTTTAGAAGCTCGCTCCAGCACCGGGACAGCAGCACGAAACAAAAGAAATGCTTTCATAGTCCATTTCTATTTGTAGGCTGCCTGCTGGGCCTGCAAGCCTGCCTTCCCCTTGGACAGGACACTGAAAGGTGCAGGTGTTCGTGACTCCAACTAACTATAGATAATGCCACTCATTTTCCAAATGGTGGTTATAGTGAGGGTCAGAGATGCGTGCCACTGTTCAGCCTGTCTAGTGTGCTGGCTTCACTAAGCGACACAAATTATTTATGGGGTGTTATGAGCACAGGTCACCTCTTTACCCTGAAAACAACAACGGTGTTTAGCGTAATATTTACGCAAGGAGGTGCGTTTTAATTCTGGAGCAAAACCGAAACTAACCTCTATTTTGGATTTAATTTCTCGATATAGGTCTTAATTTCGGATTCTTTCATAACTCAAAGTGTATCTTACATCGTAATTATTTAGTTAGAGAAGTTGTTTGCGGAAACTTTATTTTGTGACATACATGCTCGATCCAGGCTGATTTTTGTAGTTGTTGTAGTTGTTGAAAAAATCAGTGCTAATATTTGTGCGTTCTCGCTGCCTTTTCTCGCTCGGACAATTGTGATGGGAAATAATGAACTGCGGGCTTTTCAATGGGTTTTTGGGTATTTAGATGATTAATTGATTTAACATTATTCCCAGCACAATAATAAGAGAATATTAATTAGACATGAGGAAGAACATAGAAAGGGGGGACGGACAACGAAGACGATGGAAGTCTTGGTTGTCCGTCCCCCCTTTCTATGTTCTTCCTCATGTCTAATTACCGTTACCAACACGCTCGTTTTGTACTTAATAAGAGAATAATTCCAATTTTTACAAGATGTCCACAAAACAAATAACTCAATAAACGCTGTTCTCAATGCAACAACCCAAAGACGGAATCCGAGTCAGACAGCTGAAGTGTGTGTGTGTGTGTTTTAGAGCAATGCGTGACGCATAGGACTTTATATTACATCCAGTGTTTGACTGTTTGTCTATCTTGATAACGATGTCAGAGTTTTTCATGTGCTAAAAAGTAAACAGAATTATACCTTTCTGGAAAGACTATTATGGTTAAATGGCGTATTTTTGTGATCTTGGCATTAATTGGGGGCATACATTGCCGCGATTTGCATTAATATTTTCATACATTATTTTTCAAGCTCTAATATAATTTGTTGCTTATGATCTAATTTCAAACACACAAACAAATATGACAATCAAAAGTGTGCTAATTATTATCACAGGTGCCAATTGCAGCATTTTGAATTACCAAGTAATAAAATAAAAATAGTCTAAAATCATGAAAAGATTCTAGCTAATGTGAGAAATCCACATAAAATCACATTAATTGTGGGTAAAGTATATTTTGCTATCAAAGTCGCGACTTTTGAAAATCGGCAAAACGTCCAAAGTCGCCGCCAATATCCTTCCAGACCAAATGCTCGAAACTAAAAAAAAAATATATATATACATAAAACTTTTTTTTAATTACCAATTTTTTTATAACATTTAGTTACTTTCACTTTTACGCTCCGTCGTTTTGCCAATCTCAGCCTTTCCACTTTGAAGGAACGCCTACCTGCTTGCACGTCTGCTCACTGCAGCACCTTTCGTTGGCGTTGGAAGCCGGTAAAACAGTAGTCAGTTTTAGTATTGCGTGTATGAGCAAACGCAAGTTCTGTGTTTTGCATTAGCTTTGAGTGTTCCACACTGCACATGCGACGAGCCTAAAATTGCGATCTTATATGGCGCATGGCAATGAGGCACACGCACAATGTGGGGCATGCAACTCTAACGCAAACACACGCCGCTTGCGTTTGCTTCTATGCACAACACTAAGGTACAATCCCATATCGGCTGCAGCACTACGTTGGGACAGTGAAGAGTGTTGTTTGCATTCGGAAATTACATTTCGCGAGCCAGGATCGCGAGCAGTTCCGCCGTGCCCGCTGAGCCGGAGGATCGGGGGACCCTCACTAGAGCGCTTCCCGTTTCCGCCGCGGGGGGGCGAGCGTCGTGCTGGAGACGCAAATAGTGTTTGAATGTTGGTTTTGGAATCATTTTCACTTGCTGATTTCACAGTAACTATTCTAAATTTCGCGATACAATATAGCATACCCGAAAGGGTAAAAGTCGGTGATTCCGAAAGTATAGAGAGTTGGGGTAGCTCAAAAAATCGGCGGAGTACCCCTTTCATGGAACTACACGGTGATCAGGTCTAAAACGCTCTGCCTCAATTAAAAAAAAATAAGAAAAAATCAAAGATATATATTTTTTTAATTGCACGCTGAATTTATTACTTAGGGACATGTTTGAGGCGCCGTAAATATTTTCCTTTATAAACTAGAGCAACAAATTATATACAAACGATAGACCCTTATGCAAACAATAATATAAAAAAAAATTCTAATGTTTTATTTTAAAAACACTGCTATGAAAATTCACAAATATAAAGTAAAAAAAGTAGGCACGTTTGTGCATCTTTGACGCTCGACATAGAATTCATTTAATTGTAGAAATTGTTGCAAACATTAGCACTATAGACTACTATTTTCATAGAATATTTGAGTTTTCCATGATTTGTACTCTGTCTATTGTGTGACACCAAACGTCAAGTGTGTGAACGTCGTTATCACCTCGAGTCACGTGACGTGACAAACACGTGTCAATGCCATACACACTTTAGGGGAAATAAAACTGGATTTATTAATACTAAAAAAGAATGGCATAGGCAGGCATGGTTTTTTCTACTGCAGCACGAGCGAGAGTGTCAGTAAATGTGAGAATTCCACCTCTTGGGGTTGTGCCGTGCATGCGCCCCCGCAGACTCCGGGTATATGATGCCATCTCGTGAGCCGGTGGTAAACCGTGGACCACACTCGGCCATCCTGCTTTATTGACCCTCCTGGTCGGAATCTTTTCGGACTCTTCCGAGTCGAGGGTTTCAGCTTGTCCATAATCGTGATGCAGCGGGGAGTTCCACAGGAAGGATCTCAGGAAGGTCTCCGTGGCGGTAGCAATCGTTGGGGAGCCTCTCCGTGATAATGCGCGGTCCCTTGTACCTTTCTTTCGGTTTTCTGAACTCTCTCCGCTGGCTGTAGGCTCTCGTTCTACAAGTATCTCCTGGCTCGTAAGTCGGCGCTGGAGATCTCGCCTTGTTGTAGCTTTTCCGTTGCCTTCTTTGGTTTCCGCGGAAGTTCTCGACCGCTGCAACTATCTTTGCTTCCACCTCGCAGTCGAATTCCTCTGGAAGGGCATTTTCCACATGGTCACCAGCGATGCTACGTGAACAGTAGTTGAACGGGAGTCCAAACAGTGTAGTCTTAGCCACCTGACGAAAGGTGTTTTTAATTCCTCACTGGACCCGAGACAATGTTGAGTCTCAATTCTGGCCGTCTTAAATCTTGGTCAAACTTGTTACCGCCAGAGTTATCATCCCGGTTTCTTTCCGGAAGGCATCTCACGGAAAAGATACTCTATGCAAGCGGCAATATATCTTGGCACGTACCGCCTCATACCTGCGAACCAATATGCCCATCCGAGTTTTGCCAGGGTCTTGTCCACGGCGGAGTGCCCTACGTCGTCGTGGCACAAATTCACCACCCGCCAACGTGCCTGGCTTGGAACCACCCGGGCAAATTTTTCCAAGGAGTCGCTGATGGAGTTGGAACTTTGTTGCTGGATTCGTGCTGGATTACACTAGCTGTCTGATCCCCTTTGTTCGTGTACCTACCATCTTTGCTGTTCGTGGCGGTTAAAGATGCAACGTTGCAAGTAGGGATGTCGCGAACCACCCTAGGTTCGATTTCGAAAGGTTTCGATATTTGCGAAGCGAACTGAGGTTCGATTTCGAAAAATTTTGATATTTTCGTACCGACCGAGGTTCGATTTAAAAAAATTCTCAACTTTTGACCACAGCAAAGTTTCGAATTCGAAAATTTCGAAGCTTTCACGGTTTCTAAAATTTCGAATTCGAATATTTCGAATATTTTTTTACTTCAGGTTCGATAAATTCGAAGATTTTGAAATTCTTTGTAAAAAAACTTCGAAAACTTCAAACGCTTCGAATTTTTATAGACATGAAGTTCGAACAATTCGAAGATTTCGAATTTCTTTTTGCATAAAGTTCAAAGGTTTCGATTCTCTTTTAACGCTAAATTAAAAAAACAAAACAAGAAAACTTTGAAGATTTTGAATTTCTTTCTAATCCAAGTTTTCAAAGTTCGAAGTCCGATTTTCAAGTTTTTCCACTGTTTCAGTTTCAAATAACGTTTTCACGACTCACTGGTTTTCACAAAATCAAGTTTAGAAAAGTTAGGGTGTGATATCTAGATTCTGCGAAGTTTTACGAGACGCATCCAGTTCGAAACGGCCAAGGGCGAGCAGGAGGTTGAGGCTCAGAAAAACCTTGAAGCGACCTGGCAAACTAGCTCGCCACCCCTTGCACGCTGGTAGCAATCCAATCAGGTGAATTTTATAATTGTCCTGGAGGTTTATTTTCTGGGACGGAGGAATCGCCTCGCAAAAAGCACAAAAGCCGACACAACTCGAGGTCAAGGAGCGTTCTACCATACAAGTGGCGTCGGAAGAGGAAAAACGGGGGGAAAGAGGGTAGTGGGGGGGGGGGGGGGGCTTCAGCCTCCTTCTTTCCCTTGCAGGTATTTCGGACTGTTAAGGAAAACAATACGGGGAAAGAGGGCGTGGTCGAGCTTACTTTAATCTGAAATTATTTATGCATATGTATAGCTACTGTCGCTCTTCACTGCATAAAAGGTTGCGTAGATGGTCATTGTTAGAAACTCGTTGTCAGAAGGCACTGGTCGTCACATGCTTAGTGGTTCGGAAGTTCAAAGCTGTCTTTTCGACCTGAACACCTGTGCCGTTAGTAACAAAAAAAATAAAAATAAAAAAAATTAAAAAAAATAAATGCGGGAATAAAAAGCAGGAGAAAAAAAAATATCAAGAATTCGTCGGAAGTGTTCTATTCTTGCATATTCAGAGGTTCAGAACTTCGAAACAAGTTTCTTCTACCAAAATGTGTACAGGCTAAAAGAAACACGTCCCACGAACGTGAAGCGAAAAAAAAAAAAAAGTTTTCTTTTAATGCTGAACTTGAACAATATTAGAAATCTTCTCCCACGAGTTAATTTATTCCTTAATGTGAAAAAACAACAAATATATTATTTTGTATTCTGCAGATGGCAATGATATGTACTGTATGTGGTGTTAATTTAAATGCGATACCTCAAACAACTTAGACGAAAATAAATATCAAGTTTAGGTCATAATTGCATGCAGATACATGTTTGGACATTTCTTCGAAACTCACGTTGAATAACAATAATCACATCTTAAGATGGCACTTACCTAGGCTATGCATAGATCATTCTTAAAAAAGTATAACATATCTACCATAAATAGCTCCGGCTGCAGCGTGCTTCAAATCTGGCACAAACAATAATCGTCAAAAACCCGTCGTCCTTCCTCGCCCCCTCGGGAATTTATTTCTTTAAAAATAAGCATGCCAGAACATTGAAATAAACGATATTGTGTTTCGTAAGGAACGCAGCACCGCGAGTAAAAGTTCGAGAAAAAAAATTACGAATATACCCCACTACTTGAAATCAAATGAAACCGTCCGCCGGTTTTTCGAAGTTCGACGAACGTCGAACTTTACCCTAAAAGTTTGAAGTTTGTCGACCTTCTGACTTTCAAGAATTTGAAAGTTCGAAACTTTGATTTCTCTTGATAAATAAGTTCGAAAGTTCAAAATTCATAGAATTTTTTGGTCAGTCAAGGTCGAAAGTTCGACAAGCATCGAACCTTGCAGCGCAATAAGTTCGAAAGTTCGAAAAAGATAGAATTTTTTAGCGTAATAAGTTCGACGGTTCGAAAAGCGTCGAACTTCTTAGCTTAACAAGTTCGAAAATTCGACCGCAGCCGAATTTTACGATATAGACAATTCGAAAAATCGAAATCTTTCGAACCTTTCGAACCGCTTGACTCGATCATCGAAACTTCGATTCGAAAAAAGTTCGCGGCATCCCTAGTTGCAAGTAGCAGGAACCATTGTTGGGGGGGGGGGATTGAACCATTGTTTTACGTTCGGGGAGTTCGCTGTTGATTCCACATCTGAGTTTTTAACGCCGTGCATTTTAGGCAAGATAAAACTGGGTTTATTAATACTTAAAAGAATAGCGTAGGCTGACATGGCTCCTGCTCTCGCGGCCTGAGTGTTCGCGAGTGAGAGCCCCCTTCTCCTTAGCGTCGCACTGCGCACACAGCCCTGGAGACTCTGGGTATGCGACGCCATCTAGTGTGCCAGTGGCAAACCGTGGGCCACACATGGATGAGCCCTAAATCTCAGTCACCTTTTGTCAGACTGCAATTCGGCATTAAAATGTCGGCTCCCACCTACTGTAGATGTCCACGTCGTTTCATTGCTAGATGGGCTCCATTTGTCGTGGACCAAGAAACGTTAGATTGGACCCTTTACGAGACTGGATCTGTAGCGCTACACAGCACAGGGCACAGCCCTCTAACTGCTACCAGAACAAGTTAGACTAGTCCAGTGACACTTACTGTAAAATTACGTATGGCCCTCTTCCAAGAGATAGCCCATCCTATGTCTTTGGTCAAATATCCCCAACATAAAAATTCAGAAACATCGCCCACCTTTTGATTTCTGTCGGATATTACGCGATGACCGACGGGAATTGCATCAACCTTGCGTTCTGAGGTACCGGTACATGCGACAAGCGAGTTCGCAGTAAGTTCCCGCGTATTTATTGCACCGTGATTTCCGAATCTGCTGTGTCTACAATCTGCGGTACAGTAGACTCTCATTAATTCAAACTCCATGAAGCCACAAATTTTGTTTGAATTATCAGAAATTCATCTAAATATCATACAAAATAAAATTAGGACTTGCCATATGAATGGCTATACATACAAAGCAAATATCTGATGATTTCCTCTGCATAGGCCTACTGATCATAAGCAGGTATGCCACACATTAAACATTTGTGAAATAGATGACCCAAGTTTATTTATCCTTCAAAAATGTTGTTTATAGTGGACTGTTTAGACAGCATACAACTCAGTACAAAATTAAGTTTGTTCATCAGGCCAAGAAATTGTCTAGTGTGAACTATTAAGCAGGAACACACGAGCAAAGAAAACGGGCACTGCGAGGCAGTTTTTGTAGCAACAAGCACAGCGTCCACGCAAGTTGCTGTGAAAATTTCTGCGTGATATTTGTTTTCGTAGCTCATGTGTGCCCACTTGAGTCCCGTTGAGTGTGCTCGCTTCTCAAAAAACACCGGTGCACTGCACAGAAGCAACACCCGTGGAAGCAAGCTCCGAGGGTGTTGCCTCTGCGGTGCATCGGTGCTCGGAAAGAAGCAAACTCAACAGGGCTGCGCAAATAAAAAGTATGAATTACACGAAAACGCTATCAGAATTAAGCGGCTTATGAATATGTTAAAAACATAGCGGGACAACTAAAACTTTGGATTTCGTTTGAATTAACTAGAAGTAGAAAATATCAGAGGCTGAATGATGGCGAGCCTAGTGTATCTGTTCCCATGACATGCGAGCTTCGATCGAGTTCCAGTATCTTTTTATGCGCGATATCCGTTCCGTGTGATTCGCAGGTTCGTCGCGGGTTCCCGCGGGTTTATCGTACCGTGACACGTGAATCTGCTGCGCCCACAACCTACAGTATGAGTTCCAGGTTCATGCAGGCGCCCCCAATGTTTATAGCTAATGTTTTTCTAAACATCTGTCATTGCATCCCCAAAGATCGCCCGGCCAATATTTTTCGTCTTTCGGTGCAGTTTCATTTTAATGCGTTTGCTTTCCTGCGTTAATTTTGAAAATCTGTTGTGTACCACACAAAAGGCAATGAGCTGTTCGTGGACACATAAAATAAAGATTAATATTATTATCTTTTCATTTTGGGTGGGCGTTCTTACGTGATTTTGCCTTACTTCACTAGTGATTCCTAAAAAGCCACGGGGGCATGAGGTCACAGCTCCCCGGCCTCCCTTTGCTCCTCACCTGTGTGGCGATGTTGAGGAGGCACAGCCTCCCCGTGTCGTCGCAGGTGAACGAGATGATGGAGTGATCCTCCTGAATGCTGTCAAAACAAAAAAAAATTCACTTGGCTTAGACACTTCGTCAAATGCAGTGAACGTGAAATGGCACTTGGTGGGGTTCGCAACAGACAGCACTTTGTCGGAATCCGGTAGATACACTTTCCCATTAAATTTGGCGTGTAAATCGACGTCGCTAGACCCGACGTCGTGCGATGCCAGGTCACGTGACACCGTCACTTGAAACTGAGACTTCAATTTCCTCGTTAATTTAGCGGGGAAATTGACGTCGCGCAACATCGAGCGGTCGGATGAAGGGCCCGTCGCGGGTTCTCGTGTAAAGCTGTCACTGTGTAACAAGAACTGCAGGATCATCACAGTGGGAAAGACACCTGTGCAAGGAGCAGGGGTCTCAAATTTACTCTTAAAAGCAATTTGTCCAACGCTCGCTTTTAATTCTGAACCCTGCATCACAACAGAGTTTGAGCCAATGGCAACACATGGCGTCGATCCCAAGACTGAAACCCAATCGACTTAGATTTCTTTATTTGCCGATGTCACTTCGGAAAAAAGAAAAACATAATTGAACCAAGCTTTGAGTCACACTTCAAGAAAGGTAACCGACAAGAGGCAGCAGTTCAGACGGGTTTTTGAGACAACCAGTTATCCGGTCATTTGAATTTGAAAACCGGATAACCAGACATGGAATAACCAGTAACGTTACTCGGTTACATAAGTATCTAGACACTCGAATATTCATTGAGATTGCTTGGCCGAAATAAATGTGTGTCTCTGCGGCCTATTGCCTGGTGGCTTAACCCTGTCGCCTGCAGGTTTCAAAAATTAAAGACGATCTCCAGGGGTCGTTCATCTATCCAACCATCGTGGCCCTAGCGGCTAAGTTCAAAACTACACCCATAAGGACAATAACATAAATTACCGTATTTACACAAATGTAGGTCGACCGATTTTTTTAGTTTTTTTTAAAATCTGACGAGAGGGGGTTGATTTGTAATCGAACCAAAGCATTCCACTGCCAACAAAAACGAAACAATCGCGATATCAAGGACATCTTGGCTCGTTACAACTTCAGCCGGCTATACCTGTAGCATTGCGCTATTTTGTGCGCTCGTTTTACAAATTCTTTTTTTTTTTATTTGCGCAGGCGAGTATTATTGATAGCGATTTGCAAATTAACCCAAATGTATGGCGGTGAACAGTGCACGCCGTGGCAGACTCCCGGGGGTGACAGCACTTCTTGTAAGAGCCACTCCAGAGGCCGCTGGAACAGCCTCACGGCCCACTTGGCTTGCTCCCCGCGGCTTCTTTTTCCCTGACTTACGGTCACACGTCGTTTGATCAGGTGTAGAGATCATGCTGGGACGCTAACTATGTTTTCTTATATTGACACGTGTGATGCGGGCAGTTTAGGTTTTCGGTACTCGTTTACGGCCATTCTTCACCCAGAAGCAACCAACAACTGCGCTCTTGGACACAAGTTTGACCCATTGGAGAGGGTGATGCTCCAGTGGAGTCTGCAATGGCGCGGGACCTTAAGCTGTGCGACGGCGAACAAACAGGCTTTGGCGGGCCAAAGTCTGGATAGGTGGGGATGCCTTCCGGAGTTGGAGGTCGGGCCTGCAACGTACACTGCAAAAGTGCGCAATCGGTCCCTACCCGTGACGTCCAATGCGATCGCCAAGCAAGCGCGGAAGATGCGGTTGATGCAGTCATTTGCGAAGTGCGAGATTTCGTTGGACGACGCCGACGACGTGTTTCGTAACAGTGATGACGACGGGACTGACATCGCAGTGCGGACAAGTCGTAGTCTAGTTGCGGACGAAGTGAGTACGACAGGCAGCAGCTTCAGTTGTCCCGCCTCCAGCGTGAAATTCCTAGTTTCGATAACGCCTGGGCATCTCATGCACCTTGTGCGTGCATGCGCAACCAAAACACGCTGGAAGGCATTGATCGCAAGTTGGAGGCTGGGCTTTCGAAACAGATACTTTGCCGTTCTCACGTGCAATGTAAGGTGTTCATTTACAATGGAGTCGTCTTACAATCGAGTAAATATGGTATTTGTTTGCGTTTCAAACGCAGCGCCGAATGCCGCATTTGCAGTTGGTTGGGGCCTGTGCAAAATAGGCGAATCCTCCATTGGGCAGGAGACCCAGACAAGCGCCCGACGCAACGCTCATCTCAAATCTTTGCCCCGTGCTCGATCGACGCAGACGACGAAACTATTCCAGTCCAGAGGCCTTGTTTTGGGTACAAACACCGTGCTCCGTGGAAAACAAGCGGGACAAAGCACTCCCAACAGTTCGCTTTCCTTGCCATATACTGCATTTGCACGAATATAACGCGAGTTTTTTTTCGAAATTAGGTGCTCCAAAACGCACCTCGCGTTATATTCGGAATCGAGTTCAGCCGCGAGGCGCGCGAGTCTGGAGAAAGCCATCCCTCCGGTTCAATGCAAAATATCCGGCGGGAAAAGAAGTGGGGGTGTGGAAGGGAATTTATTAGCTACTGGGCCACGTAAAGGGGCAAATAGAAAACATAAAAAAAAAAAAAAAACATTTTTATCGCTTTTGTGTTTGTACAACGCGCGCACGCCGCAGAAACTCAGCGCGCGCGCGCGCCATGTGGGAATGCGGGCACTGGCCAATTCGAGCCAAGCCAAGCCGAGCCAAGTCAAGTGAACACAAGCCAAGCTAAGACTGCCCAAGACCACCAACCGCGTTTGTGCAATCGTGCAACACGAGGCATTTGTTTATGGAGAGGGAACAGAACAAGAAGTGTGATCGTGTATCGGAATCAGAAGTCTTTTTTTCTGCCTGCGCATTGTTTAGTTTCTGCTCCAGTGTGATCTGGTGTTTGTGTGATGGTGCTTCTGCTTCGCACCTTGTTTGGATTGTGGGCTGCCGAGGAGCTCAAAGAAGCTCACACGAAAGAAAAAGGAACTACCAGACAAGCAGGTGCCGTGCTGCTGCTTATTGCGTAGTCGCCAAGTGGATTGTAAACGGAAGGACCTGAGCAGTGAGGATGAGCGCAGTCAAAACATAAACTGATATTTCTTCTATTTCCATTGACTTTTCACATCTGCTATGGCCCCGAGTGCGAGAAATTGACGCGGCCTCGGTTCGCGTTATATTAGTAATAATATTTTTTTTTCTTTTTGATGACATCAAAACCTGCCCTCGCGTTATATTCGTGCAAATACGGTACGCAGGAATTAGTAAATTTATTAAGGTGAAAGCCTTACATGTCTCATCGTTGAGCAAAAACATCTGGAGTGAAAACACATTGGCGACATTAAAGGTATTAAAACGTTTACGTGACCACTGGGGCGAATTAGAGGGAAAGGATGACAAAGCGAGTTAAGTGGAATCAAAGTGAATTAAGAGGAATTAAAGTGAATTAAGAGTAATTAAATAGACGTAAGAGTAATCGTTGGAAATAAAGGACTATAAAGTGAATTAAGAGGAATCAAACTGAATTAAAATTAAAGTGAATTAAAGAGAAGTGAGAGGACTACAAAGAATTGCAGTGCGTGAAATCTGGAAATAACATATGAAACAAATAGAGAGATTGTGAAACAACGCTTTACGGGCATATGATTGTACCCAACACCTCCACCAAAATGTCACGAATGACAAGTGATGAGGCGACGAAAGTAAATCGTGTGTCTCTTTAATGCATCGGCACTTGGGCTTTCGCCTTTAAGTCGTCTTAGGAACAACATAAGAGACTCGGTGAATTTTACTTTCTAATTGCCGGAGGAACACAATGCATTCTTTGTCGCCTTAGGACTAAGAAATAAAAACAAAACAGTCCTTGATTTAGTTATACGAGAGATGAAACCGAATAACCGGTTTGACAAACCGGTTATTCGTAAATTAAAATCCGGATAGCCAGATTTGCTTTCCTCCAGTGTAACCAAATATCCGGTTAAACAGATATTTGAATCCTCTACTAGCAGCATTTCAGTCCACTCACAGGCTGAAGTCGGTGAGGTCGTCGAAGACGTATCCGCGTATCCGGTGGTGCGAGTCCGCGGCCAGCACGGTGCGGCCGTCCTTTCGGCAGAACAGGCCCTGCACCCGCACCCCTTCCCACGAGTCCAACACGTTGCCGTCCAGGTCCTGTGCGGAACAAACACAGATGAGATCCAACTCAAATCCAACAATTTATACCATAATCACAGAAGTCAAAACATATACAGCCCAAGCTTGTTATAACAGACCTTGATTTTGGCCAAGATTTTGATCTGTTGTAAAAGGAGTATGTTGCATGCGGATATGAACTGGAGTCAATGGTACGTGGAGGAAAACCAACCGAACTTCACGAAGTGGTACGTTTTATCCAAATGTCTGTTGTAACCAGGTCTGTTGTAATGAGCTTAAACAGCTTGACATATTCCGAGTTTTTTTTGCCCCGTGATGCCCCCAGCGTGGCTTTGGGTACTCACACATTGGTAGAACTGGCCCCGGATGCCGCCCGTGACAAACTTCTTGCCGTCCTTGTGCCATGCACACGACGTCAGGCTGTCCTCGGGCGAGTGCGTCATCTTCACCCGCAGCTCTCCCATCTGAACAACACGAAAGAGCTTCAGGCAGGGTCTAACTTGCGTACAGTCAATCAATAGTGCAGGCCACTCTTGCACGTGACCACGTACTCCAACATTAGATGCCAGTGAACCCGAGACGAGGAAGGAAAAGGAATTGGGGACTGTGTTCCCTTTCCCTCTGTCTCAGGTTCAGTCGTAACAAGCATCCACCAGCTCGCCAGCCCGCCCGCTTAAATGGTGTACAAAAAAAACAAAAAACACACACACGAGTCTAAAATTGATAAACTATACTTGTTGACATGTTAAGAATCCAGCAGCGTGTGATGAAGTGTCACCCACTATAGGCACCACACACACTGGAAAGTGAGTTATGTCTGGATCAGCTCCTTCATTTTGTACACCCTTTGCAGGGCATGTTCCATATAAAATATGCCAAACAAAATTAGCCCTCACAAAAGCACTGGCAAAAAAAAATTAATGATCAAAATAAATTTCAAAAAATAAAAATAAATGCATTGCAAATTGTTGGGCAAATCTGTTGCACGTGAAACGTGTGGCATCTACGCTCTCAGCGCTCTCCCTCAGCTCGTTTAGCGACCGGCTTAACGCGTGGCACATACACTCAATAATTAGGGGTGTGCGAATATTCGAAACTTCGAATACTTCACGAATAATGTTTGCTATTCGATTCGATTCGCTTCGCCCTTTCGCTGTTCGAACTATTCGAGTTCTTCGAATACTTCGAAGACTATGAATAACGCGGAACTCATTGATTAGTGCCTGTTTTGTTTTTGGACTGCACAGTATGGTTTCAAGCTTGGCAAAACTACACAACCAACCTAAGTGTTGTTTTTTTTTTTTTTTTTTGTAGGAAGGATTGGAAAGTTATTTGCACGACGGTAGCGCGATCTGTCCTTTGCTTGCCGTGATGTCCGGATTGCAGAGTTGGCTAAGTGGTCGTGGCGCAAACGCTGCGATAGATAGGATGAAGGACTACGATTTGCAACGGCACATGCATCGTCGCGACGGACCGCACGACGTTTTGGGCGTCCGCCCGAGACGTCTTGTATACGTTCCTGTCCACATTCATTTTTAATGTAGCACAACCATATATTCGTGATTTCGTACCTAGAGTGACTACAGTAGCCAAGGTGCTATGGATTCGGATACGGATTTATGGCTCACCTCGGCTATCGGCATAGAGATCATACATACTAACTCTAGAGGAAAAGGTCCGCCATTTTCCCATACATTCTGGCTGCCGCAAGCGGCGGAGCATGCAGGCAGACCCTCGAGGTCCCAAACACGGTTACATCATCAGAGCAGTTTCGTGAACTTCAACAATCCACAAACTTACCGGTGGAAAGATATTCGCGTTCCTTTCGAAGCTTTCTTTTTGCATAGCGCGCAGATGTACGGCCTCGCGTTAACGCTAAGCTAAACCATATACCCGGCTTCGCCAGTGGGGCGCGGTTGAGGAATACGAAACTGCGCAACCACCAGATTTCCGAGATTTCGACAGAAGGGAAGTTAATGCAGCGTAATGACTTTATTGCTTTTTATAAGCGTTAGAATAGCTCAGAATTTAGTTTACAACGTTAAATTATCACTGTTCATATTGCTGGGAGTTTTCACTCTTCGCGTTTACCATGGCAACGTTGCTTTCTTTCTCTCGTGTTCTGTCGCTCTCTTTTGCGATTGTTCACTCGGGACCCCGGGTGTCGGCGCACGGGATTTGCCACTCCTCCTCACCCACCTTTACCCCCCTGGCTATCGGTGATATCTGGCTCAGGGGGGTAAAGGTGGGTGAGGAGGAGTGGCAAATCCCGTGCGCCGACACCCGGGGTCCCGAGTGAAAGATCGCAAAAGAGAGCGACAGAACACGAGAGAAAGAAAGCAACGTTGCCAGCTGAAGGACGGCAGTCGCAATGGTAAACGCGAAGAGTGAAAACTCTCAGCAATATAAACAGTGATAATTTAACGTTGTAAACTAAATTCTGAGCTATTCTAACGCTTATAAAAAGCAATAAAGTCATTACGCTGCATTAACTTCCCTTCTGTCAAAATCTCGGAAATCTGGTGGTTGCGCAGTTTCGTATTCCTCAACCGCGCCCACCCGCGCCCCATCGGCGAAGCCGGGTATATGGTTTAGCTTAGCGTTATTGCGAGGCTGTACATCTGCGCGCTATGCAAAAAGAAAGCTTTGAAAGGAACGCGAATATCTTTCCACCGGTAAGTTCGTGGATTGTTGAAGTTCACGAAACTGCTCTGATGATGTAACCGTGTTTGGGACCCCGAGGTTCTGCCTGCATGATCCGCCGCTTGCGGCAGCCAGAATGTATGGGAAAATGGCGGACCTTTTCCTCTAGAGTTAGTATGTATGATCTCTATGATCTGGCTTGTGTTATTTTTCGCTTGATTTTCTGGTTCATCAGTTTGCCAGTATTCCTTTTGTTATTTATTTCTACCCGTTTTCACTAGTAAAAGTGAGACTCCCCCCCCCCCTTGCCAAAAAAAAACAACAAAAAACATATTCTTAATTTATTGCATCTTTGTGGCGCCCTCTGTGGACAGAACTATTGCACACGGAAAGAGGTGGCGCATAGTCAGTGCGGTTGCGCAACGCGATCGTGCAATCTGAAACTCTGCTGTGGCCTGTCGACCCGCCTCCCCTTGTGTACTTCCGTTTATGTTCATGTGGTTGCGTTCACCAGCGTAAAAAGAGATCGCACAAAGTAGAGACGCAATCATCGACTTTGTATTGCGGCTTGCGGACCCGCCACCGCTTGTGTACTTGCGTTTACGCTCAAGTGCCTCCTTTTGTCCGCGATGCGGTCTCCGACTGCGTTGTGGCTTGTCGAACTGTCTTCACTTTTGCACTTTTATTTACATTCTCTAACCTCACTCAAGGAATGGTGTTTTAAAGACTGATATTTTTTCATTAGTTTTTTTTAACAGTAACATATGTGACATTTTTCTTATTGCAATAAAAGTAACCTTTTCATAAACGTTTGTTGAAAAAAAAAATCCAGTTGTGTTTTTTATTAAGTATTCTTGTTTAATTCACATCAAATAGAAAATATTTGTTTTCAAATATCTCCTTGTTTGAAACTACTATTCGTATTCGAAAATATTCGATTCGATTCGTAACCTTTATTATTCGATTCGCTTCGCTTCGAAAGATTTTGATATTCGCACACCTTTATCAATAATTCCTGGAATGGAGATCCCGGCGCTAACCTGGGTTTTAAAAATGTGACCAGTTGCCAAGTTGCCATCTCTCAGACGCAGAGCGGATGAACCCCAGGGGTTTCCCGCCAAATGGCACCTCAACTCTCTCTTAATAATCTACATGGTCTGGGTTTGATTCCTGCCCGGGGCAAATGTTTTTTTCACTGCAATTGCCTCTTCCCCACCCCTTCCTTCCTAAACTAGTCAGTGTCGAGCCTCACGGCCATGTTTTTGTCCAGGCTTCAGTTTTGGGCTTCACAAAATGCCAAACACGTAGCCAAACAATGTTTCACGTCAAAAGCTAGACGCATCTTTTTCAGTCTGGATCAGAGTGGCACCCTGCTGAATTTAGCGGGACGTTACCCTGCCAAATTTAGCCAATAAAAGCACAACACAGCTATAGCCGTGGCAACGCAATGGCTGGGCAAGCCGTTCAAATGCGTTCCGCATTAAATCTTCCACCCCCTTCATTCCCTAAACGTCATACGAATAAAACTGCCTTTTCGCATCTTTAGTGTATAAATCCTCACTCAATTCATTTCGAATTGCAACAACCAATTATTCTTGTCAATCCTCGGCTGCTCATGTCACTAGACTTATTTGTATCCTATAAGATTGGCTGCATGCTTACTCATCATGCCAAACACTTCTAAATGTGGTAGCTTTATAGGGTGGGTGGCACTCTTATTTCGGATGGTGCCTATGACAGGATGACCCTTTGTCTTTCACTGCTTCGGGGGGGGGGGGAGGGGGTGCTCTTGGTTCAGGTAGTGCCTAGGGCGGGGTTTTTATAGAAACAGATTATGTCACACCATTATCACTTTGTGAAGCTGCGCACGCTTCCCTTCAGCTCCACTTGAATAAAAAGCCCTTGCGCCAACCTTTTTGGGTCACCCAGGATGGGAAAGCGCACTTTCCTGCCCTTTCCACTACTTGTTTTGTGCCTTCTTTCTACACCACCCGTTTCTGCTCTTCTCTTTCTGGTCCTTCCCACCTCAATCCACTCTGTGCGGTTTCTCACACCACCTGCTTCTGCTCCCCCCGTTCCTGCATGCTGGGTCCGCAGCTTAGATAGCAGCGCACCCGGCTTCCACATCAGTGACCAGGGTTTGATCACCGACACCGGTTGCCATTTTTATTTCAAGGTCGTTTGTCAGTTACAGACTGACCGACCTACACATTTTGTGCCTACGCAGCTCCCAAGGTTGGTTGGCCCTGTAAAGCTATCACTTTAATATGTTTTGTTCATTTTGCCTCCCCTCTGTAATGCCTCTAAAACCCGGGGGTATTGAAATAAATAAAAAATTAGTACGTAAATGAATTAACAAACCTGCACGTTCCAGATCCAGAGATCCGAGCAGTCCTCCGGCCCGCAAACAATGAGGTGAGAGTCGTCTGGACTCCAGGCCACAAACGACGCTCCGTAGGAGTGGCCTTCGAGCGTCCGCTTGTGCGACAGCGTCAGGGTCACCTGGTCATTCAAAGGACGCCGCAACCGCAAGTCACCTTCCGTTTAAATCATATTGTATCTATCGAACCCTCCCCTATTCCCTGGAAGGACTCCCGAGCCTAAAACCAGAATGCCCGACAAGGTCGAGCATTAATCTCGGTCATTAAGAAGTCCTTTAACTTTTGCTTAAAAACCCGTTTCATTTAGACTGGCAGGATTGCAGGCATCACTGTAAATATGTTTTTTCAACATTCAGTGATATATGAAGTCGGTAGAACTCCGTGCAGAAAATTGTAGAGCTCTTCCACTTCGTGTAAAGATGGAGGACCAGCGAAGCTGTTATATTTATGACGTCTAGGACGATGCCTAGAGGATGACATCTAAGACGACCTTGAAGAACACATGCAAAGGAAAAAAACATTTTTTTTAAACGGCTTAGATGGAAAAAGGACGCTAAAAAACAATTTGACAACGAAGAAAAAAACTTTTTAGAGCTATATTTACGGCGCAAAACGAATTTGTAGTTGGCGCCCGCGGGCACCGCGGAAAAGTGGTCCGTATTCATCACGTGACTGGTCCTTATTTATCACGTGGTGCTTGCGCTCTTTCGCAAGATTCCTATGGCCTCTAAAAGTAACTTATTCATCTTTGTTTGAAGTATAACAAAAAACCAAGACAAATAAGTAACTTTTAGAGCCCAAAGGAAACTCCTGAAAAAGTGCAAGCAGACGTGATAGACCTGTGCGCCGGTCAGACGACAGCGGCGGCGCCCCGAAGCAGACGAAGCAGACGAACTTGTGCGGCGGCGGCGACGGCGGCGTGAAGAAACGCGTTGAAGCGGCGTTCGCACAACGCTCAGCATGCGTCGGCAACGCAGTGCGGCGGCGCGCGGGCCTACCACGTGACCAGCGGCGGCTCCTGCGAGTGCCAACTACAAATTCGTATAGCGCCGTAAATATAGCTCTAAAAATTTTGTTTCTTTGTTGTAAAATTGTCTTATGATATCCTTTTTCCATCTAAGCTGTTTAAAAAAAGGTTTTTTTTCCTTTGCATGTGTCCTTTAAGGACAACTTTTTGGACGACCTCAAGGACAACGACAAGAGGACGACATCTAGGACGAGTTCAAGGACGACACCTGGAGGACGATGTCTAGGACGACCTATAGGACGACGTCTAGGGCAACCTCAAGGACGACTTTAAGGACAACGTCTAGGATGACCTCAAGAACGACGTCTAGGACGACCTCAAGGACAACTCCTAAGAAGACCTTGAGGACGACGTCTACGACGACCTCAAGGACGACGTCGAAGACGACTCCTAGAGAAATTCAGCTTTTCCACTCTGGTGAAGAAGGAAGACCAGCGAAGCTGTACTGGCTCGAGTTTTGTGTTGACACGCCGCTTGTCCGCGAACACGATAGTGGGGGAGCTAGCCCTTAACAGTCACTGTAAAACAATTGCACAACAACAAGCAGCGCATCTGATGGGCGAGAAGGAAGTGAACCACTCACCGGGTTCACTTCCCAGATCTTGACGGTGGAGTCCTTGGAGCCGGTGGCGAGGAGGGCACCCGAGTGGGAGAAGCGGCAGTACCATACTTCGTCGCAGTGGTCGTTGAGCACCTGGCGCCACAAAGAGTGGGGGTCATGAAGGAAGCAAGCATTAGCCCTCTGTTCGTCGCCCAGGTTGGGTAACTCGGCCAATACGGCTACCCCATTTCGGTAAAACATGAAAATGTCCCAGGAATTGGTCAAAACTTCAGCTTGGGCAAGTTGGTGGTTCACGCTTATACTTCACAGCACACAACAACAGACAAACTTCAAAAGTTCACTCGCACAAAGAACACCCACACAGTGCTGAAGCACTTCACAGCACAGCGTGGGTGTTCTTTCTTTGTGCGAGTGACCTTTTGAAGTGTGTCTGTTCTTGTGCGCTGTGAAGTGTAAGCATCTCCCAGGAATTTCTAGTCGGATGCTGGCGTTTGGTAGCTCGTCGCTTATTACTTTCTTTTCCCCAAATATTTCCACGAATATACGTAAGCTGCGCACTATGTCGCACTTTACTACATCACACTGCTGATACGTGAATATGTCATACTGTTAATACGCAAGTTATGCACTACAGAAAGGTCAAGAACTCGGTAGACGTTTTTGACCTGTCTGTCCGCTTCAGCCAGGCGTAATGCGCATGCTGCATGTGCCTCCGCCGTCGAGAAGTAATGCATCGTTTGCTCTGCGGTGTGGCGACATTAGCAACACATTGACGTCACACAATCATGTCATGTGACATCAGGTCATGGGACATAACGACATTCTTTCACGTGTTGCAACTCATTAAATACGTGACTTCGTCGCGTGATTAGTCACAGTCCAGGTAGCACTGTTCTTTCAGCCAAAATTTGGTATTTGACTGGGAATTTAAGGCCTTAGAACGCCTGCAGAAGCCAAGGTAGAGCCGAACTTGACCTTCGTTGGCCAGAGTCTGGGTGCCTTGGCCCCAGTTCGCCAAACAAGTGCCAAAGTCAGCCTTCACTGCTGGTAGTTTGGCTATCGGCTGGCATGTTTTGGCCTAAATTGGCCAGAGTTAGGCTTCACTTTTAGTTGCCCAGTTTTCAGGTGGCAACTTTGGGCCTAAATTGCCAAACAAGTGCCAGATTTAAGCTTCAACAAGTGCCAGATTTAGGCTTCACTGCCGGTTTTTTCGGCTCACGCGTGGCATATTTGGCTTAAGTCTGGCACTCTGGCAGTTATGTAACAAGCCACAGAAGAGCCATACACACCAAATCAACTCTGTTACGTCACGCCGCGGTGATGGCGCATTGGGCGCACTTCTAGACTGGGGTTGCGGGCATTCCTGTGTTGTTTTTTGAACAAGCCAGACTAAAACTTGCCTTCTCGTCAAAACACCGCGACTAGGGTTGTACCAAAAGAGCCGGGAAAGATTTGAAGATCGGTTTTCATGTTTTCCGATTGCTCGATTAGTCCGAGAACGTAAATAGGTGCAATGAAAATGGAAACCAGGCACCATCGAACCGCGATTGCTTTGCAAAAGCACTTTTGGTTGAGTTCACAAATACTTGTGGTTGCAAATTTTTTTTTTTTTTTTTTGTTCCAACATGAACGCGGGAAAACCGCCAGGTTGTCCAAACCACCCGCGGACCAAGTTCAGTGCGTCTTCACATTCAAACGGCCGTCTGATAGTTCAAACTGTCGTCTGCTCATGAAACAACAGCAGCCAGTTAACGAAGGAGCGATAAGAAGTGCTGTCCCCAAAAGACGTAAGTTTGAAAGTTGTTTGGGATAAGCAGGCTTCAGTGTCAACAATAGTGTTGATCATCGTTACCAGTGGCCATCCCCAACTCGTTACGCCCGATTCACTTGGTCCATTTCTGATTACGATTTTCAGTATCGACAACGAGCATCACAGCTACCGTTCATGCTTTTGCCGCCCAAGTGACGCCACGACGGAAAATAGCGAGCAGAATCTCATCACGCGAATCGGGCTTTAGTGTCCACTTTGCGGCGTTTACGCCAAATGAATTGCTGCACGCCACATTATTTACGCGAAATTTTGCGGCGTAACGAGCCCTGTTAACTTCACTCGGACCACTAAAGTAGTCAGATGTTGCTACGAACAGGTATAATCAACAATTCCAACACGAAAAAAAGCCCGGAGACTTGCACGGATGCCAACAACATCATATTGCAATGGTTTGTTGATACGGACGTGGTGCTTCTTGCTTACGCCCCATCGTGCCCGCGCGGTGCCAGCGATGTGCCGCTAGGGGCGCTCCGGTTTGTTTGTAAACACAAATTGGTGTATAGCAATGGGAAAAAAAAAGTACTCGGGCACTAATTAACGCTTTGAAGCAAGACCATATAAAGCATAAACTGGGCCCCTAGGATTGCCATGCTCGTTTCTCCAGTGTGCTACCTAGACGTTTGCCAATAAAAAAAGATGTCACAACGTCCCGTCTCTTGCATGTCGCAATCGCGCACGCGGCGGTTCAGTCGACAAATTAAAATATGGCTACCAGTTTTTTTTGTAAATTTCTGTACGCAATTGAGCGAGCGTCCGAATGCCGTCGTGCAGAGTCCGGATCTCTCCGGCAGGTGCGTCGCCCACCTGCAGGGTGTGGCAGGGGAACTGTTCCCTGGAGCAGAGGTGATCCGTGAGGAGGCAGCAGTTGTCCTCCAGGCCGGCCTCCCCGCTCTGCGCCCCCCTCGGCGAGAACGGGGCATTGTGGTAGGGGCACCGGTCCCGCTGCAGCTCCACCGCCTGGGCCAGCAGGGCGCGCAGGCGCCGGGGGGGCAGCATCACGCTTGGCGGGAGGAACCCTGCCACCAGGACGCCTCGTTTGCGAGAGTCGAAGCTACGGCGCCACGGAACGCATCTGCGACCGGCGCGTCTTCCGTCCCTTTCTCCTAAAGCGCGAAACACATGTACAACGAAACCTTCCGGACGTGCGGACTGCCGGAATGACCTTGGGGAGCGAGGGTTTTCGTAGCATCGGACAGCGTTGAAAACCCTCGCCTCCGACCGTCGTATTGCGTGGTCGGACGTCGGATCGGACGGTTTCGTCGTACATGTGTTTCGCTCTTAAATGCAAAGCACTTCCAGTCTACAAGCTCAACTAAAAAATGCTATGAAATGCGTTAAGGCCCGTTCACACTCTTGCAACCGAGTACGACCGAGAGAGACGAGACTTGTTAAAACCTCTTAAAATTTCTTAGGACGAGAGAACACACTGGCATGCTGGCGCCATCTATGCGGTGACCCTGAAACTGCGTTTCACAAGAGCGAAGGTTTTGCGGGATTTCTGAGGTCAAATGTGCTTAATAGCTATAAGAAAGGCTCGTTTATAACGTTGACAAAAGTTTTTCGAGTCAAGAAAGAAAGGGTAATGCGCGAGAGAAATAGAAAATATGCCGGACCACCAAGTTTACACTGCTATCCAATAGATGGCATCAGTGTGTCCTCTCGTTGCAAGAGGTTTCAAGGAACCCAGTTTAAGAGGTTGCATGAGTGTGAACGGGCCTTTAGCTTTAAAGGAACATTGTTAGTGAAACAATTCGGAAAAGAAATATGCCGTGCACGCATCATTTTTAAAGAAGTTTTTCTCGACGCTGAGGACGACGTTTATGACAGGGTCCTAGAAGACAACGTCAAGAACGACGTCTAGGAAGACCTCAACAACAACGTCTAGGACGACGTCCTAGAGTCCTAGACGTCAAAGACGACGTCTAGGACGACCTCAAGGATGTCGGGTCAGATCAGTTTGTGGGCAACCTGGGGATTCAAAGCGTTTGGCTCAGGTTGCCCCTCCGACAATCATCAGTGATCATCTTTACAGCGAAAAGGCCAAGGGCAATTGGCCACGTGAGTAGCGCTCCGCCGCTGATAAAGGGCCGTCACAGCGTATGCGCGGGGGCTTTTGGAATCGCGGCGTGGGCGATAGTGGTCATTAAATGCTTTCGTGTTGTTGAACCGGTGCGCTGTGTCATTCCCCAAGACGGGTAGCAGCAAGGGAGATCCCAAACGCTTCAACTACCGGCGCTTAAGAGCTTACGTGATCGGCGCTTCGGCCGAGGGCACTTGAGCCACGGGCGCTTCAGTCACGGGCATTTCGTGACCTCAATTATGTGACCTTGAGTGTATTTCGGCCTCCGAAGCTTTAATAACAATCAAATCTATGAGGTGTTACCCCAAGAAATGTACAGGGTTTCTTTTATCAAGAAAATAAGCTATGCGTAGCCAAACGCTCATTTACCGGCCAAACGTAGCGCTGGCAAAGTTTCAGACCCAAGGGCACACACTTGCGACTCCTTAGGGCCAAGTGCCTTAAAACCTCTATAACATCTTTCGTGACCGAGGAGCTCTGTTTCACTAGAGCGAAGGTTTTGCGGTATCGGCAAGGACAAATGTATGTACTACCTACAAGAAATGGTTGTTTATAACATCGACAAAACGGTTTTCCGAGCCAGGAAACAAGGAATGATGCGCGAAAAACATAGGAAATATACGGGACCGCTTAGTGTTCCACGGCTTCAAGGCAGGTGGTACCAGTGGGTTCTCTCGTCCTAAGAGATTTTAAGAGTTTTCGAGGTACACGGTCCTAGGAAGTCGCAACTGTTTGAACGGGCCTCAACCGTTATCTTATTCAAAAGTTGACGCAATTTTCGGAAATTTTAAATGGGGAAGATGGCGGATGACGGAACTCTAGAATTTACCGTATTTACTCGAGCAATAGCCGCACTATTTATGAACAAGGCCCTGGCTTCTACTTTCCCGCAAAGCACATATACAGCCAATCATCGCGCTGCACATAAATAACATAGCGAATAACTAGATCGAGAACTCAATTCTCCATACAAATGCAATCTTCACAGATGGTATCTTTGCGCGAAGACGTTATCTCTGCCCTGTAAACCGCTAAAGTCATGTTGTCGATCGCAGTGATTGGCAATCTGCGTGCTCCGCGGAAAAGCGAACCCTCAGGTTTTCTTCATAAACAGAGCAGCTATTACTCGAGTAAATACGGTATTGAGCTGAATGGCACAAGCTACCGAAAACGGGCAAAAAACAGGCCCCATTTTTCCAACTGAATTTTTCAGCCAATCACTTATGATGTTTGAACGAGACGACGGTTAGTTACGAAGCTTCGGCAATCGGTTTGGACCGCCAGCACTATGTTTGGACGGAGATAAAAAGACAAACAAGAGGCTCACAAAATGCGGACACCGAGGTTTTAAGACGGCCTCGCCGTGGACTAGCGAGGTCGGAAGCACGCAAGGCACAAAGTCGGGAGGGGCAGATTGGCTCACCCTGAAGCTTCTCCATGAGCCTCTGCCGCGACGCAAGTCCCTTGCCTTCCCAGTGGGACATGAGGCGCAGCTCCTCCGGCGTCCCGCACATCATGTAACTGCGTCGAGACAAGAACGCAAACCGTGCGGCCTTCTTTTGGCGTCCCGACATGGCCCAAAACTCGAGAGACGACGTCGAAGTGAAACCAACCTCCGAGTCACACAAACCCGATTTTCTATGCATTCGTCCGATTCGGCTTGCACACGCCATTACGAGAGAATAAACTATCTCCCTGTACCAAAGCCCACTTCAGACGGGGTAACTTTCCCAGCAATTTTAGCGTTGCTGGCGAGTTGTTCCCTAGCTTTCCCTAGTGCGACACGAATTGCTCAGATCGCGTCCGGCTCGAAACGGACGAGTAACTCGGACAACTCAAAGACGTTTGAAGTGCCAGCAGCCAATCAGGGACGCAATATTTCCATGTGACACCAGAGCCGGTGACAATGACAACTAAAGTCTTGGTTCTGGTTTGAAATCGATTGTCTTTGGGAATAAACCGTTTCAGAAAGATCAGTCAGTATTCTCAACGCCACTTAAAGGTAAAAGAAGATCTTTATAGCGTGTAACTGCTTCTCTAAATAGCGCGAGAAAAATAAAATTTGATAACGAAAATGGCAAATCGCAGCAATCGGTTGCTGCGTGCAAATGCGGGCAGCCCGCATTGCTGGTGTTGCGACAACAAGTTGCAGGGAGAAATTGCCCCGTCTAAAGTGGGCCTAACAGTAAGTCACCCCAGCATACTTAAAGCTGAATCAGCATGCTTTCGTTTCATTTCCGTCTGCAAGTGGCGCTCTGTAGCAGGCGAACCGCATTCTTTGCTCACATTAGCAAACAAACCGTCTACGAATGCTATTTTTACTCGCTCCGTAAGCGGCAAATTAGGTCTGGCTCTCGCGGTGACCAAAATCGGACCCCTGGACCACTTTAGACGCGTGGGTGGTACGAGACACCAGACACACCAGTTGCTGGAGGCACCGTAGCGGCGGAGGGCGCCCTCACCTGGAGAGCTCGTGCACCCGCTGGGTGTTGTGCCGCAGCGGGGTGAGGCTGTGCCGCAGGCAATTGAGTGCCTCCAGGAGGTGGCCTTCCTCCAGGTGCTCCAGGTACTTTTGCTCGAGCATCAGGAACTGCATCTCCTGCAAGTAACGTGACAAGACGTTCCCATCTTCAGCGACGCGTATCGTGAACGCGGCACTTCAGTCTCGTGCCCGCAAGTTGCGAACCGCGGAAGTTCATCGAAGCGAGAAACTGTCGCGGAGTCGGTGCTCACCACAAGTGTCTGCGACGACGCCAGCAACGTCTTCAGTTCGTTGAGATCCGACTCTGCCTGTAACAAGAAAAAAAGAAAACCGTCGCTGATAAGGCTCATCTTTTTCTTCGTTTGCCGTACTGTCCATCTTGACGACACTACAGGCTCACAAAAAGCACTCTATACACCTTTCCAACGCCTGATGTGGCGTTCCTGATTCTGCGTCAGCAACATTCACTTCATCATCCTTATACCAGGTGGAGCAAACGACCGCCCTTTATCGAGGGTAGAGCCGTTCACATCCATCTATCCATCCATCAGCAAATTGTTTGTCACCACCAGTTTATTATTGTTTCTTTTTGTTCATAATTTGGAAGTCAAAAGGCAATCTGGTCTGACAGAAAAGAAATAACATGCTATAACAAGCTGATGGCGGCTGCTGATGATGACAATAAAGTGAATGCTTCCAACATACATGCAATCAAGAACACAACACTTATCACCCAGGCAAAGATTTGGGAGTCACTGGATTGTGGATTTTGGACGCGTGCATGGCATCACATTTTCTGTGGAAGAGAGCTACTGCACAGGCTCAGGTCAAGTTCCATGGCCCAAGACAAAAACAATACGGCAGCGCGCAGAAAGTGATTACTGAAATGGTCCACAATGGCCCCATCGGAGAGCCACTGGTCGTTTGCTCAACGTCAAGCTCACGCCAAGCTGAGAGAGGCATTCTGTAAACTGCCGACTCCTGAGGAAATGTGATATGCAATTGTTTACTTCGATATGTTTCAAGTCTTGATAGCTTTGCAGTTACGGACCACACTGATGATTAACCTCCGCTTCGTTGCACTGACTTATATCCAAGCCTTCTCAAGTGAGTGTGAGCCAAGACAAGCCGAAGAGGTAGAGATAGATGCAATGCTGTGCCAAGGAACTATTTAACATAGGCAACAACAAACTTTTACTGCGTCACAGACAGCATCAGCATCCAATAGGAGGGTTTCAAGGGCAGCAGAAACAGCATTTTTCTATACACTCAAACCTCGTTATAACAAAATGGGATATAACAAATTAATGGATATAACAAAGCAATCATAATTCCCCTTGCTTGCTAATAGTGGGAAGAAATGGACATTGGCTATAACAAACTAATGGTTATAACGAAATAATTACAACCGCTCCTTCAATGTTGTTATAACAAGGTTTTACCGTATTTTATTTTTTTGTACATAATAGACCCTTTTCAAATGTTGGGTCTAACCACTCTGCTCAAAGCCAAACCTGACGCTTCAATGGCAGCATCAAGCAGCTTCGCCATACCAGGCAAATTAGATGTCCTTGAAAGCACAGAATGGAAAGCGGGGAAGCGATTCCTGCAAGTTGGTCCTTCTACGTCGCCTTCGCTTTGCAAAGCCGAGTGAGCTCGATTTGGGCAATTCTGTCCTCTTATCACCACATTAGAGCGTAAATATTGGGAGCTTTCGAAACTGCCGCTAGGTGGACCTGACTTTTGAAAAGGGTTTGTTGTGCAGGAAGAGCTTCCTTTCGAAACGGGCACATTCAAATCTATTCGGCCATAATAAGGGGGCCATTAAAATCGGCAATCCGGAATGCAGGTGTACCAAGTGGCGACAGTCAATCAATGCAGCTCTCGCTTCAGTTTGTTTGCATGCTCAAGTTCAAGTGCAATAAAAGAGCTCTTCACCTTGGACCAGTCTCCATCCATTATGTGTGCCTGGAATTTGGCAGCGGCTGGGTGGTCCAAGCTGCAGCCAGACTCCTGGATGAGCTGCTCTGCTGTCCGGCTACGAGGCAGAGCACCGAGAGGCAAGTCAGGCCAGGCCAATCCACCCACAGTAGTTTCGTGCAAAAACTCCCGAGTGCTTAACGATTAAATGAATAAACGAGAGAGATAAAAGAAATGTATGGAAGCTGTCTTGTCTGTTTTGTATTTTGTGTGTGGTCATGTCCCATTACTATAAAGTCCAATAATATGGATACAGCACCATATAAACAAGTATTTTGGGGACAAACTGAGCAGACACCTACACTGATTTTTGCCTCCTCATTAAGGACTTGTGTCGTGGGCTTGTAACACCTGATGCAATCAGTGCTCTATAAGCAGGGCACTGTGTCTCCAATCATATTTAGTAAGTTTTGAACATGGTTCATACGTTGCACAGAGTGGTTCTCACGACGTTTCGTTGTTGTTAAAATGTGAGTGCTCCGATAAAATAAAAAAACAATTGGCCTCAAATTCACACACACAATTATGTCAATTTACCCCATAAACGGGTGCATTAGTAACACTCCGCGGTGAGTGAACCTTCTGTACTACAGTGCTTGAGGTGATCATGAGTATGGCGGCAGCCCCATTGACGGCGGTACGTACAAACCCCATCTCATAACTTTCCACTTTGTTTTGTCTTTTAAAAGGATGCACCACAAACTTCGATCAGCGTATCTTATTTCCATTTTCATTTCTAAGATCTCATAGTAAAGGTTTACGATTCACACTGACAATGCTCTACATATTTTCAGTTGTACAGGACTAGTGCAATACTGTTTAAGACTCTTAGCTGTTGGTATGACCAATAAATATAACATACAATTTATATTGCCCCGTGCACCATCATGAAGATACGCTTCGCTGTTCATCTCAAAGATTCGCATACACTCTTACCCTGAGCGTAAACTATAAAAAGGCCAGAATGACCTTGTCTAGTGAGTCTCGCCTTAACTCTTTCCAAAACATTCTAGGTCGAATATTCGAAAAAGAGCTAGGGCGGCAATATGCAACAACTATAGCTTGGCAATCTCGTTCCGCTAGACAGTTTCCGAGACATGCACTCACAGTCGAGCAATCTTTAAAATATGACTAACCACTTACATCCATCACGTTAAATGACAAAAAGCCAGAAATAACACAGTGACACCTAAACTAAGTGCCAATCATTGCTTTCATAAAAAAAAAGAGTAACTTATAATTGTGTAGGTTTAGAAAGGGTTATATACGTAAAGACAAGGGACGGGACAACACATCTAAAAGATGTGTTGTCCGGTCCTTTGTCTTTACGTATATAACTCTTTCTAAACCTACATCATTATCAACGCGCTTACTAACAACTTATAATTGTGGCTGCTCAGAGAATCTCTAGACTGTCTTGATTACACCAAAAGCTTATTGAAGCCAAATGTAGTCCTTGCAATGAGAAGCAACATACCGTAATATCCCAAGAAATAGCCCTTTTTCCCCACTCAGACTCAGAAAAAGTTGGGAAAAAATGCTTAACTCGATTACCTGTCCACTCGTGCATGCAGTTTTACAAGGCTCCGTAGATGAAGTCAGTCCTTTGTTTAAAAGCTTTTAAAGGAATACAAAGTCTAAATTGAACGTTTCGGAAGAACAACTGCGAGAACTAAGCTCAACACTTATGTCAATTAGGCCTTATTTTCGATAGACGGACGTATTCTGAGAAAGGAATGATGTGGCTTTGACAGCCTGTCCTGCTTGGCTGTGCAATTTATTTCACGAGGGAATGTTACGCCCACAAACAAATGATTGTTATGTTTCTAAATAAACGGTGTGAATTGGAAATGACGTGGCAGCCAACGCGGATGTCCCGCCAAGATGGCAAGATAGCATATCGACAGGGAGCCGCGCGAGGCTACACAGGTGAGGCGAGAAGTAAAACGGAGAGAGCGGGCGAATGTCGGCAAACAGATGAGTGCAGGCACAAACTTGACACTCTGCGTCCACTGGAGATAAAGCGCTTATCGCGCCCAACCTTGCTACTTTTTCTGTTGTCCCTAGAAGTTGCGTCCACGGGCAATTTCCATCCCACGCGCTTGTAACGTAGTCCCACTAGGTAAATTAATGAGGTTAAAAAAATTGACTGATCTGCCAGCAAATGCAGCAGCACAACAATATTTCGACGAGTTTCGTGTTTTGTATGCGCCGACGAAACGTCGTACAGAGATTGCAGTGTCGAAGGTTTGCCAGCTTACCCGCATCTTCAATGTCTCCTCAGATTGAAACTATGGCTACGAAGTTCCAATGTCACCTCAAATAGAAACTATGTAAGAATCACCTAGAGTACAACTTGTAGCACAGAACTTGCCTATCAGCCTGGCAAAATATGTATATAGCCAAGTCTGATTAACTTACTTAATATTAAACCTGGGTTGTCCATGCAGGTTTTGAGCTTATGGTAACTACAACTTGCAGAGATTTCAATTTGAGTGACTGGCGCAAGACAGGCTTCACATATTCGGCAACACATCTTCTACTGTTTCATCCCAAGACCTCTTCACCTTCAAAATCGGTACAAAGGCTTTCTTTGACGGGCTTTACGTGCGGGTGGGTTTCAGTTACATCTAGGGTGACCACATCCCTCCTCGCGAAATGTGGGACACCTTGACCGAAGAGGGGAGGGGGGGGGTGTGTAAGAGAAGAACAGTATTATATTTCGACTGTTCTAACTGCACAAAAGAACATAGTGCGCACTCGAGCTGGTTTGAAGTTTACCATGATACTTTTTAACCCGAAACTGGGGCAGAAGGAGGAAACATTTTTTTCCCCTCGTGCTCCAGTCTCAGGTTAAAAAGAATCATGGGAAAAATAACTAATCGAGGAAATTTTCTAACACACGCCACGAAATGTGGCTCTGCTAACAGATTTAGTATACTGTCTTGTCCGAAAGCATATTATAGAGCTGCAAATTGCAATGTGGCAATTAAGCTCAAATAATTTTCACTCCCAGTAATATATATTTAAATTTTTAGTGCCACACATACTAATAAATGTGTCTAAGCTGAAAAAATAAAATCGACTGCAGCAGAACTCAATGCATCAAAAGAAAAGAAGAATCAGTAAATCTTTTATGGCTTCCTGTCGGCTCTTATTTTTACTAACATGCTCCTACACAAATTTCGAACCCTATGTCGTTTTTTTTATCGATGTAAGTTGCAGTCTTTTTGCGTTGCGTCATCATTTTCACAAAAAAAAAAAAAAAAATTTACAGCTATTTTTTTTATTTTTGCATTGACACGGCGCGATTTGAAAATAATTACAATAATTTATTCTTCAACTTTTGGTGAGCAATTTTCTCTGCAATATTTTGCCACCTAGGAAAGAGACGCACAACGGCGCATTCGCGTCAGGGCTTCTGCAAGAACGACGGTCGCTTCCCGCAATTCTCGGATAAAAAATGGCGCACCATCACGATTGACACGTTTACCAGCGACCTCCGCACTTCCCAGTGCCCCGTTGTTCGGCAGCGCCACGACTTGAGTCGTGAATTTTACGACAGTGTAAAATGCGGGACATTTAGAATATTTTGATATTTCTTGCGGTACGCGGGACACGAGCCCTTATGCAGGACAGTCCCGCGATTCGCGGGACGGGCGGTCACCCTAGTTACATGACCCAAGTAAAATGTATAATATATTCTGCACGTGCAGACTAAAAAATATTTTTACAATATATTCCGTAGGTGCAGACCCAAGAAATGTAGGAAAAGGTTAATGGAGCACAGTGCACTGTATTCCGTACAGTCTACCGAGGGTAACATAATTTTTTCTTAAGAACAGCTTGTCCCTGAAAGAATTGGTCTAGGAATTTGATCCCTTACGACAGTGGTTCTCAGCCACTATTGTTTCTGGGACTCCTTCTGGATCACCAGAAGAAAAGGGGGACTCCATTATCCGGGAGGGAGGAGTGGGTAAAGGCATGATTATAATAGCAAAAGTGTAAATGAAGAAAACTAAATACATGCAAACCAAGAAAATATGGTAAGGATATGGTAAAAGCGAGTTAAATGAATATTACCCATGTTGAATTAACCTGAGACTGGGGTAGAGAAGCAACGTCAAAACATAGAAGAGACAGAAAAAAGACAGGACAAGGTGTCGAGACCTCGTGCTGTGTATTTTGTATAATATGTATAATGATATGTTAGAAATAATCTTCAAAATGAAGGTCAGGAAGGAAAGCAATCCTTCAATATGCCATTAAAAAGAAGAAGAAAAAATAAGAAAATCAGAGCCAGTTGTTTTGCAAGCCCCAAAACAACAAACCCAAGTAACCGCATGTCCAATGCAGCCGGATCGCCTTTCAAGGCCACGGCCCTCCCATGAAACACGCCTCCGCTTTCCAGAAAGGTGCGTGACCGTACTGTCCTACGGTCCGTCCCCCCCCCCCCCCCCCCCCCCCAAACAAAAAAAAAAGAAAAATGATGTCGAGCTTAACAAAGGCGCGTAACCGGAATGACTAAGCTGTTATGCGGCACACAAGTTCAGCTAAGCAAATATGAAAGCGACGCACGGACGTCGATCGTCTGCTAAGCTTGTTGCCAGCAAGCCGATCACTTATTCGTTTTTTCGGAACTGACACATATGTGCCGGGATTCTGGAGAAGATCTTTAATCATGGCCGCGAATCCGAGCAATCGTAGAATGAATAAATGAACCGAAACTGCGTAGCCGTAGACTATGCTGTCAGTCCTGCCAGCTGTCTACTTATTTTCCCCACAAACGGCGTCTGCTGTCTATGATCTCGCAACGCGTCAAAAATGTTTCCTGAAACCCGAGAGATTAAACCAAAGAGTCGAGTTATTATTATTATTATTATTTTTTCATCCCAGATTGCGAAAGAAACGCGCATTGTTTGCACCCGTGAACAGACACACTGAATTTCCCAGCAGTTCAAAGGACGGAATGTTTGGATCTTGAAACCTATGACTATGACCTAGACCCTAGTCATCCAACCTTACGCAGTTGATTGGATCTAATCCGAACCGATTTTAAAGTCAGAATAGTACATGAAAGCAATATTTTATGGATCTAAAGGCTCTGGATCTATCTTCACCGAGATCGTAAGACCATGTCTAAACGTCCATCCTCGTTCGGATTACACGAAGCTCGAAATGCAAACTGCTAACAAAAGCCTTGGCGTGAATTGCCTCACTAAAACAAGCGCCCGAGGCTTTTCGAAATAAAAGGATCTTCCACGATTTTTAACCTAGACTAGTGAAGATCTTAAAGAGTAAGAAGAACTTGGAAACAAAAAGACATACATAGCAGCACCACTTTTCGCACCCCGAACGTGCCAATAAACGAAAACGACGCTTAAAACAGTTGGTGTATCATGATGTTGGGATATTAGAAGGGTTTCCAAAAAATCAAAAATATTTAATAGATAAAAAAAAAATGCACGTACGTACATTACGACAGAGTCACAGAGTGTGTATTGAAAACGAGCAGATGAAAGCGTTGCTGGCTTCTCCCAAACAAACGGCCAAGAGTTCGTCGGGATCTTAGAACAAGCGGGACATCTTAAAAAACATCCGAGAGATTCGGGGATGAATCAAAACTCCGACAATGAAAGAAGAGAAACAAACAAAAAGAAATCGGAGAAGTGGGAGAGAGAGAGAGAGAGGTGGCACCAGCATAACGAGGGACAAGAACGATCGGTGTGGATCTTCGAACGAACTTACTTGAGCCCCAAACCCCTGAGGTGTTGACCGATGAGTCTGATAATGTCTTGTTCGGTGCGTGAGCCAACCTTGGTTTTCTCGCCTGGTGCGGCTCCGTTGGCGGCGGTGGTCGAATCGTCCCCATTTTGCACAGCAGCAGAACAGCCGTTGGTAGCCTGCATGGTGGCAACGCGCTGCTTTTTGCGCGGTGGCGACGATCCTCCGCCGTCCTCGGAGCTCGTACACGAGGCCAGCCTTGCAGCACGAGAGTCCTTTGTTTTGAATTCTTTTTGGCGTTGCGGTCTTTTGGAAAGGGACGGGGAGGGAGGGGGCAACACAAATTGCAGCCGCAAAGCCCTAGGACGTGCTTTCTTTTTTCCCCTTGCCCCCCCTTGCCCAACCGAACGTGCGTGTGAGCACACGCGCACCTAGGGAGCCCCGAGACGGTTTCCTCACTCACGACGGGGACCTCAACTCGGCCAGAAAAATAAACACGGGGTCGCTAGCACCCAGGACTCGAGGTAGCGGACATGGTCCAAGCAGCACAGGCCCCCTCGACAACAGCAGTCAGCTGGCTTGCACGGAAAGCTGACGTCACGGACCGCGCGCTGCATCTCGGGATAGACCCAGCCAGTGCGCTGGCGGTCATGGCCGCGCCGCCGTTCGTATCCGGGTAGGGTGCCCCCCAAAACAAAACGACTCTAACCTAATTTCCGGGTCTTTTCCACGTAAACGGGCGTGTTTAAATAGTTGGGCCGTTTCCGATCAACCGGACTGGATTCTTTGCCGACACGGAGAGATGAAAACCAAAGAACGCGAAGTTCAAAGGCAAAGCTTGTCAAGTCAAGTTACACATGGCGGACCACCACAGATAAACAGATCAGAAGCCAGTCCCCGATGCCTTGGCGTATTGTTGTTTCCGTAAGAGTAGCGGTTCTGAGTTTCCGGGAAACGGATCGGGAGAGTTCCTTGAAAGGGTTGCGCAAGACGATCTACGGTTGCGTACACTAGTGGGGTTGAGCGACACACACAAGTAAGACAACGACTCACTCGGCTACCCCAACCACAGTCCAAACAAAGCAGCAGACTAAACAGTTCATATTGCAGGACGCTTCGTACTTCGTTACGTTAAGTCTGATTTGACTCAAAGGAGCACATGAAAACGATTCAATAAATATTGTATTGTATTTAGACGCCTATGAAAAGCGTTGAAATGCTATTAGGAGTTACATTCACGCGTGAACCTGAACGCAAATTTCGATGCGAATGTGCGGCGAGTTAGAAACGGCTCGATCGACTTCATCGACACACGCTTTGCGATTTCGCTTCGCCTGAAGAAATTCGTCGTCCGAGAGATTCACTGGCATAGGTTGGCCGAAAATACGAAAAGTTGCTTGGCAAGAAAAACAAGACCAAATATTCTGCGAAGAGAGTGTGGTTTGAAGCGTGGTTTGACCGAGGTTAGAGCCCGCTAAGTTCGAGCGACAGGACTCATGGCGAAAGCAAAGTCAAAGTAAGCGGACCCTTCAAAAGTCCCCTTTTAGAACGGGATAGAACGGCCGAGAACTCTCCGTTTTCCCGCCCCCTGCGCGAGCTGAGTCCAGGCTCGATCTAAGCCGTGACGATTGATTTCAGATTCATCCTAGTGCTTCTCGAAAGCCTCGTCTCCAAGCACAAGGTCGTGCTGAAGCGGGCACGACTGGACGAAAAAACTGAAAAGTGGATGTTCGATCCATACAGTAAGTGAGATCGATACGAGCCTAAAAAAATGCCCAAAATGTTAACTAAACTTTACCGTCCCATCTCTTCCAGTTCAAAGCTTCAGTGTCTACAAGGAAATCAAGAAGCTCAAGAGTCTGAAGTGAGCTGTGTCGGTGAGGACGCAGCTCGCACTTGTACATACATTATCACGCATCGAACGAATAAGTTACTTAGGAATTAAATATTTTCTTTGTATGACTGAAGCTTCTCCAAGATTTTCTCCTTCGATTGTCTGTGTAGTGTTCTCCAAAGATAGAGTAGTACAAATCTATGCCTCACAAATCGAATCGGTGCTTCGACAATGAGGAAAACAGTTAAAAATGACAGCCTGCAATTTGCAATCGTAGGAAGCTTCTAACTCGGTAAAGTAGATAGTCATAAAGAGCGCAATCGAAAAAAATTTGCCCTTTTTCTGCACTTTAGTGACCCAGGCAGTGGTATTGCGGACTGTATGGTGTGTGGTGTGTGGCGATGTTGCACAAATGAACTTGGTACGTGTTTTGTTTCTCTACGGCGAGAAAGTCGTCCTGCGTAGCGTTTCTGAAAGAAAGCCCCGCCAAAGCCGTCCCGATCGTTTTATGGACAACTTTTTATGGGCACACGTTTTGTCTACAACTTTTCACGCACACACGTTTTGTTGACAACCTATTTTTTTAGAGCCCAGTTCTTAAATATCTTTCGGCTTGAGCGGCGTCGCCATGAGCGTAACTGCGCATTGCATTATGGGTTGTTTCCCACAATGACGTCACACGTGAAGTCACTACGGTCACAAGTGACGTCATGAGGGAGGGCGAGGAGGAGAAAGGAAAAGGAGGGGAGCACGGATGAGGGACACACCCTCTCCTCCTCCTCCTCCTCAAGAGCTGCGCTCGAATTCGGCATTACAGGGAATTGTAAACGTCTTTCATTTTTTCACTAAGTGGATTGAATAGAATTCCTGGATTCATTTCGTTCGCAAGAAGCAGAACCAGAGTGGGCAATGGCGGAGCAAAAACCAATCCATGAGCCCTAGTCCCAATCTTGCAAACGGTCCGCCCAGTGCGAGGACACCCCTCGCTCCGCTCGTGGAACAATTTTATTATAATCTCGGGCCCGAGCTTGCCCGAGGCCTCGTCGGGACAGCCCGGGGTTCAGCAAGATAAAACACCATCCGGAAGTCGGCGACCGAGGCAATGCGCGCGGAAGGACTATTTCGACGAAACGTCGCGAGGTGCGTCGATGAAACAAATGCAGGAACCTCGAACTGTCGACAAAATGATCATCAATAAAACGTCGATCAAAGAACTGATTTCCACCGCCGCCAACGCTAACGTTCTGGCGACAGCAGAACGCAAAGTTTGCGTCTTTTGATATCGCGCACTGCAGCTTTGACTGCTATTTTGCATCGTGGGGTTCGGCCATACACACCCATCCATCCATCCACAACAAGCTCCGCCTTATGCACGCTGTAACGGGTGACGATAAGTGAAGTCTCTACACCCGTCAACAGCCTTCCACACATGCTGCACGCGCGAGAAAAGAGTTCACTTGAGTCCGACTTCGTGCACAAGAGCTTCGAGCGAGAGGCGGCAGTTGTCGTCGACGTAGGCCTGGTAGCTCCACGCTGCCACGTAGAACGAGAGGGTCTTCGAGTCGGCCACTGTGGCCACTTCCTCGACGAGGCACTTCTTGACTCCCAGCTCTTTGGCGTACGTGGCCACCACTTGCCGTGCCACCACGTCTGCAAAAGGCACGGCGGAAGACAGAGTTGAAAAAACCATGTGCAACACTCTTTAAGCCCTTAGTGTACCAATAGGAGTCGCAGCCTCCGTCTTTAGTTGAGTTTCAAATGAGCCAATCATCTGCCCTTCAAACCGGTTGCGAAGTATCGAAGCAACTTGTAACTTTGAGACGCAAAAACCAAGTCACCCTCTTCCAATTCCCGGTTTGAGAGTCTTTCGGCATTAAGCTGCTTGGGCATGGCATGAAAAGTGCCAACATTCCTTTGAGTGACAATGTTAGATTCTATTGGATCTATTGAGCTAATATTACCTAGACTGAGCACCCAAAACATTGCTTTTGTGCCTATAGTGGCTTTTTTTTTGCCAGCAAGTGAGCACAAAGAAGCTTCCCTCCTCTTCCTACTGGCACCTTTTCCTTCTCATGTCGTATTACACCTGAGACTGCGGTGGAAGAAATCGGAAGAACTTTCAGTAGAAGGAACAGACACAGAGAACGTCTCTGTGTCTGTTCCTTCTACTGAAAGTTCTTCCGATTTCTTCCACCGCAGTCTCAGGTGTAATACGACATGATTAGCTACCACCAGCTCGCCTGCACTCTCACCATCTTTTCACCATTTCCTTCCTCAAGTTTCCAGCCGAGAGATAATCAAACCAATTCCCTGACAGGGGGCACCAGCTTTCAAAAATAGGCGGATTGGAGAGTTACGTTCACTCGACCGGCCATCTAATTGCCATTATCCCCCCCCCCTCGTGTTTGGACTAAAACTGGTTTAAGAACTGAATCAGACAAGTTATGCGCAGCACCATGGGAGTAAGAGTCTAGCCCTACAAAATATGTTATTTGCTCAAGCGTTGGACGAAAAGAAGGCCTTTCTAAGGCAGATGGAACTACTTGCTGCACACCCAACAAAGAGGACAGGCTGTGGATTCAGGGGTGCAGTGCAGTCAATTCTTACGAAGGCGGTTCAGTATGACGTTCCATTTTTTCCTCAACTCACAGAATCTGTCAACGGGCCACGTCAAAAAAAGGATGTCCTCGGTGTCTCCGCTGGCAGACGAGATTCTCCGACTGTGCAGCTCCGCCGTGGCTGCCAGGTTTTCGACGATGGCAGACGCCTTGGCAACCTGGCATTCCTGCAAATTATTTCGGCGATCGAAAGCCATAAAAACTCTGGCACCCTGCTATTCAGAAAGACAACAGCTCTCGCGTGCCGCACATCAACCGATATCAATGTCATGGCGCGTATTTAGCCACGGTTCCCGGAATGTGTCTTTGACTAATGTGTTTACCGTCCATCCATGCATCGAAAGCGGTCCCAAAGTGGGAAAAAGCTGGGTCACAAAGAGCCGGCACGTTATGCTGTGGGATGTCGTGATCTTTGCGGTTGGTCGTAGAAATGCTGGCGAAGAATGCGAGTGTCGCCGTTGTTGTGGCATCCTACCTCAAGTCTGGTTTCCGACCTACGGTGGAACAGGAGGTCTACTGCATCCAACTCCGGAGCTGTGCCAACTGTGGCAGACAACAGCGTGACACCACAATGTCACCAGGTCGCACAAGCTACCACCCGTGACAAAGGGTGCAGCCATCAGCATCCATCCATCCATCCAAACAGCCAGAAATCGGGGGCAATGCAAACGCATCGGTCGGATACAAGCTTCATCAGGGTTTTCTATATAAGCTTCGCTATGTCTGTCATTAGAGAGCACGTGCCATAGGAAGGGGCTGGGCAAATAGGGCTTCTGGTTTTCATGTGGTGGCGCTCGTGATGCAGCTATGCGGTGAAAACCGTGCTCCGTTTCGCAGGAAGCAGAGTAAAGTAAGTCTGAGCATTATAGAGCTTGAGGCACTAGCAGAAGAAGAGAAATTCATCCTCTCCAGATTATGCTCAAATTTTATTTGGTATTTGCATTTGCAGTAATATGAGAGAAAATACTACTAAATCCGCAGACTTTGTTTATGACGCCCATTAAAAATTTAAAGCTTTTATAAACATTTCCTTGTACCCTAGTTGCCTTTTTCTATAATAGTTGTGTTTTGATTTTTTTTTTCTCTGTGTATATATTCCAGTGATGTTTTGTGAACTTTTTATAAATTCCACTCTCTGCTAAAATAAAATAATAAGAAAGAGCTGCAGGTTGCAAAGATGCAGCGAATGAAAATTGAATCTTGCGAAACTGGGTTCACTGTGTTGTTGACGACGCCCGTTTATTGATACTAAACAGTTGAAACGATGGCGTCTACTTTGGCACGGAGTTGGCCTCTGTTATTCGCTTGAAGCCACCTTGTTCGCTCAAAAGGGTCAGATGGTATTTCATGGTGTGATACGGTGTTATTAAAAGTGGGCCCACATTTGCTTGCACCGCAAAATGGTGTGCACCAACTCGTGCCTAAAATAGAACCTCGGTATGACCTATAAATATTCACCCCTTCATGTCAAAATGTTACAGCTATAAAATGGATGCGTAATTATTTTTACATTCTGCACGCTAACCATTTTAATCTGGCAAACAAACTGAGGGTCACTGTTGGTCAATTTATGAGTCGTGCGACATGACAAAGATGTGACATCACAATGTCACGTGAGGCAAGAAAGTAGCGCAACGCTGACCTTCGCAGATTTACACCTGATTGCCCACCACCATTATTATGTAACAAATAGATACAGCACTTGTGCTAATATAGTGATAAGCAATATGCCAGGTGTATACGATTAATATATGTGCTACAAATATATAACAACATAAAAAAAGAACTAAAGTGTATTTAAGGTGATACAGTTAGCACGAAAAATGAAGACACTATTCTTCTGGAGGAATTAACAGCTAAAGGTTTAGCATCAGCAATTCTGTCATAGCATCCCGTTAACCTCTTCACAATATTGCCGGTGTTTTGAAGTATTTGGGACGGGGAACCCTGTTAAGTTCAGAAATGCCGAGACACCACTGGACAGGTCAAGCTCAGATGAGCAAGATCCAAACATTCTCGCGAGCTGTATCGTGCGCCAATCGTTTTGTAGCCACGACAGCCACGGGATGACGCTTCCGAAAGTTTTTTTTTACGCACCATTTCAGTCCAGACGTCCAGCAACATCGAGCAGAGCTCCGAGAGCTTGTCGGCTCTGATGTTGGCATCCTCGGCTTCTCCGCCACTTTCGCTGGTTTCAAGGCTGGTATTGCAAGAAAGGGGATATTTGCGCGTTGAAGTAAAAAGCATTAGAAATACCATGAATGTCTGATCACAATTCCCCAGAGATAACGCGCTATTTTATTTGAAAGAATATTACCAGCATCCATCGACACTACTCGTGGCTGCTACAGGGATGTCTCGTTAATTCATTAATGTGGACACTTCCATTCGCCGAAAATTGATGAATGTATATTTAACCAGTTCGTACCCGAAAATTAATGACAGGATCTACGTCGTGTGATGCTGTGCTCCACTGACTGGTTTGTTAAAAGATACGCTGTGGAGTACCTTACCAAGTAATGCAAAAATATTCCAAAAGCCGGGAATCATAATGATCAAAAAAAAAAAAAAAACTGCTCCGACTTTACTCAACAAGATTAACAATTTAATCAAACGTTTCGTCTCCCATGCAGGAAACATCGTCAGTGAAACCTACAAGCAGGAATGAGGGAAAAAACTTCAACAGTCCTATTTAAGCAAGTCCGCGTACACATCGGGGAGGGGGCCGGGGTTGGTACTGCCACGGCCGGTCTCGACGCGCGCGCTCGCTCTCCCCTACGGCCTGAGCAGGAGGGGCATTTGCTGCCTATCGCCGCAACTCTCCGGGGGCGCTGCGAGCCAACCCAGCTCCGCTCGACGGGAGCCGCTGAAATGTTCGCTCGACGTAGCCTCGGCGCGCGCTGTTTGACGCATCTTGCACGTGTCGCTGAACGGCTGCTCCCACTGCGTTGAGCAAGCACTTTACAACCGTGCTTTATGCAGTCACCGCTATAGGCATGCAATGCAGGGAACTAGTATATGGATCTGAAAACAATGAAGTTGGCATGCTGTCATGGCGCATAGTATCAATGGGCACGGCTGGATTATTTGCGAGTCACATGAGTAAAAGAGAAGCAAGATATTTCAACATGAAACCAGGGTTAGGAAACATTTATTTTCCTATTAAAGGCCTTCACAGTCAGTAGTCCAAAATGTATTATGACAATAACAGCGTTTGCCGCTCCAAAAGGTTCAAATGTACCTGTTCAACCTTCTCTCACTGAGCGAAAAACACCCCATCAGACAGATTCTTTACTTTTTAAAGCCCTGAAATCGTTTCACATACGTAAAAGGACTGAACTCAATAACAGGCATTGGTTGTATAACATATACAACGTTATCGTGCGACTCAGAGTTCCGAGGAATGTCAGTCACAGCCTGAAATGCTTTCGCGTTGGTTTGTGGGTGAATCCAGACGGCTTGTCATTCTGGTCTGTTAATTTCTTTGTGTAGTTGACGAGAAGAATTCGCAGGAATTTTTCAGAGATCAGATGTGCCAAGCGTTTGGCGTGACTCCGGTCAACACCTTCTGGGCAGCTTAGGAGGGGTGAATCTTCTAGATGTGGCTCAACTATTAGGTGCAAGGCTTCGAGAATCTTTGATCGTGGGAGAACTTTGACCGCCTTTTCAAAAAAAGTCGAAATCGTTTCCAGGAGAGCTAGAAACTCGGGCTTCGGATAGTGAAGTTCACAATTTTCTTGTGCGCTCAGAAGTTTGTACAGAGGACTGCTAGTCTTGTTTGTTGTCACAAGCATGACGCAAGCGTGACATCCAAGATCGCTGACAAGCTTGGCAAGGTATCCACCTACATACACCAAGCCTGAATAAGCAACAGACGCAGGCGGTGCTGAAAGATGTGCTTTCAGGGCTTTCAATTCTTGAACTACATCTTGAGGAACAGAGGCGGCCGCTTCTTCTGCGTCTTCATATTTTACAGCGACTCCTTTCGATGGCAGGGCTTTTTTCTTTACTATGTGGTCCAAAGCTGTTGTAACGGCTCTTGCGTCCAGCGCGTCGTTACCTCCGCACATAAAGCGCAGTCGTCCAAACAATGCCTCAATGGTATCACTGTTGAGTTTTCTAGTCAGAACGTAACTGACGCCTTCTCTCAGTAGACACCTGGTTACCTCCACTGTGGATTTCGTGCTGAAAAGTAGGGCACTGTATGTTTCCTCAGTGAAGTTCCCAACACCAGTGGCAATGGAACATTCTTGAATCGTCTTCACGTAGCTGGAAAACTCATTTTGCAGCCACAGTAGTCTGTCATCGTCTTCTCTGGAGATGGGCATTTTGCAGCCACTTCCATTGTAGGTGCTGTCGTGAATGTCGAACCATTTCTTCATGACTTTCATGAAGTTGATCGTCGATGTTGCATCCCTGAAAGTGAAGAGAAGGGAGCTGGCTCGCGAGTTCTGCTGGAGATGTTCCAGTGCGGCAGTGACTTGGGGCGAAAACACCTGCACGGCGCGTAGCACGTTCATTTTTTCTAGATTCGACGGATACACATGTTTTCTTGTAAGATTTCTGGCCAACTTTATAGACATGTCCTTTTGGTGCTCATAGAGTTTCTGGACAAATGTGCCACTGATGACGCCAGTGCCGTCTGTGAGCTCCCGTTCCAAAAACTGGCTGCGGACATTCTTGAAAACATGGCAAGGATCGAAGCTTAAAAAAATTTCTCGTTCTTCGTCGTGAGGATGCTTCACTATGGTTGACAAGGAACCATTCCCCATGAGCTTGAACATTGTTCTGTTCGCTGAGTAGTTATCGGTAACTATTCGAATCACCACAAAGCCGCATTCCTCAGCTGCAGAGATGACGTCCTTCGTCCACGCATACAAGTCTCTCCCGCTCAGCTGCTTGGTGAAGTAGTACGAACATGGGATCTTGTACGAGCTGGCCACTCCGTGGAGCACAAAACACAGGACTCGGTTTGCAAGTGTTTCGTTCTTTGTACGTGGTGCACCGCTTTCTGGCTGGTCTCTGATTCCAAATACTACATCGGACTTCCGGTCGTATATGCACTTTGGCTTTATTGCTGCTTCATCGATTATTAACGAAGCCATGTGCTGTTTGTGGCTGAGAAAGGAAGCCTCGTGAATGAGCCTTTCCTTCATGGCGCCGCTCATTCCAGAAGAAGTTGAGCTGGGACCTACGTAGCGCTGCAGTGTGCACTTGTGTGGCAGTGTCAGCAGGTTAGTCCGGGCATGATCGTAACCTTTTGGCGAAAGAAAGCGCCACATGACGCACTCTCTTATTACTTCTTCGGGATAAGACTGGAATTTCTTCTGGTATCCGTCAACTTGGTGAAGCAGGAAGACAGCCTTTTTCTCTCCCTTTTCAGCGTCTGAAGCGATATTTTTCAAAGCTGAGTAGCGCTTGTCGTCATGATATGAGGAGATTACCTTTCTCTCTGCTTCTAGTTGCTGCTGTGTTTTTGAGCAACTGGAGCGATAGTAAGCTACCTGCGAACGAAGTCTTGCTATCATTAAAAGATATCGACTTGCTCGCTGCGCATCGTTGTTTCTTGTTTGGGTACATATAGTAGCTTTCTGCTTGATTTCACCTCCCGGCGACTCAAGCACTGCATTCTCGCATTCTTCTGGCTCTGCCTTTCGTTTTGATGGCTTCCTAGAGGGAGCAGTGTCTCGGACTTTTAGGGTCCTACGTGCTTTCTTCGCACTGGGTGCTAGGTAAGAAGGATACCCTTCAAATACGGTTGGTACGGCACCAGGAACCAGTTTTCTTATCTTACGGTCACTGACGTAGTCACTCGCCAAGAAGTGCTTGCTGCATACTGCAGTCGAGGGTGATTTGTCATTAATGATGAGATTTTCTCGAGAAATGTTTTTTTGCCATTTGGCACACAGTTCCTGGTCAACTGGAAACTGGTGAAACGACACACCGGGAGTCTTTCCGGACCGCGACTGACAAAACGACACACAACAGTACACCATAGTCACAATATTGATATGCGCAGCTTGACTTCACAAGTTCATGAGAGAAGCATGAGTATCCATGAAAAAGTCGATGCAGAAACTTACTGAGAGACGTGACCTCGTCAGCAAGGCACGCGAAGCATGAGGCACTTTCGTTCACATACACAGCGGCAAAAACAACACGTGGAAAAACGAGCCCGCGCGCTCGCCGGCTTCCTCTCCAAAACCACCCGGCGCCGCCGCACTGGCCGCACCATGGATGGATGGATGGATGAATACGGCTGAGCCCTTTGGATCGGGCGGTAGCTTACGCCACCTAGCCATTTTGTTTTACCATTTAAGCTTAGAATATTTAAATGTGAAATCTATATTCACTCCGCAGTGCAAAGAAAGTGAAGCTATGAAACCCCCTTGCCATCAGTGATTAAGAAAATACCTAGTTTTCTCTCGATTTCTGCCACCATTCACTTAATCTTTGCTTGGTAATCTCTACAGTCTTGAAATCCACTCTCCCTTCGCTGTCTCAATCTGTCTTAAAACCCAATGACTTTATTAAATCTATGTTGTCTTCGGTAGGCATAGGGTGAAGCCCTTTACAGTAGAGTATCAAGTGCTCAGCCGTCTCGTCCTCCTCTCCACAAGCAGTGCACACTGTATCGATTTCCTGGTACTTCACTCTGTATGTTCTGGTTCGCAGAACACCCGTTCTTGCCTCAAACAGCAATGAGCTTCCCCTAGAATTGTCATAAATGCTTTCTTTGGCAATAACTCTTTTGTTTAATTTATAGCTTTCTAGAGCAGTCTTTGTCTGCATTCCCTCTAGCCACCGATCTCTTTCTGTGGCCTTAACTTTCTTCTTAACTGAGACTTGCTCTTCCGTATCTTCGCTATAGCCCAAAAACCTTCCTCTTAATTTCCTAGTGCGCTGTCTCCACTTTGTGTCTACACCAGGGTGTCGAACCGGAACCGAACCGAACCGAAAACCGGAACAGAACCGTTATTTTTAGCCGAACCGGAACTGAACCGAACCGAAATCTTCGCCGCCATCTTGGAACTGAACCGGAACTGAACCAAAAAAAAATATAACGGTAACCGGTTCAAAACGGTTCACGGTATTTTTTTTTAGTATTACAAAGTTATTTGGGTATAAAAAATTGGCACGTGTATTCCTCTACGTATTGATCAAATCGTTATATACAGAATTGCAATGTATAATAAATCCTGGTTTTTCGCGGCGCTTTCTTATTGGCACTATGATTAGCCATGTGTCACATTGTCACGTGACGTCATGATGTCAAGACATGCTGTCAAGTAATGTCACATCACGTGACCCCGTGATGTCACGTGACTCACCGCGTTAAGTCGATTCAAATTGAGAACGTCGCTAGATCTATTAACGTTTTTGATACCGTGACGTCACATGACATCAAAACTTCGCACTGAGAGTAACGTGACACCATGATGTACTCGATTGTCATGATCCCGAGTCGAATGCTCTGGTTCATGACAACCAGTATCGCCAAACATTCGGGTAACGGCTCGTGTTGAACTCAAAAATTATGATGGGCCCGAGTCCCACAAGAGCTAGAAACAGAAACAAACGAAAGCGACAAGCCTCAGACACATGCAGCATGTTCGCGATGGTACGTTTATACGGCATTGAGTTGTTCGGTGCTCGCGAAGTTTGAACGAGTGTTTACAAGCCTGCAAATGGTACCATCGTGCGCAGGATACTCGTGTTTGAGCATAGCCTTCTTTATTCTACAAAGCCTGTCAAATCGCAAAACTCTCTGGTTTAAGGCTATCCGCTGTCGTTTGTTTCTGTTTGTCGCTTTAGTGGGGCTCGGGCCCCACTATAGCCGAACTAAAACTATACTTGAAGATTAGCCCATGCTCTCTGCTTTGCCAACCCTGCGTATGACCATGATAAACATTGACGGTGCATATACTAGGATCAGATCACGTGGCTGATAGTTCTAATTGCGAGTTGAGGAGGGGAAAGCTGTTTCATTTCTTGCTTTCGACTGTCTGCCATTTCGCGGAGGGGCAAACTAATGGATGCTTTTGCAAGTTATCAACGTCAGGGATTACAACTTAGCGGTATTTACTGAACTTAAGGTAAAAAAAAATGCTGCACAACCCATTTTACATCTATGCACACCATTGAGGCTCCCAAACGTGTTTTCGTTATTGCTGAACTGCCTCAGAAAGTTGTACCGAGAATAGAAGTGTTAAAGGGTGTAAATGTGACGTATTAGTCCGACGTTACATGGAACTATTAGTGTGTACGGGAGGGATACCTGAGAAGAAAGATCCTAGTGGCCTCACGGGGATAGCCGAACGTTGGCAGCCGCTCTAAGTCTCACATGAGTGTCGTTCTCAAGTTCTCCAAGTTTCGACCGCCCTGTATTTTGTTTAACCTTCACAGTTTGTTGCAAAGTAAAAGCAAGGAAGAATTACTGTTAACAAGTGACACAAATATAATTGTCGAGTGAACACCACTCAATACGGAGCAGGCAATCCCTGAGGAATAAAAAGTATCTTGAGGAGCAACTAAAAAAAAAAAAAAAGGGAGTGGAGAGGGGGGTAGTTTTAAAGCATACTGTGCCGTAAAGATTCCTCTGCCCCGCATTTTCGGCGCAGACTAGAAAGCGTGGTTTGGAAACGATAGTGACAGATGGGTAGTTGGTACAACTTTTATTTGTAAAAACACTCTTGCCAGAAAGCACGTTTTCGCCGTGCCAGATACTCGCGCCGTGCCTAACGACGATGCACCTACAAGAAAAATGTGTGCCTCTCAACTACATAGCTTGAACTGAGCGCAAAACGTTTGCAGCGTGCATTTTGCCCCATCGGATTTGATTTTCTCAGCAAGAACAACTCGCAATGACCACCAGTATCTAGTGAGATTACGTCACGTGCAAACCATGTTAAATACTTCAGCTTTCTGGTGAAGTGCGAGTTCGCAACACTAGCAGTAGGCGTCCAAGGTGTAAAGTTGTGTAGTATTTATAGCAGTCTCGCGATGATATACGGCAGCCTAATGAAATGTTGCAGCACATGACTGATAAAGAACAGAGTCGTGAAGTAAGGTCCCAAAACAAGTGCACGTCAAAACTAAGATAACATTAGCCTCCCGAGGTAGTATCTCGCGACGTTTCGAGCTGAGGCAAGCTGATGCCCAAAAGTGATTTATATTAGGATTCTAAAAATCTTCGTTTGCCCTGCGCGGAATCTATGTTTAATTAGGAATATCATTTTATGCATTTCTATGCTTTTCTTTTTGCAGTAAAGCGTTCTGTAAGGGATTATTTAGAAAAAATTCCGTGTCATCTCCTTATTTCTGCACATTTCGTGTATTTGCCTTCTGATATATCATGTGACCACAGTGTTTTTTGGCATACCCTGCAACCCAGTATTTTACACTGCAAAACAGCTAACAAAAGCACGTTACCGAAGACTCAACAGCTGGTGTATTTTCGAGTATCGTCCTTCCGTGTCGGTCTCAGGCGGTTATGTGAACTTCACAAAGTCCAATTTATTGATGATAATAAAAATATACTTAATTCCTGTCTGAAGATTTGGCAGCATAAATAGAAGATCGTCACCTCAAAGATATATAAGTAAATGCACCTTTAAATTATCTGAAAGATGTTCTGCAAATCTTTTCCGGCGCTTTTATCCTCAATAGACACGTTATAGGTGATTTGGAAAAGCTTTAAATAATGTTTTTTTTTTATATTGAAGCTAATTTACATAACTATATGTGTTCCTCACGCATATATACTGGAACGAATGGTGGATCTATGATGATTGCACACTTAAACTCTCAGAAAAAGTCCAATTAAGTAGCTTCCGAATTGAGTAGAGCATAAAATCCCACTTTGTTCTATTTAACAAAAATCATCAATTAACGAGGGTGATGCTTATTTGCAAATTAAATTAACCGGCATTTTGTCAAGAGCAAACCTCAAGAACCAGACTATGCCAGTTTATCCAATATAATAAAATGTTCACATGGGTAAGCACTGTTTTAGGTCAGATTCGATCTCAGTACGAAGGTGCTCTTAGGTTAGAGTGAACAATTTCAGCCACTCCTTTTTGCATGATTCGTCGCCCGCATCATGCTGCTGAGAGCAAACAATGCTAGTTAGAAAAACAAGCATTGCGATTGTCGCTTAGTGTTTCTATAAAATATAGACTGGAAGGACTTGTCCCGTTACTTTCGTGACATCTTGAAAATTATATTGCCTTGAGTTCAGTCGTCTCGTCATCATATATATATTGTGAAACGTATTCCATAAAACACATTTTATGGTGTATATGGCGACGAACTGCCCATTTCATGATTTTATTCACTGTAATGAATTCCTTAGTTCAAGGGCAAAACCACGAATCAACATCTAATATTGCGATACAAAGTTGTACCAATCACGGGTATTTTAGGCAACCTACTTCACTTCGCGAAAACATTTCGATTCAGGTACAATGTATGTGACTCTGGCAAACGAAGGGATGTTGAGTCGTATAAACACGACGTTTTGTATGTCAATGTAGATTTTCCTTTCTTGTTGTGTAGGTATAAATAACAGAATTTTATAATTTTTGTACCTGAAAATGAAACTGGATTGAACAAACTATAAAAAAAAAAAGAAAACTATATACTGTAAACGACTTATTTTTCGTGGGCTCAATATTTCGCGATTTAGGTCAAAGCTGAAGTTTCGGAATAATTCGCGGGTTGTAATTTTCTCGACGCGGTGGAATCTCAATATAAATTTCAATCTGTTTATATTTTACAAGAATTCTTCGGGGACCCATTTTTCGCGGATTGTAGGCGATTCGCGAAATTCTCAAAAATAAGTCCTCGCAAAAATCAGATCGTTTACAGCAGTTAGTTTCACGGCCTAAATAGCGCATATTGACAGAACAACGCGGAAAATATATTATCAATTTAGCGGTTCAAACCGGTTCGAACCGGTTTGAACCGTTATTTTTTGCGCCCCGGAACTGAACCGGAACTGAACCGAAAGCCGTGAACCCGAACCCGAACCGAACCGATAAAAATATCGGTTCGACACTCTGGTCTACACTCCTCATGTATAAATAGCTGAAAACCTTTCGTGCCCATTGCTCCCCATCCATTAGCCTCAACCTATCCTCAAATTCTACCTTGCTCACCGCTTCCCTGCTCTCAAATGATGCCCATCCACGGGTTGGCTCGCAGCGCGCTCTCGCGGAGAACACCGGTGGCGCAGCGCAGAAAAAAATGCATTGCCTCCTCGGCGCCTGCTCAGGCCGTAAGCGAGCGCGCGCGTCGAGACCGGCCGTGGTACTGCAAGCTGATGAGTCACTTCGGATGAACCATGATTCCACGAACCTGCGTGGACCCCACCTTTGTTCGCGCGCCAGAGTGGACGCATTCTCAAAGTCGAAACAGTGACCCGTAGTCCAACAACGTTTGATTAAATTGTTAATCTTGTTGAGTAAAGTCGGAGCAGTTTTTTTTTATCCTTACCAAGTAATACCTTTTCAGTTTGGCTGTGGCGATTCTGTTGAGCAGCACCGTTCCGTCCACGTTCAGCTTGTCCCATTTCTGGACAATGTTGTAAATGTCCGCGCAGCTATCCCTGATCTTTCTCGGGATGCCCGTCAGGTTGGTCTTGGAAGGGGTCCTATCTGCAACTGATTCACAAATTCGACAAAGCATTTTTTTTTCCTTTTATAAGAATAGCAAAACGAGATTGTCGATAACAAACAATACGATGGAACATTACCTGAGATTGGCGAAAACGAAACATCTTTCGAAGGAGAACCGCTGACGGCCATCATGAGCACATGGCCTTGTTGTTTCTGGATGGAGAGACGATGGAAGTAAAACTGGTAAAACCTACCGCAATCCCAAATGCCTTTAAAAAAGTAGTTCTTCCTTCGTGCATTCGCCTGTAAAAAAAAAAAAAAAAAGACTCGTTTAATTTTTAGAGTAAGTTCCCCTTTTCGTATAATGAGGTATTTCTCTATATTAAGAGTACGATCTCTATGATATCAAGTAAGAGTGCTTAGAACGTCGCGTTTTCAAACCTTTCAAACAGACCATGACATGACGTTGAGGGGTTGTGGTAGGTTTTAAAAATAATCAGAAAACCCATGGTCAAGCTCTATTCGTTTGGTAGTTCTATTAATGACTGGTTGATTAGCTAGTTGGTTCACTCTAGGTTATATTATTATATTATTTAATCAGCGAAACAAAATAAATAGGCACGTATGTTGTGTTACAAAATTAGTTTATGTATAGACATTTATATTAAGCGTATATTTTAATTTGGCTGTTAGCTCGCGCCATCTTTGCGTTGTGGCGCGAGACTTTCGTAGGAAAGACTGAAACGGAAGCAAGTGTCGCGAGTCGCCTTCCACTCCAGAGCAGGTTGTGATAAAATTTTCACAATAATCGAGGAGGTTTATATTTGATGATAAGTCACAAAATACGAAAGGTCAACGAAGACGTGTCTTTTAGCTCATTTTTAACTCGGCGTCGGAGCAAGACTCAATAAAACCAGAAATAGTCGAGACGAAAGCCTGTATTGCCTGTTTGTCTTCAATTTTCCTCTTACGTTATCGCAAAGTAAGCTGTCCTGACGATGCAAGATAACGCAACACAACTCGCCCATTTCTTTCAGTGAATGTCGACACGCACAATGAACGACTCCCACAACGTTGAGTCCAAAGATGTCGAAGCTATTTTTCTTACCGGCGACTAGAGAAAACTTCGGCGCGCACTTTATTGGATGAAATTTGGTGACGTCACGACCAATAGGAGCACGGAAACAGACGCGGTCTCCTCAACGCCAGGAGAAACATCGGAAACATCGTGCCTGACGTACCGTCGTCGAACGAGAGGTGAGTGGTTTGAGTTTTCCTGTGATGTGATCTCTGTGTGTGTTCGTTCCACGCGTCCGAGCTGTTTCTTAGTTTCAGATCTATTTGGCGCCGCTGCCTACATTGTTTGAGCCTGCGTTCACGATTAAAACAACCATCGCAGAAAGCTGAAAGCCCGCCGAAGAACGGCTGACTTGCGAGCTAAACCTAATTCAACAAAACCATTTGATCCGACAGAATAATGTGCTTGATCTTACATTTCATGTCAACAAAGAACTGCGCTGTCTGTCTTCGTCCCTACATGTTTTATTCTTTCGTGTTTTTCAAATCTTTACCAACCCGCGTCCAATCGAATGCCCCGATCACAACAAATAGTTGGTCGTGCTCCGATGGCCCTTATCATCCGCCGGTAAGGCAGTTACGTCAAGTAACGTCATATTCTCAAACTGTGAAATACTATTACCACCTCTAGTTTCACATTCTGGTGCACCGTGCACTTGCAGCTTCCTGCACCCCTGCGAGGTTTCCTGCGATCGTACCCTGTATATGATGGATTTCTCGCCGCACGCGAGTGCTCTCGAAGGCGTGCTATACACTCTGTAACATACGTTGTGTGCAGAAAAGGCACAGGCCCGAGCACAAAAGCGCCCTTTTTGCACGAGCAGCCGTGCAAAAAGAACATTCTGCGGAGCTACGCCCTCGCACCCGTGCCTCTGCTGCACACAACTTATTAATAACCGAGCCGTTCTCGTTTTTGTTTTGCATATTACTGTGAAAGAAGTGTCATTGTTGTTTTCTTCTCAAACAAAACTCACACGCTAGACAAAAGCAAACAGATAGGAGTCTGCACATTCACATCCTTTTCTCCCTTGTGCGACAGGTTATAGCTGGTCGCGATTCAACACCCTTTCGTTTGAAGCTGATGGGCACCACAAGGCGTGAAAGAGGTGACTTGCAGCTTTGCCAAGGCAGCGGCAAGACACTACAAGCCTTCGCATTAACTGGCTAGCCAGTGCCGCTCTGTTCTGAACAGCACTGCGTACCATGCAGAGGGTTTGTGCAAGCTCGCTGGGTGGCGACGCTAGCCACGGTAAGTGCATCCTATGCAGCTTTCTTTTAGGGATATATGTGGCTTGCAGGCCATGTCGTGCATGTGCCATTCGAGGGACAGCAGTGCCAGTGGCAAGGCTGTGCTGATGGTAATCACCACTGCACTGTGCTTTCATTCAATAACTGCTGAAAAGGAACCAAGTACTTCCGAGAGATTCTCGGTTGTGTTTTGATGAACTCCAGCTCGCTTATGAACAGGTGGATGGCACAGCTGGCCTTTCCTAATGGACTTGATGTCTGTGTTAACAATGCAATGAGACTTCTTTTTAGTTTGGGGCGTTGTTTCTGCTGCGGATGACTAGCGTTGCAGTAGAGAAATATGCAAAATAGTGTAATGCTTGCATTAGTTACCTAAATTAATGGCGGGAATAACTGACCTACATTTCCACCGACTGCATTTCTCAGAGGAATAGCCTGAACTAGATAGCTCGCTGCACTATGTCCTTCCTCCTTAGCCTGTACAACTCGGCGTCTTTTCCTGATTGTCTTATGTGGCTGCTTCTGTGTTTGCCAAGGCACTCGGTTGAAATAGTGAAAGCTGTCTGCATCACACATAACTGCCATGAAAGCCAGTGTGGATGTAGCTGGGGTAGCCCCCAATATGGCTTCTCTAGCTCGACACAGGTAATGTTCCTACCACTGTCGTGTTGGCAGAAAAAAGACCTGCCTAAAAAATCCAGCGATTTTTTGGGCAACCCCACCTAACCACATTTTCGAAATCGCCATCTTTTACTCTTTCCGGTATGCTATTTACTATCACGAAACTCAAAATAGTTATTATGAAATCGGCAAATGAAAATGACGCCAATACCAAGATTCAAATACCGTAAAATACCGGGAAAGCGCCTACTCAAACTTTGGAGATAATCGCAAAAAAATGGGGGATGGGCACTTGTCCGGTCATCAATTTTACATATAAATGTACTGTACATATTTGCTCAGATCTCACAAATTTGGTAATGGGCGCTTAATGTGGAATGGGCGGATGCGCACGGTATTTTACGGTATACTTTCGCTTTTCATTGCCGTGACATCATGGCAGGCACGTAGCCAGGATTTTGTTTCGGGGGGGGGGGGGGGGGGGGGGGGGGGCTTGTTTATGACAAAGTGCTGTATGAGGGCAAGGGGGGAGAGGAGGCCCCAGCAAAATGGAAGATTTCGGGGTGGGGCCCAGGTCCCATGGCCCCCCCTGCCTACGTGCCTGCGTCACGGGATGGCAGGCTTACGGTTCGAGCGGGCTGTCTAGAAATGAATTATGCCGAGCATTTGTTTCGTGCTGCGCGGGAGCTGGAGCAACCTTCCAAAACATTCTTTTAACGCCATGAAACTGTTTGTGGTCAGTTGAAAACAAAGTCTACAGCCCAAAGAGTGAACCCCTGCCTTCCCATGATGTCACTATTTCAATGTTGCCAGTAGAGCTTTTCACTTTGAAGAACACGATGATGACCCTAATTGTAAATTCTGTAACTTCGCGAAAAAAAGTTATTTTGGCCAAATATTTGGGTTACTATTTTAGCGATGTTCGTTGGTGTGTTAAGCAAGGTTTTAGGCAAATCGGGGACAATGGAGAAAATGCCGGAGTACCCCTTTAAAGGAGAACTCCGACTTTTCGAGCTACCTAATCCAAGGGCATAATCTGAATGCGGATGGCTTCCTGATTCCGAAATGCTATCTCATTCTCCCAGATTCACTCTAGTTAACCGAAACATCATTCTCCCTAGTTTTTCCCCAGTTTTCCCCACCGCCCAAGCGTCACGTCACTTTGTGCAGCAAGGCGTGCGGCCGGCAATCGAGTACACTCGCGCCCGCCTTTCTCGCGTCTAACAGCAAAAAAATCTGGGCGTTCGTGCTGTTTAGAGTTGATAATTATATGTATTTGCACAAAGTATGGCCTTGGTCTATGTGCATAACTATAAGAAAGTAAAAGAAAAACTAGCAATTAGAATTTCATAAAACCATTTTTGCAACTCGCTACGCTCAAGCCGCGCCTCGCTAGTTTCGTGATATCGCTGGTAAATCCATTCTCTTTTTATTAGAAGATGGCTGGTGAAGAAAGGTCGAAGAGTGACGCAATAAAATTTTTGTGAATTGCCAAAGCACTGCGGAAAATGCTCGGAATGTGGGTACAGATGCCCACACGCTCATATGACCTGAAGGAATGTGCCATTTGTTTTAGATTTTCTTTTGAAAAGTTACTGTTGCAGGCGTCAGCACGTGTGACTATTCTTGTGGCATGAATATGCTCCTTGGTGCTTAAGTAATCTAGCAAAAGATCTGTAAACCATTTCTGAAAAGCGCTTCTGGTCGATGCCATTTTCAGCGTTTGTGCGTGTGGCACATACATTGCTTGCCTTCCAAAGCGATGAACATGTGCATGCTGGGCTGGGACCTAAGACATGTAGACTGTGATTATCGTAAACAATGAAAAGTATAGAATGGAATGAACTGCGTTCGTGTAGATCAGATGGCAGGTTACTGGTCATGACGATTGTGTTAAAATGACGATTAAAAGAACTTCGCAACCACCAAGCAAACATCAAGGTGCAGGGAAATGCGTATAAAATACACAAAGACACTGTTCATCTCCAAATAAAGAATATTTGCTTGAAGATACAATAGTGCGTGAAGTACAGAAAGACATTATAAATCTTTTAATTCAAAATAGGGAAGGGGTAATTCTATGTAAAGTTTTTTTAAGTTAAGTTCGTTTGGCACAGTTTTCATCAGCTGTAAATTTGCATGCCTCCCCTTAACAACATTAATATTTTCATAATAAAAAAAAAAAAAAAAAAACTTTTCAGCTCTATATAAAAGTTTTTCACAATATAATAAATTAAAGACATTTTCATCACTTCTTCTGCAGCGAATATTGCACGCCAACCATTTGACAAACCAGGCAAGGATCTATCGTATATTAAAGGGGTACAAAAATCGAAATATTCAAATTTCGTTCGGAAATGAGTCAAGCATGACAGATAATAACCGTAAATGATAATCACACGTTTGTATTTTAAACGACTGGCTATATTTTTTATTCCAAACAGTGCACTCAAGCAAGCGCTCAAAGAGAAGTGAACGGAGAGCGCGATGCGTCATGGGATATCCCGCGCAAAC